CTGAAAACCCAACGCCGAGAAAATGACACAAAGGCCAGCCGAAGCCGCGCGGCGACAACAAATGCGATGATCGCACGGTTTGAATCGACGCTAACGAGATTTATGATTGGCTTAAATTTTAAGAGAAAGCGGCTTTCAACGACGACGTGCCGCGGTCTGGACGCACATAGAAGCCTCAGAAATGCGTGCGCCCAACGCATTAATCTGTGCACAGTCGATCGCTGCTGCATTCTACCTGTTTGTTCTCAAAACGCCTTCTCGCATATACGCGCGTTCTCCGATGCATACACATACACACACCTAATAAGAAATAAAAAAAGGAAGGGAATTACGCGTATTATTGCATCACGACTGCGTAAAGCCATGAGATTGCGTGAAAAATTCCCACATTCCATTTGTTTCTTTTTTTAAGCTACTTGGCGCGGACGTACGGATAATGTGGAAGAACTCGCAATTTAAATAATATAATAGTGATACCGAGATGAGATAAGGATAAGAATAATTTGTTTATTTATGATAATCGTAAATTAAAGCTAATCATAGATTGATGTGCAGACAGCACATCGAGCTGCAAATTTGTTTCTATATCAAAATTCCTCCGTTTTAAATTTTTATTAATTTATTTCCGTTGTACATTTCAATTTAATTTAAAAAATCTGAATTACACTCTCTTTTAGAAGATAAAATTAATTTTTTCTATGTACAAGATATTACAATTTTTTGTGTTTTTCTTAGAAATCTCTATGTTTTTTTACAAACATATATGCGAGACTCCATCTTCATGCTTCACGATCATCCTCATTAATAAATATATAAATAGCTCATTAGTTTCATAAGGCATCTCATTACGATTATCCGCTACATTCCGTTTGGCGCGCCTCTGAAACGTCATTATCAGACATCCGGATATCTGTCATTGGTCAATCAGGAGGTCCCGCAATTGAAGACATCCGGGACATACTTGTTGCACGAAATTGAGACCTGGCTCCTGCTCGGGAGATCCCAGGACGAAAAAAAAACACCTCGTTCCGCGCGCACCTTAAGATTCGCGATATCTTTATGTATTTTGCGCTAGCAGAATAAATAAATCCGATATCAAAACGTGTGCGTACACAATGTTGCATGTTATCTCAAATATCCTAAGTATGCTCGCGAGTACTCTTCAGATTCTTCTGGTCTGTACATAATACTAGCATAATCGAAAGATAAACATAATATATATTCGAGATGATCAATCATTAAAATTTCAATAAAATATCCTTAGTTGCTTTCTCTCTCTCTCTCTCTCTCTCTCTTTCTCTGTTGCACGCATGTGCGTGCATTCTTCGCTAAAAAAAAATTAAACGAAAGTACATGTAACTGGGAGCAAAAAATCTCTTTTCAGAAATGAGCATCTTAGAAATATTCTCCGTCAAATGCATATATTGCATAAACGTGAGAAATGGCATTGATAACGTTACACAACGTCAGGGATCCGCTGAAGAATTGACGCTATCCCATTAATATTAATATGCAGATATTTACGATAATATTGCAAATTGCAATTCGTACCAAGTAAACGCAACTTTCGCTTTCACATAATCGGTACATGATTTACAATCGATGTTTTTTAATTGTATTATGTATTACGTATTATTTATTACGTATAATTGAAATAACTTTGAAATACTAATAGCACTGAAACCTGAATTATAAGCAATTGAGAAATATTTTTCACGAGATATTATTAATTATTAAAATAAATTCATCAATTCTAGAAATATATTTAGTATCGAATATTAAAGGATTTATAATGAGATTGTGCATTCTCTCTTTCTTTCTTTTTCTCTAGAAATTTGCCGTGAATAAATTATAATTTTTGTATTTAAAGCGTGTTCGCTCGGTATGTTCTTTCTCTTAGGCATTTCTTGTTTGAAATATAGATAAGATTGCGTTTCTTATATTCACAATCGTAAATTATGTTACTTATTAGAATTTATAAGAAGATATATATGTGCTACATACATATTCATGAAAGTTCTCACGATACAGTTGAATTCTTCGAACTGTATAATTAAGAACTTTAAGAGTAAGAAACGATGTATTATTTGATAGTGATCTTTTTAATCGATATATATATAAAGTATACTCTTTGAAAATATATGGAGAATCTAGAAAACGATTTTTTGATAATTTTATCTTTATATTATAGGCAATTGCTGCAATCCATCCATTGGCAAGCTATGCATTAGATATGTTTAAACTATATAAAAATATATATCTATCTTTGTTTATATAATATATTCAATGTCTTAAAATTTTGAACATATATAATACATTCTTTATTCCAATTCCTAGTAATAAAAAAAGGAAAATGTTATGCAAATAAAATAAATGTTCATCTTGTGGGAGTTATTCAATTTTTTATAGATTTAGAAATCTAGCGTTTGAAACCTAAGAAGTTTTATGTTTCTCCTTTATATAAGAAGAAGCATTAGAAAATACATATGATAAAAAATCTTACTTTAGAAAGTTGCAAAAATCTTTGAAATATTTCTTTATCTGTAATTTTGAATAATAATACCCGGGAAATCAAGGAATTTTCAGAAAATGTTTTAAATAAAATTTGAATAAATGCTCTGATAACATATTTACATATGTAACGTATTGAAGAAAAGAGAAGCACTCGATTAATAACACGAACGACGTGTAATTCACGATATAAATGTACAATATACATCTCTCTCTTTCTCTCAATAGATTTTTCGCGCGAGTTGATAGCCGCGACATTAGCATACAATAGGCAAGATATTTGATAGCGATAAGAATAATTTTCTGTCATTTTTTTCTTTTCTTATGTCACTGATTCATAGCGATGTTCTCGTGTCAATCATGATGATTGACAATCAATTAATTCGACGATTTGTAATAATTGAAAAAAATTGAGGTCATTAAAGGGAGGGAGAAGGATGACCGTTTCTCTCGTGACTCACTACACGATATAATTCATATCCACCTTGGCTCGCATATCACGATCCACAAATTTGTTTTCTGCGCGCCAATTGCAACCGGAACTGGTTACCGGTTGAGTGCAGTTGAGCTATTCTTAAGAGTGGTTAAATGATTTTAAAGGGACTGCGGAGGCGCCGCGTCGCGTCTCTTCGCAGATCACGATGATTCATCGTGCGGCGTCGTCCCCTGCTTGTGCTTCGACGCCGCCACTTCCGGTTGTCACCGATGACGATGTAATTCTGCATTTGCTGCAATGACCAAGATGCATCTCTCCGTGTACAGAGAGCATACAGAGATTCTACGATATCATAATAATTATGTTATATACCAGAAGAGATTTATGAAGAACAATATTTTGTTTCATAGAAATTTTTAATAATTAAGAGTTCATATATGTATGTATATATGTATACAATTAATATTGTGTTCTACTTTAATATTATTTTTAACTTTATATCATAATAATAATAAATCTATTTTAATTTTTAAACTTATTATTTATTATGATATCAAGTTATTTTGCAACACAGAAAATAATTTTTCTTTAATAATTCAATTCAATTGTATTTGCATAGATTATTCTAAATTTTTCGCGATTCTGTTATTTTAGACATCTAGATTCGAATTAAATTTGCATGATGAAATATTAATCTTTTAGAAATATTAATCGTTAGAAATATTAATCTTTTCAGAACTATATCTTTTAAATTAAATCGATATATCTTTTAATTCTAACATCATATAAATAAATCTTTGATTTAAAATTATGTTAAAAAATTTTGTTTGGAAAGTAAAAAGTTTCTATTGTAGATCTCGACTCTTTGAACTCTCTCTCTCGGCGAACGAAGCTTACGAGAATTCTCACACCCTCTAGTCCATTATCCCTCGTCTGTGCTAGAATCGCGTCAATGGTCATGGCTTCAACGAGCTAATTTTACGAGCGCCAACTCGTCGTCGTCTGGTCTTTCTCATGGTTGTGGTGAGATGGGAAAAGAGTAGTTCGCCAGTTGTTTTATCGTCATGAAACAGTAGCCGAGAGTGGACTTGAAGAGGCCACGATATAAGTAGATGAGAAGGCGAAAAAAAATTAGAAAAGATGAGACACAAGTAGAAAATACAAAAAGGGAGACAAGGAAAAGAGAGAGAAGAAGAATCTTGAAGAGAATAAAAAAAAAGAAGAAAGAAGGAAGAGTTTTCAACTGAACTGAGAAGTCAGGGAGATGTCATGACCCCAGAAAATTAGATAATTTCGATGTCACGTCTGTGAAGCACTTATCGCTCTGAGTTCGATCCATGAGATTATAGCCAAGAATCAATTAAGCCGAAAGTTCAGCTGAGTTCAGACGACCTCTTAGTTTCATATTCTCGAATGTAAATCGATCGAGATTTTGAATAATCGTTATAATAAATCATGCACGGTGAAATACAATGCGATACTTTTCATTTAATTTTCTAATATTTGGATGCTAAAAAAAGGAATTACTTGGAAAACTAAATGAACCGAATTTATCGAATACAATTGAAAATGTTATTCCTGAAAAAATTATTTAATATTTTGTGTGACTGTATATTTTATTATTATTCCATTTACTTTATGTTTTCATTTTATTGTTGAGTATAGTAAAAATCCTATATATTTTAGGGAAGAAATCTTATATATTTTATTATATTTTATTATATTTTAAGAAATTTTATTTTGTATTTTCAATGGCTTAAAAAATAATTTTTGCTTTAAAATAATACGAAAATGCAGAATGGAAAGACGAGAGGAAGACTTAAACGAGAAAAAGAGAGAGAGAGAGAGAGACACTATATAAAAACATATCTATAAATTTCAATCTGTAAAAGTTCCAAGAAGAATAAGAAGGCGTTTCCGATAATTATTTTATCCACCATATAATATATGCATTGTAATTATCTTACCGCTATTATACACGCAACGTTGCATAAGCGATTAAGTCGATGATGAGTCTTTAAAGACATCATTATAATGTTTTTTTTATTTTCAGGCTAACGTGAGCCAAGCCGAGTATGAAAGAGCGCACAGAGAGTACCTGAAACAAGTACAGCTGTCACACGACGGACAGGAGTCTAGAAGACGCCGAGATCTCCACGTGTTTCAAACTACAGGTAAAGTCACTTCAACTTTTGTCAAAAACATCAGTTTTAAAATCAGATTCATTGAAATTTAATTTTGCCAAAATGAAATTTAGAAATTATCTGCGCAACAATGTGGTAGTACATCTCTTTCGTAAATTTATATCTATTTTCTGATAATTATATATCTGCTTCTTTATTTGTGTTTCTAAGTAAATTAGTTCTATCGTAATTATGCCACTAATAATTTATACGTGAGAAAACATCAGGGATTACATATTATAAAGATAATTAACAAGAATATAATTTCTAATTAATTCTAAATTAATCAAACGACTTATTAGCGGAATTATTTTAACATTTCCTAAATTTAGCTTTACTAAGAAAAAAATTAGATCAAGGAAATTGTCGATTGATCGAATAACATGTTTTTCCGCTTCTACGAATTAAAATTTACTCATACGAACAGACGAGTCGATTGCGTGCGAATGTGTACGAGTGAAAAACCTTGCGGCACGCATATTCGCAGTACAGCGTATCCAACAAAAATAAATGCGGAAAACGGGGTTTTAGAGTGATGAGGGGGGGTCGGAGAAGAGGAGGGAGAGCGCGATGCAGTTATCCGCTGCCGCGACCTGTCGATACGTCACTCGACACGTTCTCGCGCTAGAACGCATTGAAGTCACGCGCTGCGATTCCGCGGTCGATCCACGAAGGACGGCAATAAAAATCCCGCTCCGAGGAAGAAAGAAAAAACGGCATCTCCTCGCCGAAGCCGGGAAAAAAAGGGAACGCGCAATCTGTTAATATTTATTTTTTCAAATTCTGAAACGGCTAGAAACTTCTCCGCAAATTCGCGTCGTTGCGGCTCATCTAACAAAAGACCAGAGTGTCTAGGAAAATATGGGAAATCTAAATTTTTTTGGATCTAGAAAAACCGGAGAATTCTCATGGAATTTTAGGGACTTGATAAATTTTTTAATTAATTCTTTCTTTAACAATTTTTACTTTTCATCATTTTTAGTGATAAAAAAATGTTATACAAATGATAAATGTTTATCTTCAGGAAACTTTTCAGTTCTTATCATATACATTTACAAATATAGTATTTGAAACTTAACTGAAGTTAAAACTGGCTCTATGTTTTTCATTGGTAGAAATGAAAAGTATTAAAAAATACATACAATAAAAAAAACTCATTTTAAAAAATTGCATTAAAAATACGTCTTAAAATATTTTTTTCATGGAATTTTGAATAAAATGGGAAATTAGAGAATTTTTTGGGAAAATTTTACTGGGAAGATTTGAGTAGGCGTTCTGAGAGGGCGATTTGGCGAAACAAGAAGCGCAATTCGGCACAGTCGCAATTCGCGATCGTCGATCGATCGATTGATTACGCGCGATCCCTCCCAGTAGGAAGAAAAAGAAGCTTGCCGGAAGCAAGATCTAAAAGCGTGTTTCTTCAAGGATTCTGGGAAAATATACTCGCGCTATTATTGGCCGTTTACCTAATTTCTCTCGCGGCGCGGCTGATAGAGAAAAGATACTTCGCCAATGTATACTTCGTGAAGAACGAAGAAACGAACGCCATCATTTTTTAATTAAAAGGCGTAACTTTTTAATGTCTCGCTAAAAGATTCCGAGTCGGATTTAACATTTTGTATATTGAAACCATCGGTGAACAAGAACGTAACATTTTGGTGCTTCACACGTTGTTGATCTTGAAATCAAACTTGGTTAATTTATAATGTAATGAAATATAATATTGAGTTTGAATCCTATTATGAAATATTTATTTTAGATTAATATTTACGTTGTTTGTTTTTTTATTAATTAAATTATAAATTTTTTTATTTATTATAAAGACAAATAATGAGAAAAAATTTGTTTTCCAAACTATTTTTATTAATATACGAGAATAAATTTTAATAATGTTTCTTTATTTAGATTCAAATATGATCATAAATTAAGAAATTATATTATTATTGCACAATCTAATTAATAGCAAGATAATTCATAATCTATAATAATTTGCACGATCAATCTAAATTTAATTTTTCGAGATTCATTTTCCCAAGTCTCCAAGATTATCCTTACATCGAATCATTCGACTTATCCAACTCGTCCTATAAAGATAATCTTCACTTAAGACTTCACTTCATTCCATTTAATATCAAGCAATTAACCGAGTCGGTTCACGAAATCTGAACAATAGGAGAGAGCACTTTATGTCCGATCCGGCAAATTAAGACGTGACTCTCGCTAATGAATCTCGCGAGAAGCAGAGCGGCTCGACGATGTAGGATTCCGCTCAATTACGAGCAACCCCTGAAAATAGTGGGTCAATGAGATAAAAGTCGGCAAGATCTGCTCAGACAGACAGACAGACTGGACAGCTGGCGACCACTGCGACTTTATACCGGGTTAGCTTTAGGCCGCGTATGTATGTACATTGAGTGTACTCGAGTTCGTCCATCGAGTCGAAACCAGTCTGAAGTGGGCACTTGTCTATATACCAGGCTAAAGGTGCGCGAAGCAGAAGAAGACGACCTCTCCTGATGGCTCTGGCCTCTCTCTTTCTCTCTTTTTTTCTCTTTCTCTCTCTACCTGGAGCGTGCGCGCCAAACCCCGCATCGTGTGCACGGCTGTTATTATGAAATAGAAATTCCGACCACGGCGGAATGCCGAGCGACGAGTTTCCGAATGCAATAAGAACGAATCGCCGGAGCAGAAACGTACCGCGAGAACAAGAAGTAGTCTGCCTTGCTTTATCCGCGAAACGCGAACGAACGAAACCGACAACGGGATCATTGCGAGTATAACCGATGCGCGAAGCATCATCAAGAGGCCCCTCCTGCTTATCCTTCTCTTGAATCTTCCCGAGATTTATTTCTATTATCTGATCATCAATATTGGATGGAATACACTTATTAGTCTCGTGGCTATTAGTCCGGAAGGATGCGCAAAAAACTGATGAATATAAAAAAAGAACTTAAGATTAAAGATTTTTTTTATATAGTTATCTAGAAATTTATGAGATTACATAGCGCGTTTTTATTTATTTTTTGTTATCAAGGCAGAATATTTTATAGATGAATTTCGCTTCCGAAATGTCGATGACATTGACGACTTTACGAAGTGGCGCCAGTTAAATATGGGACACCAAGCGGTGGCGCTTATTTTGTCAGAAGTTATTTTGTTAGAAATTTATTACGAAATGTCAAATCGATCCGGGGCTAATTTTGGATTTACTGGTCTGAAAATATCATCGATTTGTATTACATTTCTGTTATTTTTAAATATTCCTTCACTAACATGAAAATACGATTGAGACGATACTATTTTAACTTAATCTAGTTTTGATATTATTTAGAGTTTTTTAATTTTTTTCAAGAAGACGAAAAGAGTTGAGGATCTTATCAATCACAATAAATTGTTTTATTATAATTAATTAGTTATAATTATACACAATGCATTATATTTATTTTATTTTACTTTGAGAAATCTTAATCGGAATTTATACACAGTATTATATAGAAACCATAGAAGAATCAAAAATTTTTTTCTCCTACATAACAGGAAACATTCTTTCTTTGTGTGTAATAGCGTTAAAATTGTAATGTCCAATCGAGATCTCAATTTCGGACGAATCATCTCTCAATTATGCATCCCGAATTTAGAACGCGTGGTCCCAAGTTAACCCACTTTAACTCGATCTGTTGATCTTATTCCGGGCACGATTTTAGAGAAATTCCGCGGCTATATAGCGACGGTGGAAGGTCACCTGTGCGTATATCGCGGCGCGCGCGGCATTTATTTTCGGATGCGTGAGTCGAGTGATAAAGCCTATAATAAGCACGGCACGCGGACTAGCCGATTGATGGCCGTGCGCGTGGCGTTATTTGGAGAAATATATTGCGAGGCGACTGATTTCTCTTTCTCTCTTGCGCGGGCGTGTTTGCTGTCGAATTCTCATCGAGTGACGAGAGTATAACACCAGGCGCACCGCCTCCGTCTCCGGGATACGCAGAAATTGTCCGGATGCCGTGGATTCTTGTACGCTTTATTGACCGGTTATTTTGCGCGCCGATGTTACCTGGTCAATCGCCAAGCGAAACCGTCTTGGGGCGTATTTTTGTCGATTCATTGTCGAAGCCAGCTGATTGAATGAACGGTCGATGCGTCATCCGCGTCGTGTCAGGATGCGCGGCGGTCCTGTTTTGAACGTAAGAGATGTTAGTAAAATTGACGTACTCTCGGAAAAATGTGCATGTAATCCTCCGGATATAGAAGTCCATTTTCTGAGGAATCATTTGCGGTGTAGATGCCTTGTATTCCACAGCCGCGTATTTTATGCATTCGCGACTGATTTTTACGATATTTGCTACAACCCTTAATTTCAGCTGCTTCGATCATGAAGGAAATAATAAAAAACAGGAAATACAAATAAAAGAATTTTTTTAAGTTCTTAATTTTCAATAATTTTAAAAATCTTTATAATTTTTTAAATTTCAAATTAATAAAAAATATGAAAGATTAAATTCATTTTACATATTTTTTCATTTTATTATAATGAAATACTAATAGTCGCAAAAATTTTTGCGAAATCAAAATTAAAGAATATAAAAAAACCTATTAATAAGTAAACTAACTATTAATTTAGCTATTGCAATGTTTATCTTTTATCTTCTTAATAGTAATTTAATGTTACAATGAAAGATAAAGTAAAAACTTGCAACTATCAGTAATAAACAGAATATTTTTTGGCCACATTATTTTATTGTAGTAATAAATTTTCGAATGCACATTTTGCTGGTTTAATATTCTTTGATAACACGTTACGAAGATGTTATAAAAATAAGCGCGCGTTAAGAGCAAATCTGCTTATTTAATCAAACGAAGAATTAAATTGCTTGACATGTATATTTAAATTTAAACAGACAAGTAGATCAAGTGACATTTATTCTCTCTCTCAGTCAAAGAAATCGAACTATCGTTATTCACACAACATGCATCACACATGCACGATGCTCTAAAAGTATCCACCCTTCTCTAAAAGTAGATCTTTAGAAAAAATAAATCCAAACGATTTTACTACGAAACACGTGGGATGCACGTACGTTGAATTATTCGATAAACATGCTCATTAAGGAACATCTCTGAAGAAGCATTTCAATACTAGAAAAAATCGAGAAAAAGGGATTAATTTAATTATTATGCAACATAGATCTAATTAATTTTATTGAAGATATTTTGAGAAAGAGGAGAAAGAGAGAGAGAAACGTATGTATAAAACTAATTTCTTATGCAATTTTACATAATATTTCAAAATCAAATATTCTTTTACACATTCTTCAGAATAGATTCTAAAGCAACTTTTAAAGTGCTTTTTACAAAAAAATGTAGTGTAATGAATAAGTAATAAACAATTAAACTATATTCTTTAGTTAACTTTAGATAGATATTTCATTTTATTTTGCTGTGTATAGAATTTTAATTTATTAATTGTTAATTTGTAATTACAAAGATATAAAGATATAAAATTAATAATTTTTCTCCATTACTTAATCGGGAATTCATAAGAATCCGCGAAGAATCCGTAATTAAAAAAATATTTGAGATACTTTAATATAATATATTATATTATGTTTATTAAACACGTAACACAGGATCCTATTTTTCATTCGATTATGTGAGAAAACTTGCAGAAATAGATGTCGATCTATTTGCAGATACGCTCGATGAACAGAGAGTTAAAGAGTGTTGTCCTCTCTTTCTAAAAGTGTAAAGAATTCCGTGGCGCTACAGAAAATAAACGGAAAAAGAAACGAAAATACCAACGGGCGATTCTACCGAACATGTGATACGGTGCGTTGGCCCGTTGTAGAATAAATTATTCAACGTGATAATCAAGCTGTAGGGAAAAGAGGAAATATATCGAGCCCTAAAAGTCGAACGATGTCACGAATTTTCTTCATGTGCGATGCAACCTTTCCCTTCCCTCTAATTGTGAGACATCATAAATAAAAACATTAATCAATGATGCATTTTGAATATTCATGCAACGTGAAAGAATCTATACTTTTGCTTTCATCACTTAATTTTTCAACATTTTTGCAATTAAAAGCACATTAAATAATATAATTATTATATAATTATATCGATAAAAATTACTATATATTACTATACAATCATATATCTTAGTTATGCATTCATAAACTGCGCTTATATTGTTATTGAAATGAAGTCGTACATTGAAATTTTTTTGACAAAGTGTCGCCGATCGATGTTTATGAAATTTCACGGATCCCGATGAAAATAAACATTGTTTTCTACAAATCTCGTGCCATCGATTATTTATTGTCGTGACTTTTTTTATTTAAAGCACTTCACCTGAAAGAAATTGTCAAGTTTGACACATGTTCGGAATAAAACAAATGGAACATACGCTTTTACGGATCCTTCGTTTTCACTTCTTTTTTTCGCGTATCAAAGATAACTTGTAATCACAGTTATAAATTTAAACAGGAGACAGATAAACCCCAAATAATCACACATTTGTATTATTTCGAACGAAAGTGTAGCGCTATCGTCAGTCTAGTTATAAGTACATTGCACTTTCCTTTTCTCGTAATGCATATGAGACCTTTCTTTCCTTCCCATCTTTATGTGACACGCTCTTTCCCCCTAAACCCTCGTAATTATCGTCACGGCATCCGTAATACCGGCATCAAACAGTTAAATATACCATGACAGGCTCGAAAAACGGCGTATGCTACGGTTGCTTGTGTATATATGTCGTGGATTATTAACGGCTCCACAAGAGTTTTCCTAAGGAGCGTCCTGGCCCTCATAAATAAGATTTAATCAGTGCTTAGAGAGAGAGAGAGAGAGAGAGGGAGAGGGATCTGAATTTCAGAGTTAAAGGAGAGGGTTTTTTCTCTCTTTCTTTCTCTCTGAAACATTTATTTCTTCCCATTTTAAATTCTCGCACTCTCTGAACGTGACTTTTACAGCCCTTGAAATAAGCAATTTACAAATGTTAAATCCTTCGTTTACGTAAATTTCATTATTAAATTCACTATTAAATTTATTCATTTAAAGACAATATTGTAAATATTGTAAATATTGGCTTTCGATTAATTAATCTTTTCAGTGATATATTTTCAGAATAAATAAAATATGTTACAAATAAAGATTAATAGTATTCGGATGTAATTATATTATTATTTAATTTATAACAGAAAAATTAAAAAAATAAAAAAAGATCGAATTAGTCTTCACAAAGCGGAAGTTATTTGATTATATAAACAATCAGGAGTGAGATAAATATAATCAGAAACAGGTAAAAGATCGACATGTAAATTCAACAGATAAATTTACTATATAAACTATTTTTTTTAGGTCATATGAATGGATCGTTAAATTTTGGTCGATGAGTTCGCTCTGCTTCATTTCTAAAACATCTCTGCGTCGACAATAGAGCGTCTTACATGTCGATTTCATCGGAAGGCTGAATACCGTTCGGTGATTCAGATCAGCCGTGTTTGTTTATACGCAACGAGTATTCCATCCGACACGCGATCTGCGAAAATACTCCTTGCCAATATACGTGGGTGATAATATTGCAGATCCTAGAGCAAGAATGCTCGCTATAGAATGCGATGCAAACTGCATTCGCAAATACGCGTGAGACAATTGTCACTCGTGCGCGTCCGAGAATCGACGAGAATTCAACAGTTCCTGTCTCATTTAAGCAATACTGTTTTAAAGCCCTGGCACTTAACAACGCAGTTTTCGTTTATTACTCCCTCATTAACTGCTTGACTGCCACGTTCCAATTTAGTTCAAAGAATTTGAATGATAATGTGTGATCAATAATAATTTATTTTTTATTATATATTATTATATTATTTTTTATATATTATGTATAACTATATTAATATTACATATTATAATACTCTATTAATATTATATTATATTATATTATTATATTATTTAAGAGATTCTCAGAGAGTTATTATTTTATTATAACAATATTTGTTAACACAATTCTTATTTACAAATCTGAAAGATATCATATAAAAGACGGCATAATTCGCGAAAAATTTTCCTTCATAAAGATATATGTGCCTGCGTAAGCAAAGTTTATTTTAACTTTTTTTTATTTGTTTCGAAGGAAGCTCTGAAATATACAACAATATTTGTATGGCGTTACATCTTCTCGATTCGAATTGAAATCAGTTTACGTTTCTTTCTCTTTTGTGGATTGTTATATGTGAGGGTCAAGGAGAGGTTTCGTTCTCGTAATAATGATATAAATGATATAGAATAAGGGAACTATTGTTGGTTTTCTAAATTTATCCTGAATAAATAATGTATCTGTAAATCTCGAATATAGAGAAAGAGCATAAACGTTAACAATCGCAACAAAAAGAAACTGAGTCATGCTTACAAGCAAATCTCTTGCGCAGCCTTCCGTATCATTGTTACGAGAATTCAATTACAATATAAATGGATCAAGAATTTTTTTTCAGGTCAATTAATAGATAAAGATTACAACCTGTTAATATCCTTCGTGATTCACTTTAAGTATTTTATTGCGTTATTATGTAATAGAAGGTATAAAATAGCTACATTAAATAGCTATTTTTTGCAAGATATCTATTCATTAGAAAAACATTGAAAATTCTTAAAGATTCTTATTCTTTTGTATCTCGAAACATCGGGGAACTTTCATGGAATTTCATTAGAATTTAGAGAATTTTTTAAAAAGATACTTTTTTTGATAACTTTGTTCTTATACTGAAAGCAGTAGAGGATAAGCTATAGTTATAAATTATATATGTTTAATACATAATATACTATATAATAAATAAATAATATATAATATATTATATATATATATATATATATATATATATATTTGTTTATATAATTAATTAAATCTCTATTTATATAATTTTTGGTAATATCTTAATATACAAAATATGTAGTGCATATTCTTTAAATTTTAGTAATTAAAAAAATGCTTCAGATATTTATCTAATTTTATTCAGAATATTTATGAATCTATCATTTGAAATTTAAATGGCTCTGTATTTTTTCTTCATATGAATGAAAAGTATTAGAAAATAATAAAATAATAAAAAATTTATTTTAAGTTACATCAAAAAATCTTTAAAATATTCATCTTACTTGGAATTTTAAATAAAAATACGTTAGAAGATCGGGGAATTTTTTTATAAACTGTGTATAGAACCTGTTTTTTTCAACTTTAATTGCAAATTTGTAATATGATGGAGCAATTTAAAAACCGAAATTGTATTCAATGTTAAAAAAATTACAGAAAATGACTAATCTTGTTCTTATGTTCGGAGAAGTTATTTTTTGTTGAACTGTGTAATTCGTAATATCTTATAATATTTAAACACATGATATATCGCTATTAAAATTTTCTATAATTATACATATAAATTCACTGTTCGGTTTAAAGAAGTTAATTGCATAATAATGCGAATGATTTTTTGTTTACGTAATATACTCATGTATATACATTATAATGGATTTACGTTTCTTGTTACAGAACATCCGGGAAACAGATCAAGCGTTAACTGGAGAGGAGGGAATCACCATCACTTCCTGTACTTCCCCGTCGCGGTTTCCGACACCGAAGATGTCACGGTTGATCACGCGGCTCTGAGATTCCTTCTTGAAGGTGATTATAGACGCCCGCGCGATCTGGAAGTGCTGGTTTATTTCTGCACGCCGATTTCCCGACGTCTCCTGCTGCGGCGCAAAATTTCTCGGATACAGTCGACGGACTCCCGATGGTTGGAATTGGACTTCACCGAAGCGGCCGCTGACTGGCTCGAGCGGAACTTGGATAATCATGGTCTCGAGTTGGAGTTTCTTCACGACGGCCAACCGACGCGGCGCGATATCTCTTATACAACCTTAAATGTATTCACCACGTTTGAATCGAGTAGTAGGAGAAAGAGATCCACCCCCGAGGAGATAATGTCGCTGCATAAGGGACGGCGTAGCAAGTGCAAGGGCAACAATAATAAGAAGTGCTGCCGGCACGAATTGACGGTGATGTTCAAGGACTTGGAAGGTTTCGATTTTATTGTGTATCCGAAAAGTTTCGATGCTGGATATTGCAAAGGTCGTTGCCCACCCCGTTACAATCCAGCGCATCATCATGCGCTATTACAAAGTCTGTTATGGAAAGAGGATCGAAAGAGGGTACCCAAACCGTGTTGCGCACCCAGCAAGCTCGATGAGCTGCAGATTGTCTACTATGACGAGAACAATACCACGCGATTGAGCATGTCCCAGTGGAAGAGCATCAAGGTGCTGGAGTGCGCCTGTTCATGAGAAAGAGGAGCAAGAGAAAAGGAACGAAACAGTCTATCATCTCTACTAGAGACACATACTCTACCATCGCCGAGGACTCACCAAAGAATTGTCCGAATTACGGTTCGGTGGTGCCACACGTGGTTGCATCAAAATACATACTAATAATCATTAATAGATACATTAAGCAAAGGCGAAACTATATAAATACATTATAATCGTCTAAATAATTTTAAGACTCTTGCATATCTCTGCGACATCCTTTAGATTTCCATTTTTTTTTTTCGTTAGGTTCGTACCGATGAGGCATTACCGAACACGTCAGATCCTGTAATTCGTTTAGGGTCTCGCATTGACTGTGATACTAACGATATTTACTCATTATTATATTCCTTATTACGCAACGATCGCAAATTTCATATCATTAGGATAGCTTTGCTATATTTGAACCTGGTTAAGAAAAAGAATAAAGCAAGTTCTCCCGCTGTAACGAACTGTCATTGCATCTTTGCACATTTTAATATTGTCGACAATTATAGCGATGACGACAACGATGACGACCACGATAGTCATGTCAATTCGTTTTTTAACTTGGAGAATATCCTCTTCCTTGTACGAAACGCCATCATTGTATATCTATCTTTCTTTTCTATCTGTTAATTTATTATATATAGTCACGTAGATTTTTGTACGAAATAATTTATGGTCACAAGTCAATGTCTATTAACATAAAATGCGTGACAAAATTAAAATTCTTTTCTACCAAATCTATTTTATATCAAGGTTTTATTAGTTCCTACATAGTATTACGAATAGAATCTCGAGCATTTTTAATTTTTCAATTCTTTCGCGAATGCAATCTAACAATTGCAAATGTATATGTTACATTCTTGCAAAATTTCAATATATTTATACGAAATCTCCGAATTAATCGTCGTACATAAATTTTATGCATGTCGTAAGCATTTCGAGCTCTCTATCTGTGAAATAATATTTATTTTAACTAGGAAATATAACATATCGTGTATATTTATCGAGTGCGATAGAATTGATGACAATTTAACAATTGTTATTTACGCGTCAATATCAAATTGTAAAATTAATACACTTTATCCGTATACACTATTGTAAATTATAATCTAATTAACCACCAGCGGCGCCATATTACCGTCATTATTCCTGTCTCTCTCAATCGATTATCAACAAAATATCTGATGATGGGAATATATCTATAGCGAAGTCTTAAATACGTATAATCTATCAACTTTCAATAAAATATATTTATTTTTTTTTCTTTTTTACTTTAAACTGACATTTAAATAAATTATAATTTTTTTAAATGATACAAAATTATATTTAATTTAATATTCTTGAAAAATCATCGAAGGAAATCATTACTTTCCAATTTCTAAAATTTTAATTCAATATATCGACTTAGCAATTAAGTTTTAATAAAAGCGTATGTATATATGTGTATATATTTTATTATTTTATTGTATACTCTATTATTTTATTTTATATAGCTTTTTTATATTTAAAATTAGAATCGTACAATTATAAAATCAACACTTCGAGTCAAGCGTTACAATTTTATGAATAGGATGTAGCATGAAATTTACTATCGGCATGAAGGGTTATCTTGCTATGATAGCAATAAAATTTCATTAGGCGTGATGTTGCTTACCCCGTTCGAGTTCGAAGGTTACCCTGCATTATGCATTATGCAACCACGCGTATTCATGTGCATTCGAAAATAGTACTCTTAAATTGGAGATATTTGTTTAGCCATCGTAATCGAGAAATGAAAAATAAGCAGTCTCTTTGTTTTTTTTAACAAGCATGCTGGCCGAAATGTCTCATGAGTTTCAATTAGATTACTGATTATAAATTACAAATCGGCTATCAGTAGCGTCCAAATATGGAGTATTTCAAGAGATGTTCAATCATTGTTTGAACTAAAAATTATTACATTTACAAACATTTATTTTTATGTAAATAAAAATATACAATATAAAAGAACTAATATGTGAGATATAAATGACTAATTTGATCATCTGTCTCTTTTATTGATTCCTTCCCATTATAATATAAATATAAATATAATTACTTGCAAATGCTATCATTTTTGTGTGCTTACGTTGGTGCAGAAATAACATTACTAGTACTATATTTACAGATATAACATCTGTATAATAAAAAAAGCATCAAAAGTACAATGGTGGAAAAAAGCTAATATGTAAAGCAGCATAAGTATCAACCAATTATTCCACCGCTCTGTTTCATTAGATTTGGAATTTTCTTTTATAATATTATAAATGAGATAAAGATTTAGGCAAATAAATTTAGTTCGAAATAAATTTATATACCTTATGTATGTAATATTGCACATATTACATAAAAGGTGATGATATCGCAGTTATAATACAATCCTGGCAATGTAGTGATTTTTGGATCCCACTGAAAATAATTCAATTTGATTTATTTTTGAGAATTGCACACAATACTTAAGAGAGAATTATTTTTGTGCCATGTATTACCTGTGTAAAATTCCACGCATAATATCATATTGTCTGTGAAAAACTTCAACGATGAAATAATGTGGTTGAATACGATTAAAATATAAGAAAAGTAATATAGTACTTGTAATGAATAACGTTAATGCATAATACATGGAATACATAAATATTTTGTATTTTAGTTTCACATAATTGAAATGAGATACGACACTCATGATTACTTTAAAAATATGTCCACAAATATCATTTAACTTCAATAGCTGCACATTTGTCAAATTAATACGTTAAATGCATCATCACAGCAGCTTGTTTTGATTAATTTAATCTAATCTAACCAATTTTATTACATGCTCCTCATTAAAATGTATAAAACTGTATCACTGTTACGTCGCACATTTAATATATAATAATATATAATATATAATTAATATACTATATACTATATAATAAAATATATTATACTAATGATTAAATATTATTTTTAAAAGCATGATAAAATTCACGCAACATATGCTCGTGTTTACATTCGACATTTAAAGACATTGGAAGGTTAGGTTAGGTTAGATCAAAAAAATTATCGTTTGACGGTTGGCATCCCTACAAGATAGGCGCGCAAGCACTGCACGCGCGTATATAAAGTAAACTTCAAATCGCTTCTAGCCAAACCATCTTCACGCGATTGACTTTACTTGAATTGCATCGCGTCCCATCGAATTATGATGCGGCGCCAATTTGCCCGAACGTAATTTGGGACGTCGCGATGCTGTATAAGCGTCGAATGACCACGAATAGTCACGCAAATATGATAAATCAAATCAACTCACCGTTCAGCGGCTGTCCCACAGGTCGCTCCATTCGCTGGCCTCAGGACGTCCAATTTCGATCTTGATGCACATAAACTCACACAATATCACCGACGCGAACGCGCGACACTTTATTCGGCACTCCCGATACTTGCTAGCATCCGATAATCATCATCGAGGGCGCGAATAATGCGACGCGACTTCGCTCGACCTTCGCGATGACGCCATCATTGAATATCGTTGAATATCTCTGTCGCGCGCTTCCATCGACACATTATAAAAGCCGCGCGATTATCCTTGGACATTTTCAACGTTCATTCACTCGCGATATTCGTTATTTACGATTAAAAGACGCGAAAAATGCGGATGTACGACGACCTGCGTGTGACCTCGACTCACGTATGACGTGCAATAACGCGGAACTAACATGGCGGCCGAACCGATGCGCATTCGTTTCTGCGCATGGCCATTACTGCGCTCGACGTTCGCGCGACTTTGATTTTTGAAAATTGTCTATGGCTTTGATTAATAGCATATAATAATAAACATATAAATAAAAGTAAATATATAAATAAAAATAGCATATAATAATAAATATATAAAGATTGAATCAATTAATCATATTGGTCATATATGTAGATGTGCCCGAAGAAAAAGAAAAAAAAATTGAGAAATATTTTTAGTTTTCTTTAAAGAATGCAAATATTTATTCATAGTTTTGTTTTTCTTTTCCTTTTCCGCGCGATTTCGATTCAATATATAATATAGAAAATGTAGTATATTGGTTTATTTTTATATATTTATAACTATAATATTCATTTTTTGACACTTACAATACGTGTACTATATACACTAGCAGGCCATGACACCTCTCTCAGTTTTCTCTCCAATAAATAATATAAATAAAAATATAAATAATTTAATTAATAATAATTTATTATATAAAAATATTAGTATGTTCTCTCTTTCCACGCTATTTTTTATTTATTTATTTATGTGTCTTTTTTCTTTTCAACATCATTTATTTATTAATTTATTTAACTCGCTATAAGTCAGTCTTTTAAAATACAGAACTAAATATTATAGAATTTGACTTCCCAAAAGCGCGGTAAAACAATCGAATAAATTACAAATAATTAACTCCGTGATTAATTGTTTAATAAATAATCAATTTTAATTCAATTTTAAATCAATAAATTAAAATATTTCTACAATTTAATATTCAATTCGTGTATATTTTATAGTATATAAAATATTTCAGCAACGAATTATCAATAACATTATGTTCGACTTTGACGCCGTAAACAATAGCTATTGTTTGCACGTTACGGTTTTGCTATCATTTGTTCGGTGACATTCGAGCAGTAAAATAATGATTCAAAATGCTTCGTATGTTAATTAATTGTTTAATAAATAATTGTTTAATTAATCTATAAATTGAAAAACTTGTACAATTTAATATTTCCATATAAAACAGTATATGTTATAGTAAGTAAAATATTTCGACAATGAATTATTAATAATGGTGAGAAAATGGAAAGAAAAAATATATAATTTGCAATTAACAATTACATATTCTTTTATCACGGAAAAGCAACAATAATTAACTTCGATATGTTCGAATAATTGATTACAATTTATATTTTTCAAGAGTGAAAAATTGGAATGGGAGGGTTAACAATCTAGTATTACATATTCTATGGTCTATTTCTTGCTTATTGTCACGTGACCGATTTTAGTTCGCTTGTACCTGAATTGAAGGCGCTAGCCCCTTTTCCAGGAGAATTTGCGTATATTAGTTAGGATTGATCGCGAGGGTTTGTAAAATATATATTGAATCTTAAAATATTCCTATAATCCGTCCAAAATCGTATAAATGCAAATGATAAATTTATTCTAATAGTTAAATTAGATTTATAATTTGCAATATTAAAATACAATTAATATGCGTTTAAATTTAGTAATATTTAGCAGTAAAATAACCTATAAAAAGAATTGATATTTTCATGCAGGATGGCTCCAAGGTATGAATTGGCCGTTGGCCTCAACAGGGGTCACAAAACGACAAAGATTCGTGTTGCAAAAAACAAATCTGAAAAAGAGAAAACTCTCTGTATCCGGCCAGCCAGATTAAAAGGGGTTAGTATAATGTAGAAAATCTTTTTCTTTGTTATTATATGTTGTGTTCTTTCAATCAATATATATATGTTGCATAATCTTCGAGAATTTCAATATTCTCTTATGTGTACTAATTCATCTTTAATTTTTTAATATCAGAAACAAACTAAACATAGCAAATTTGTGAGAGATTTGATACGTGAGGTCACAGGACATGCGCCTTATGAAAAACGTGCTATGGAGTTGCTAAAAGTGTCAAAGGACAAGCGTGCTTTGAAATTTTTGAAAAGAAGGGTAAATATCTACAATTTTTGACGCTTTAGATAAGCAATAATTTATAAAAAGTCAATTTCTTGTTTTTCATATAATTATTTTAGAATCAGGATCTGTATTCTGTAACTTGTAACATTTGCATTACATATGTTGTGCAGTTATTTTATGGTATAAAAATCCTGCACAGTGATATATAACACAAGCATTAAAAGTTACAGAATAAAGCTATTGAATTGTTTACAGATTAATATATGATATTGATAGTAGAATAGAAAAAATACATACAAATCTTTATAAAAATTTTAAAATTTTTAGAAAATTTTTTTATATAGAAGAATTTTATATATATATATTTTCTTTTCTGTAATATATTTATTTTTACAAATATGATTTTTATTATTTTTCAGCTGGGAACTCATATTCGTGCTAAGAGGAAGCGAGAAGAGCTTGGAAATATTTTGGTACAAATGAGGAAAGCAGCTCATCATTAACTTTTCTTAAATATGTAAAACATTCATTTCTTAAATAAATCAATATTTCAAATCAATAAAGAGACAAAGTACAGGATATTAAGATTAATTAAATGATGTTCCTTTTACCATCAAACAAAATCTTTAGATTTAGGTATATAAGCAATTATTCATTTTATTATTGCTATTTCTTAAATTATACAATAGATGTTTTATTTTATCATTTCATGAGATTATTGTTGAAAATTAGGCGAATAATTTTTTGGAGATAAGTGCGAGAGCAGACAAAAGAATATATGAAGTATAGGGAAAATAAGCATATAAAATAATGTAAAAGTAAATATGTATTTTTTTTTAAATATATCAAAAAATAATAAATTAAAGTAAATTTATGACTAAAACAAAGTTTAAAATAAATGCTAAGGGGATTATGATTTTTATATTAAATATGTATTTTTAAACATTACAAACTGTATTAAGAATATAAAGGATTTACTTTTTAAGTAAGCATATTTATAGCAAATATATATAAATATATACATATATTTATATATTTATACATGTATATATAAATATATACATATACATTTATATAGAAGAGTATTAATCTTACTTAAAAAATCTGCAAGAAATGATAGAAATATATTCAAATTTTTTAATTTTTCACATTTTTTATTTTATTATAAACTATCATTTTAAACATATTTTTGCTAATAAGATTTATTCTTTATAATTGAACTTTATATTTAATACTTTTCATTTTTCCTTTTTTTTCTCTGACTTTTAAAAATACATATATATATATATATATATATATATATATATATTTATTTATTTTATTTTTAATATATATACTAGTACAAGTATGTACATCTTAATAAAACCCAAGTTTTTAAACTTTAATTTGAATATTTTAATCAAATTTGCGAAAAACTTGTTTTAAAATTATATATTATGTAAATATATACATATATAGTTTATAAACTACAAAAATTCTATACCATTTAAAGTCGATTATAATACATAATATTAACGTTATATTTACTATATGGATTATTTATTCTGTAGACTGTAGACAATCAGGATTGTCGGCAAACAATGCAAATAAATGAATTGTTGATAAATAGGATTATAAATACAAAAAAAAATAAAGCTTTCTTCAATTTAATAAATTATATATTATATATATATGTATATGATGTAATCTGAAACAAAGAAACTCGAACGAGTTTCCGTGGTGTAGTGGTTATCACATCCGCCTAACACGCGGAAGGTCCCCGGTTCGATCCCGGGCGGAAACATTTTTTTCTTGCAAAAAAGAAAAGTGTTATTCTTTAACTAAATTATTTTTATCAATCTATTTTTGGGAAATTTTCAGAAAAAAAATTTGCACTTATCTTCATTATGATAAATATTCTATTATATAAACTTTTTCTTTCAGGATTCATTATCCAGAATATCATATAAATACGAAGTGTTATTACATCATTTTGTAGTTGAATTTTGATGATGAATTACTATTCAAATATTGTACTAAAATGTAAACATTCAAATGTAAATTAAGATAAGTAAAAACAAAAAATTATAGCACTCCATTCACAATCCAATCTTATTTTCTGTCTTACTCATATTGAATTATAAAGTCAAAGCAGAAAATTATTTTCTTATTGAATTAAATAATTTCTTATGCTACACATCATTTCAAAATAATATTCAAAAGTATAAATTGGTAAAATATATTGAAACATTTTTTTCATATTATTTTACATTATTTTTTAGTAAAAACACATTTTATTCACAAAAGCACTGTATCCTCCTTTATTCACAAAAGCACTGTATCCTCCATTTTCAATAATTGACTTGTTAAAAATTGATCATGAATTACGAGAATATAAAGAGAATCTTCAATATATTTTTATCAACTTCTACTATATCAAAAGTAAATATGAAAAAAATTTATTTTAACGTCAAAAATTAACATGAGAGGCTGCTGCCTCTGTCATAATTTAACATGATTTTAATCAGAAACATTATAAAAAATTATATATTATTATTAACATTATATTACAAAAAAATTATATATTATTATTAACAGTATATTATTATTAAATATCTATACAAGTTTTTTTTAATTATATTCACATAAATGTCCACAACCAGCAGGACATTGTCGATTACCATTAAACCACTCCCTCATATGATTTATATGGCCTCCATGTGCACAACCTTGACACCATACATACATTCCACGTACAACCTGTACATAAAAAAATAAAATAATCTTTCTCTTGTATAACAGTTCTCTTCTTTTCTTTCTCTCTTTGTAATCTCTTTCATCAAAATTATTTTATCACAATCAATTGCAATCAATATTCATATTAAATGTAATTGATTAGTATATTTTATTTTTTGATAATATATTTATATTAGATGTAATTGATTAGATAATATAAATTTTTCATATTTATAATTAACAAAATAGATTTTTAAAATCAAATGCAAAATTTGTTATTATTCATATAATAAATCAATCAAATAAATTACTAAAAAGGAAATACATAATTACATAAATAATTATAACAATATTATATAAAAGAAATAAAAAATTTAATAGTAATAATAAAATAACAGTAATCTTATAATTTTCTGATTTGTTTAAATTTCATTCTGTGTAAATAAAAAAGATATTACAAGATATTACAAGAAAATTTAAATGAGAAAGCTTTTATGAATTTATCAAAAACATTCTCTTACCTGATTGCAAATGGAACAAAGAGCATGTTCGGATGTATGACAATGATCGCACAACCAAGCAGATCGTTGCAACTGTTTTGTGCATGCTGCACAAGATACGTGTATCAAGGTTGATTGTTGATTCAATTGCGATATAGAAGGAATCCATGCCAATTGTATTATCTGTGCAAATAAAATTCTTTATAAAATAAAATCTCTTATATCTAATTTATTTTTTATTTAAATAAAGATCAACGTGTACAATAAATGAAGCAACAAAATTTTAGATATAATTTCCGTTTTAGAAAAAAATATCGCTTGTTAAAAAATAATATTTTTCAATTATAAATAGACCTGTGTAGCTATATGCCAAAGTTTAAATTTGCCAAGCAAATCCAAATATTCCAGTATCCAATGTTCTTGCAAAGCTATGGGAAGCATTAAATTTTTTCTCTTTTCTCCTAAGGCAATTAGCATCGATACTGTTGTTTGTACGTCTCTTACTGCCGCGTGATATTCCAACGCTTCCAAGATTACGGACGTGAAATCAAACAACAATGGCTTAGGTAGAAGTGGTACTACTAATTGAGGTTGATCCTCAATTATAACGGAAGTTGGATCTTCGCCGAGTTCAGTGGGATGGTTAGGAAATTGTTCCGGTGGTGGAGATCGATCCTTTATCTCATGTCGTAAAGGGAAAGCCTCTTTCTGCAATTCTTTGGTCCATTCATCATCTTCCATACGCATTACAATATGCCTACTTTCACTAGGATGTTCCAACGACACAGGCTCATATTCAGTTTCCCCAAAAATAAAATCACCTCTCGATGTTGAAGGTACATCACTGAGCAATGGTCTTCTGTAATAATTATCAAATCCTCCTCAGATAATATAAAAATTACTATAATTTTAATTACATCAATAGAAATCGATTAAGTTTGGTATATAAAATCTGTTTTAGACATTTTATCTATACCTTGGCAGAACAGTTGCCAAGTTAGTCGACGGCCCTGTAATATTTGGATTCTCTGGCGCGTCTGTTTCTGTTTCAGTCTCATCGTCGCCGCCACTGACAGCACCAGTCGGGTTTTCACCCTGAAGGGACTTTGTATCGTGTTCATGACCTAAGAAAAATAATGGTCTATTATTGTATTGTTATTATTGTATTGTTTATTAACAATAGCACAATATTAATATTGTTAATATTATTTATCATTTCCTCTTCACTCACTCGATTGTTTGCTTGCGTTTGATTGTTCCATACCAGAATTCTTTGTTGCTCCTGATATTATGTTTGAAGTATTAACTATATCTTCCTTGGGTGCCATTGGCGACATTTTTAAAAGCAATTCGAGAGGATCCCCATACATAATTTTCAGAACTTGCCATGCTATACCAAGCTGTGTAATAAATATATAAGATTGTTATTATCAAAAATATATTAGAATTATTATATATATACATATACAGATATATCATTACAGTTGTTTTGCCAAAACTGATTGCGACGCGTGCATTGTGATCACAGATATCATTTAAATTTCCAGAAAGTAGATAACCTTCTGCAGCTATCTTGAACCAACTTGGTTGACAATTGTTCAAAGTGAATTTATGCATTACACTTGAAGCCATACAAAAAGTATCATCATTTGTCACAAGTGGTTTCCTATAAAAAAATAAAGAAATAACAATTTTATCATTATTCTGACAAGAATTTCTCTTATAATTGTAATATTATTTTGTGACACATCATATAATTCACCTCATTATACTACTCAGTTGTCTTGCAGTAGTGGCTGGTTCATATTTTACTTTACAAGCATATATAATTTCGCTCTTTAAACCTAATGCAACACTTTGTGGATTTGCTTTGCTGGCTGGTCTTATCGCATCGTCAAAAATATGATGATACAAAGTGCAATCCTAAATTAAAATGAAAATAAAAATGATAACTGCATTGCACATTGTACTTGTGGTAAAAAGTGTTATAAAAAAATGGTTAACATTACTCTGCTTGTCGATAGAAATGATTGTGGATTGCCTCTCCATGCCACACCTGTAGGAACATCTTTATGTTCATTGAAACTTGCAAATGGAATATATGGTCTGCGAATATCCCATACATTTATACTACAATCAACTACTAGAGCACAACTTGCTATGTGATATTTTTTCTGAGGCCTCCATTTAATGCGCCCCACTGATGCAATAGTATGTATAGCATAATCGCAACTTGGTTTACCTGACAGATCCCAAACCTATAAAGCATGCACAAAGAATATAAATATGCAATATCAATATTTTATAAAGATTTATGTATTAAAAATATAAAGTAAATATGTATAATATATAATGTATAAAATAATATACCTTAATAGTTTTATCTCTAGATGCAGTAGCAAGCCAAGTAGCTTCAGGGTGCCAATCACAAGCAAATATTGGACCACTATGTGCAGTAAAATGTTGAAAAAAACGATCTGGCTTTCTCATGTCCCATTGTTGTACCTGTCCATTTTCAGATACAGCAGCAAAAGTATGTGGTTGTTGTGGACAAAATTGAACATCTCTCACTGATTCTGTATTACTAAACACACAAATACATAAGAGTAATACAAAATTAATATAAAATTAATCAATTAAAATTAAATATTAAATTAAATCACAATTATTTAATTTATTATAAAATTAAATTAAATTAAACATACCAAAATTCAAAAAAACATTTTACTATTATTTCTAATAATTATATATGAGTTATATAATATGTATATATGGATAATTAAATTTGATGTAAGATGTAGATAATTAATTAATAGATATATAATTTACCTATAAAAAGTTTTTATGGCTTCCTTTATTCGTAAGTCAAAACATTTCATAGTACCATCTTGTGAGCCAGATATTAACCACATAGGTTCTGTCATATGAAAGCTCACTTTATTGACAGTTCTTTTATGATCTATAAATACATGTTCCTGTTTTGATCGAGATTGTTTGTTTAGGTTCCAAACAACCACTGCACCATTTGTTGCTGCTGTCGCCAATATATGATCTATAAAATAATATAATATAAGACAATCTAATAATAATGTAGTATATTAATGTGTAAATCTGTATTGTAGTATATTAATGTTTTTAATGTAATAATATGTAGACCTTCTATGTATTACATAGAAGATTAAATATAGAAGTACTAGAAAACTAAAATATAGAAGTAAAGTTGTAATATAAACCAGAAAAAAATTCAGATATTTATTTCCTATAATATTATTATCAATTTCTTCTCTTTAAATTAATATAATAATTAAAGTAAATTGTTAAATTACCATCATTGAGGTTCCAGGCAACATCATTGCAGGAAAAATTAAGATTTAAATTTTTTCCAACCCGAAGATTACAGGCTTCCTCAAACTTATCCTCCAGCAGAATAAATATCTTAAAAACTGCAATACAATATTATACTGCAATATAATTCACCTATGTGATACAATTATGTTAAACAATGTGAAATTTTATTCCATAGTATTTATATATATATTTTTTATAAGACAAAAAAATTAAGAAATGTAATTAAATCTAAGATTACATAAAATATATAGGCATACGTTTACGTTATAACAGTTATGATATAATGGATTATTATAATTTTTGGATAAAAATTATAATAAACAATCCATTATATCATAACTGTTGAACTTATAACATATCTATTTTTTCAAAAAAAATATATATTATGCTAAAAAAGACGCACCGTTACGGCCGGCTATCACAACCTGGCTATTATCTTTATTAAGGGCTAAGGCATTTGCAGGTCCTTCTTGAGCAATGCATATGGTTTTCGATGTCATACTGTTCTTTTGAAATAACTTTGAATTAACGTTAAGTTACTGTCATAATAATTTATAATAATTTATAAAACCATCATTTCTTTTCGCGAACTATAAACATACATTGTACTATAACAGTACAATCATTGACGAGATACTGATAAAGACAATCAACTCAAAGTTTAAAAAGTGCACTAATGTCACAGTTTAATGTTCTCTTAAATATTATAGATATATAAAGGTAAAAATAATTTATCTTATAAAAATATTTATATGTTATCTTTCAGAAAGCATTTTTTATTTATTTGTATATATGTTATTTTTTTTTTTCCGACGATATGTATGATTTGTATGTGTATGTATAATTATCTATTTATTTATTTTCCGATATGTATAATTTTCTATTTATTTATTCATTCTTCATCAATCTTCAGAAATGCAAAATTACATTGAAGACTCTGATCTTGAAAGATTTAAAGCAAAACAATCTATATAGTCTATACACATTTTTATATTATATAACATGATGTATATACATATATAATGACAAAATAAATATATCTTATAAGAGCAAGATATTCCTTTGTAGATTTAAAAAATTGTAATTATATATTTTTAATATATAATGATTTTACATCCTTTACGTTTAATTTTTTACTCTTCTTTTTCTTTTTACTCTTTACTTTCTTCTTTTACTCAGGATTCAAAAATATCTTGATATAAAAATTAACTTCAAAACACTTGTCAAAGAGAAGAGCTGATTGCGAATTGCCATGTCTTGTCAATACTCAATGTTGATTTGTCAGTTCTAAAAGCAAGAGCCAATCACGTTCGATCGCTACTAAGCGATTTGTCTACTGAACGGCGCTTAAACGAAATACGGGAGTTAGCTATCTATTTGCTTGTATCATCTGTGGTATCAGCAGTTAATGCTCCGATCCGGGTTCCGGCTATGGATTTTATGTGTCTGTGGAAGAAGATGTGAGACTAATCGCCGATACGTATCAACGCCCCACGTGACGATAAGTGGATGATGATCCGCGCAAAATATGCCCGCTAATTCCGAATGCGACGAGCACGCGAGAGAACGATAGTTCGAAGCAAATAAATAACAATTGACATATCCACGTAATATATAATCACGAATAACCCATTCGTGCATAAAAGGAGAAGGCCCCGTAGGGATTATCACTGCGTCACGGATAATGTTATTGATTGATTTTTTAATGACTCACGCGTCGACGAACAAACGACAATTCCATCACAACGTTACATGGAACAGTAATATCAATCTATTAATGAGATACGCATTCTTGCTGTTAAGCCTCCTTGTAATTCTCCAGTCAACACCGTCGGTTGTCGCGGGTGATTCCTTGGGAGATCCATATAAGATATTAGGCGTATCGAAACATGCGACTCTGCAGGAAATTCGAAAGGCTTACAAGCACCTTGTCAAGGAATGGTAAGAAGTGATACATCTACTTCAGCTTGGAAACATCTGCAACGCTGCATATATACAAACAACATTATCAGAATGTCTACTCCTTGGAAAAATTAGGAAATTCTCATAGAATATTCTTAGTAATCGGGACATTTTTCTTTTAAATTTCCTCTTATAAATATAAATAATAGTTTTGCTTGTATATTGTAAGCAGTCGAGACAAAAAGTCAAAATTATAAGTTATATGTTTAACATATATTATAAATATATCTCTGTGTTTATATATTTGTACAAAATATGTAATACATATTTTTTATTGTAATTATTTCTGATATGAAAATGAAAATATGCAAGTGAAAAATATTTATCTTACAAAAGCTACTAAGTTCTTTTTAATACATTTGCATATCTAACATGTGAAAGGGTTTGTTCTTTTTAGCTGCATTGCTGCGCTAGTGCAATAAGTTGGAGAGAGACAAACATACTTTCTTTCACTCTAATTAATTGCACTAGTGCAGCAATGCAGCTAAAAAGAACAGGCCCAAACTTAAATAATTCTGTGTTTTTCTTTGTATAAGTGAAAAATAGAAAATGCATATAATAAAGAAATTTATTTTGGAAAGTTGTAAAAGAAAATTTTAAATATTTTCTTTACTTGGAATCTTAAACAAAATATCTCAAAGATCAAAGAATTCAAATAAAATTTTTTTACAAGATTTATAAGTAGATACTCTGATCATTAAATATAAAATATAAAATGTCTCAATACATAATATACAAATACCTTATTATATATTTTTGTTAGGCATCCAGATAAAACCGATCATCCAATGGCTGAGGATAAATTTGTAGAAATAACAAAAGCTTACGAGGTATGTCTTGTTTAAAATATCATTTATAAGGCAAGGAAATAATATTGAATACTATTAATTCTTGAATTGTTTAGCTTTTGACAGATCCAGAAAGAAGGAGAAAGTTTGATAATCATGGGATCACAGACGAAGGTATTCCCAGACAAAGAAGGGACAATAGTCACTTTAATGTTCTTGATCCATTGGAAGAATTATTTACTAGTAATTTTAAGCAGTTTCATTATCAAACTAGAGACATCACACTATTCCATAAAATGAGTATTACTTATCGGTTTGTGTCTTTTTTTGTGCATATTAATTTATAATTGTTGTTGTAAACATATTAAATATCATATAAATTACAGATCGTTCGAGAATGTGATAATACCTAAATCTTATCGTACTCCATATTTAATTTTATTTTATTCCGATTGGTGCTTTGCATGTCTGCAAGTGGAGCCCACTTGGAGACGATTAATTGATGAATTGGAACCTCTAGGACTTGGCTTGGCTACAGCACATGCCAAGAAAGAATCTACCTTGGCAAGAAGACTCGGCATTCACTCGCTTCCATGTCTTGTTGTTACTCTAGATGGACGTACTAGCGTCTATAAAGAATCTTTACTTAGTATTCAAAAAGTTGTTGGTATGCTTTCAGAATATCATATCTGGTATCATATTCTTCATTTCTATAAAATCTTATTTCAGACTAACAGACATTTATTTGCAGAATTTGTACGAAGTAGACTACCATATAAATTAATAAGTACAATTAGTAATACCAATGTAGAAAATTTCCTATCGGGATGGACAGATAATAGAATTCGCGCATTGATATTTGAAAAGAGAGACTTTATTCGTTTGCGATATTTATTAATGTCTTTTTACTATAGAGATCGGGTAGCCTTCGGTTTTGTGCAGGTAAACATTGATTTTACGCATATATATATATATTTTTTTTTCCATTAATATATTAGTTTTTAATATAGTTTTAATATTATATTTTAATAAATTATAATATTAATTATATTAATTTATTATTTTTTTAAATATATATCATTTTTCTTAATATAATATGTTTATTACTTCTTCCAGGTTGGTATAGCTGAAACTGAGAATATAACGTCAAAATACAAAATCTCGGGAGAATTAGATACTTTACTACTTTTTAATGAAAATTCTGAGAAGCCTATGGCATCCATTAGTATGAAGGACATTTCCAGTGAAACCATGCATAATGTTATTGCCAATAATAAGTTTCTTGTATTGCCAAGACTTTCAAATCAAGCAATGCTGGATTCTATATGCCCGCCCGAATGGTTAAGACCGCAAAAGCGTCTGTGCGCCGTTTTAATATCGCAACAAAATAGTCCTTTGCATGACATAGCTAGGCACAAATTTAGACAAGTTGCATTGGAATCGTCTTATAGGTAAGTCTTATATAATATCTTAATAATATAAAAATTTTTCTTTAAATTTAATATATGCATATTTTATCGTAAAATACATTCTTATTAATATATTCTTAATAATATATAATTTATCTATAATTTTTTAGTGATTTTTATAATAATATTTATTAATATTGATTTATTTAAATTAAAAAATATTAATTTCTGTATATATGTATCTCCAACATTTAATTTATTAATAATATTGTTAACAGCACAGACCGCGTCAGGTACGCGTACGTGTTCAAGGATACGCAATCTGAATTTGTATCAGCATTAGCAGCCGGTGAAGGTAGTCCATTGGAACCATTATTACATATTGTCATCATCTGGAGACGAGATGCTAATCATTTGAAGTACGAATGGCTTCCTCATGGTTGGATTGAAGCCACTCAGGACGATCGTATATGGAATGAAACGCGTAGACATTTAGAAAAAACCATACAAAAGTTATTGCGTGCCACTGAAGCTTTACCTTATGCTGCTGTCGTAGGAGAACTAGCAGATGAACATGCACAGGTATATATCCTAATAATATATAATCCTAATATAATTTGCAATTTGTTACATTCTCTATATACTCATACACTTTAATGTTATTTTGTTGTAGGGTACTGTAGATAAATTGATAGGAAGGGCGTTATTAGCAGTAGATTATATATCTGATAATTTAACAAAAGAACAAATTCTGCCTTTGATATCAGTATTAGCAACTCTTATGTTAATTGGAGCCGCAGGGTACGGAATGTCATATCTAGTGTGAGTAGAATTTAATTATAATAGTATATGACCTAATTTCGATATTGCAGTAAAATATTAATTTAATTAAAAATCAAGTATTAATATTAATGGATTATCAAAAAACAGACTCTGCTAACAAATAATTACTAATTTTTTAAGCATACATTCACTGCATATATTAAAAATAATTGATTACTTATAAATAACATATTTTATATTACATCAATTTGTTGAAAAATGTACGATTTTACATAGTCTCTATATTCTTGATGTATAGCAAGCTAGAAGAAGCAAGTGTTCAAGCTGAACGTACCCAATACAAAGATAATGCAAAGTCAATTTCATCGCAACCGCAATTACGATTACATGAATTACGTGCGGAAAAGTATAATGGATTGGTTCGACTATTAAAACCAGGATGTAGGACTATTATTCTACTGGTTGATGCTCAAAGTCGTTTAAAGTTATTGCCAGCTTTTCATAGAGCTGTGTGGCCTTACAGGTATGTTGGTCATTTTTCTTACTGTAATTAGTACTTGTACATAATAACTATACAGCAAGTCTGTCTTATATATTATATAAAATTAACAATATATAAATTGTAGATAATAATAATATATAATAAATTATAACAATAATTAATAAATTGTAGAAATTGTAGAAAATATGATAAATTAATTTTTTATTCTCAGAAAGAATAAAACGCTCATGTTCGCACATATGTCATTAGAGAAGGGTCTTGACTGGTACAAAAAACTGTTATCACTCACTTTATCCGAGCAAAAGGATTTAAATATAAATGCCAAGAATTGTGTGGGCACTGTCCTGTCTTTGAATGGACATCGAAAGTATTTCTGCATGTACCATGCTAAACATCCAGAATGTAGCAAGGGTAAAGGTTCTAAGGTACATATGGTATATATATATATATACTTCAAAAAGGTTAATTATTAAAAAATATATTAATAAAATTATATTATATCTCATGTACACAGCGTATTGAAAAGATGACCAAGCAGCTTGCCCGAACACCGGAAGATCCGGAAGCTGGCGCTTTTATTGGTTTCGAGAGTTCTAATGAATCCGATATGTCTCAAGATGAGGTATGTAATAAATATGACCCTGATTTTTAACGATTTTCGTCGACAATAATTTTTGAATATTTCTACAGGGTGGAAATGTTTTATATCAGGACAATCTTTTAGATGGTTTACCGATGTGGCTCGATAGATTATTTGAAGGATTAACACATCGTTATTATATCAATTATTGGCCCGAGTTCACTGCCAAGTAAAGAGAAAGAGATAAAACATTTCTTTTTTTTATATGCGTAAAGAAAATTATGTCACCTAGGGACATATCTTGGAAAATATGCTATCTACTTTTCTATTATTAGTGGATATTTTACAGCTTAATAATGCTTTGCATCGGTCGTTGTTTGCCTATAATTTAATTAACTACTCATTTCATGTAATTTAATTTTTGTTTTTTAGATTTTGATATATTTAATTTTTTTTTCATAAATAAATTAAAATATGTAGAGAAATTCTGTATAATTTTTATACATTACACACATACGTATACACAAACACACATACGATATATTTATAAAACTATATTTCAATAGATGTATATTTTTCAATGTTTATAAGTACATAATATATTTATATTTTTTTCTTTCTTGTTATAGATTATGTTACAATGTTTTACAGAAAACAAGAATCTTAAATTAATTAATCACAATAACAGTATTATTTAGATGATAAAATGAATAACTGATTAATACATATAATACACATGATTAATTATAAGATTTGATGAATTATATATATTTATTTATATATATTGTTTCAGAGTCATTAGACCATATTCTGAATCCTCTTTTATCAATAAAAGTACCCTCTAAAAGTGGCTTATAGCCAATCAGAAGGCTTAAGCCATTTTTAAAGATACTTTTATCAATAAAAGAGGATTCAGAAGATGAACTAATAACTTTAAATATAGTATATTGTTATTATATGGTATAATATGGACCATTAAAAAGAAATATAACTAAAAATAGAAAAAAAATTAATGCAGCGATATAAAATGAGAAGCAAAACTGACATTAGGTTTATTTTTCTTTAATTAAATGTAATTAAAAATGTGATTAAGCAAAAATTGTTAAAAAGAGTATTAAGATGTTAACTTAAAAAACTATAAATTTGACAAATATGTTATATATATATATATATATATATATATATATATATATATATATAATTAGAAAAGAAATAGCATATAAAAAATAAGTCCCTAGGTACCACAGTCCTTCTATATTATATATAAAAATGATAAAGAACAAGGTTCGTCTAGTCAACAGAATATTGCCATCAGGAGATACTGTGATTCGAACGGATGCAACCCTATTGAAAGACAAAACATATTCACTACTTATTCTAAGCATTATTTATAAATCTATTTACAGTTTCTTGCATTTTAATGTTTTTAGATTGATCTTTAAGTATTGTTAAAAAAAGTATACTAAAAAAATTATAGAAAAAGAAAGAAATATATATTATCACCAGATAATCAATCCATCTTTTTGGACATAGATCAACATTTTCTGTATACTACTTCGTCCGTTCCTATAACTATCTGAATACTCTTTTTCCTCAAAATTGCTTGTAATTATCTAGTCAAAATATTACTGAGAATTTAGTGGTATTTATATTGCAGTACAAGTAAATAGAATATCTATATTTCTGCAAATAGAAAATTGCAGAATCGTGATTGATTAATCGCGATTCTCTTTACGTTCGAATATTTTAATTTTATGACATAATAACGATCGCTACTTTTAATGTCATAAAAAAAATGTAAGCCCATATTAATATGTTTATATACGTCCTTTAAGGAAGCATATCTCTGTCGCTTGTTCACTCTGTTTATCAATATTCGCTTATTGAATATGTTTTATCTCGAATCCAAATGTTAATAGCGCATATATCTATAGGATTTATATATTTTATCTATATATAGTTACCGTAAAATCGAAACATACATTAGTGTGAGAGTACATATATGTAAGAATTTCGCCCTTATCAAGATTTATATACGTCCATTGCTTTATTTTCAATAATTTTATTTTTTGTATTCGCATATTTATCATTCATTATTCAGTATTATTTAAATAATACACACAGTTAATATATATACTATTTTTAATTATATATATATATATATATATATATATATATATAATATTATTTAAATAATAAATATTTAATCCAACCATTTGATATTAACAATCTCATTTTTGCAGGTATATTTACTTTCTTCGGGCTTTTTTTCACATTTTCTTTGCAAAGCGACAGATATAAATACGTATTACTTATATAAGATTTATGCCTGCTATAAGAAGCTATTAGAAAGTATATTAAATATATATTATAGAAACATGAGATATCGTGTCACACGAGATAATGCTGTTAAAAGTTACATGTGTTAACTCAATTGTTTATACTTTATATCCTTATATGACGATTAAAATTGACAAAATATACACATGTAGTTTAATAATTTTTACCCTAATGTTAATCTCATTTATATTGTGTTTTGTACAGTATTTCTTTACATAAAGATTTAGATTTTAAATAGACATTCAACAATGCTCTCCTAGATACAGTGATATGCATTATCAATTTTGCGGTAACTATAAACCATTCTATTTAAATTGTTAATCATTTTTTTTTTAATATTATATTATGCTTTCAAATTACTTTTATGACATGTGCAATACATGTATATAAATTTGTTATGTATCTTACAAGATATCTTGATTACGTGTGGAAAAGTAATAGATTTAGGAATGTTGACTATATAATAAAGTGTGTAATTTATTGTATATTATCTGCGTTATAGATATGTATGCATCTACATATCTTTTTCAATGTTTACTAAGCACTATCTAATTTATTTATTCATCGTTATCTAATTTATAAATTTATAATTTGATTGCATCTGGAAATTATATAGGGTGTCTACTCCTTAAAAAAATATAAAAAGCCTGGCATTCTCAAGGCTTTCTTTTGTATCTGAAAAAATCAGAGAATTTCTTCTAAATTTTTATCGAAACTCACAATTTTTAAAAAAATTCTGTTATAATATTGTTTTTTATTGTAAGCAGTCTATATAGTCCGTCTGTAAGCCAAGTTGTGAATTTTGTGTGTGTATGTATATATATATATATATATATATATATATATATATATATATATATTTATAAATTATATTATGAAAATATATCTTTTCTTATATCTGTGTTTACATATTAAATGTTTTAATATATTTAATAAAATATTAAATTTACATATTGTTTACTTAAATTTTTAGTGAAAAAATGAAAATGTGCAAGTAAAAAATATTTATTTTACAATACAAATTATATTCAGTTTTTCAGTTATTCGGTTATATTTGTAATTCTATCATGTGAAATTTAAATAACTTTGTATTTTTTTCTTCAAATTAGTGAAAAGCATTAAAAAACGTACACAATAAAAAAACTTATTTTAGAAAATTCCACAAAAAAATCTTTAAAATATTCTCTTTATCTGCAAGTTAGGATATCTGGAAGATTAGAAAATTTTTGTACAAAATTTGAGTAGACACTCTATTATAGGATAAAATTCTCTCTAAAAAAGGAGAATAAGCGTATGTCACATTGATGATTTATTTCGTTAAAGAACATTGTTTATGTTGCAATTCTGGAAATATTTCGTACATTAATACTTCAAATATATCCTGTAAAAAAATTAAGAATAAAAAAAATAAGATTTACATATATATTCATAATATTATTATAATTATAATATAATTATAATTATATATCATTATAATTATGATATGGAAGAATTGATAACTTACGTAAAATAACTGTTTATTCAGATTCACATTCTGTAGGGAATCGAAAACTTTAATCGCGCCGCGTTGGGCACTTTGCGCTCCTACTAGATTCGTCAATACTTCAGGTACGTTATTAAGAAATTGTCTGCGTGCCTCGCCTCGCGTTTTTAGCTTTTCCTCGTCAGTACGAAGAACCGTTTCGGATACAAGTTGACCATTCGGCCACCACGATTTCACAAACAATTGTATGTAGTAATGAAGCATCGGCTCGGAAAATATCCAAGCGACAATATCTCTGATTTGTCTGCGAGAAAATCAAATGATATATTAATATACTTTGTGACAAATATTTCTATGCTTTATAATTCAAGCACAAAATATTAGAGAATTAAAAATATTGTGTGTGTGTTTCTCTCTCTCTCTCTCTTTTTATCTCCATTTATAAAATATTTATAAAAAATAAGATCCCAAAATATCCCACACAAGTTTTATTTTCTGTGTGAAATTTATATTTTTATTTAATATATAAAGAAAATGAATATGAAATTTCTTTCTGTATACTTCACCTATTTATAGTGCGTCCATAAGTAATCTGTACGAAGGTAATGAGAGATCGTCTGAGCCAACGAAATACTCCTCGCAAGTCGAAAATTTCTCCTAGAAGCGTGTATAATGGCTCAGCGATTGCATCCCTGCTAGCATTTAGATAACTATCTGTGCCGGTACGACCAGTCTCGCTATCGTCCAATAATAACGAATAATCTTCTTCATCTTCTTTATCGCGTAGCTCGTTACTACCGACAGATCTGTCGTGGAAATTTACAAAAATCAACAAATAGATCAATGATCATGCGGCGAAATTAGTGACGCGTACGTTTTGAATAACGTAGATAAAGAAAAACGAGATTTCTTGGGAGATGGTGCTACGGCTTTAAGGTGTTCCGAACTTGGACTAAGAAAGGCGTACAGTGCTTCGCTTTGATTAAGCCTTTCATCCTCCAAGACAAACTGCAAGAATTAATAAACGATGGAATATTAGTGCGTGTATAAAAGCTTAAATTCGTAAATAAAAAAATATGTTGCATTCAGACGTACATTTAAATATTTTTGTATTTGCATCTTAGCTTTGTCGAGGGTACTCTTATCAGATTTACCGAAAAATTTTAGAGGCTGCGACGGTAAGTCCAGAGTTTTAACATCAGAACATAACTGACGTAGTTTCCGATGAAGATCTTGAAAATCTTGTAATTTCCTCAATACTACCCACCCACTAGATATACTCTCATCATTATCTTCATCTTCCGCCATGTGGACAACCAATACAAATTGTGGAGGATCCCCATTATCAGGCATCTACTCAAGGCATAAGATTATTATATATGAATATATTTAAATAAAAATTTACACAGAATCATACTTCTGCGTTTTGCACATCGGCTCTCCAGTGACCTAAATGTTCAGCCCACATTTCCGTATGATTTAAATGCGCCTCTAATTGCCGTTTTTCACCTTGCAACCATTCGACTTCTTTCGCCAATATGCTTAATACTTTACTCTCGGGCTTGAGGGAAGATTTAAGCGCCTGTAGAGCTTGCATCTTATTGTTCAATTTTTCCTGTAGTTGATCCAGTTTGCTACGAGCATAATTCGATCGTTCGCCAACAAGTAAAGTTGAAGAATCTGATAATGTACCATCAACAATCCCATGATCTTCAACTAAACCTGATATACAATTTCGTAAAAATTTATATTATAGAATACATCACTTATAATAAAGCAATTTCTCTAATTAGTATTGTTACATCAATGTTAATTACATATTATTTCTGTCTTGAAAATATCAAACATTTTCTGTATTTTATACAATACTGACCCTCTGCTCTTTCATTGAGTAAGGCTTCCTGCATATTTTTATATTGCTCACTAACGAGGAATGATGGATAATACTTTTCTTGGAGTGTCTTGACGACGTTATCTTGAACCTCATAAAAGATATTAGGTCCTGTATCACCCAATAGGAAGGCTTCCATTCGTTTTCGGACATTCTTATCCACTTTAATCTCAGCAGTTGGTGATCTGATATAAGTATAAAAAATCTCAGCTCCCAATTGATGCCAGTTGGATCGATCCGCAGTGCGTAATTCCTGCACCGCTGCCCAATAACCAATCAATCCTTGACTAGCGACCTGTTCTAAAAATTGAGACAGATGTCGTCGGCCAATCACATTATCCAAAATTGCTTGTAAAGGAAGTATTCTGCCATCCGCAATCTCCGCCGCATCACAGATTTCCGCATCCTGAAAAATATCATTGTATGAAATATAACTCACATTAAATCAATTCGTATGAGAATAATATATTTCTATGTAACCTGATGAGGATACCCGTCCCATCCTAATGTTTGCATATGACACTCGCACGTATTCTTGGCAAACGTCAACTGATGGATGTATCTCTTAAGTTTTCTGGCTCGAATAGCATCAGAATTTCCAAGTGTGTTATTCTCGGGATCCAAACCTTGAGCTCGTTTAACGTTTTGTATCGTAGTAGCCTGCATAATCTCAGTAACAATGTTATATCTGATATGTTTGAGAACTTCTAAATCTTTAGTGCTCTTAATCATACGAATAAAATCCTCGAAAGATTCCGCATATTCGTATGTTTTTCTGTGCATCGCTTCGGCAAGTTGTTGCTGATCGATATATGCTAAAATCTTTTGATTGATGTAATCGGGATCCGTGATTAAATCTATCGCCGGTTTTAGGACTAAAATATAGAAAAAAACAAATATATATATAGTAAATTAAAATAATAAATCTTTAAAAAAATGATAATGAAATTACTTTTGCATGTGAGAAGTTCTCTTAAAAGAAACTTGACTGGAGAAAGAGAGTAACTGCGTGGTAACAAAAACAGGATATAAAGTTCGCTAATCTTCCTTAAATACTCCAATTCAGCAACAGGTGACATTAAATGTGCCGACAAAATAAATACTGGATCCTCTCCTTCTGACCTAAGTGCAATAAATAAATCAAATTGTTCTCCCAATCTTATTTCTTAAATATGCTAAGAAGAGAAGCTTACGAAGCTGCTTGAGCTATCCTGATCTTTTCAAAGTGAAAGGTAAGCTTGTTCACTATATTGCAGACTACTAATTTAGTATGATCAACGCGTGACAAACGATCGTGGAGGCTCTGTATTGCGCCCCAAACATCTTGTTTCATATTATTTATCAATTGTTCAGAACCAAACGCCAGATCATTCAACCAAGAACCAACAAAATCTTGAAATACTAGATCTAAAAGATTCTGCAAGGCACCATCTACCAAACGAGTAAAAATCATAGGATAACGCATATGCTTTTTGCTGGTAGCTGATCTGGATTCGTATCCTTTCTGCAAAATAAAACCAACAATCAAAACCAAATAACAATGACATCATATCGATACATTATATCAAGTGTGTCACTTGTAAAAGCACATATACCATCAGCATGTTATGGAAAGCATCCATCTCAGTAATGGTTCTAACGGAACTAGAGCCAGTCTGGTGCTTAGGAGATAAAGCTATGTTAATCATTATCATAATTAATGGGCCGATAAGGAGACAGGCGCAAGTCAATATAAGATAAAGACAACAACACTGGACGCTGGTCCAGCCTGTAACAATTCCCAGAATTATAGTGGCTAACGGCATAAAGCAAACAGCAACAAGGAAAACCATGTTTCTCGTTAATAATACGTCAATAATATGCAAACGAGACAATAATATTTACATCAATAAAGATATATTCAATACAATAATATTCTTTAATCTTGCTGTATTAATAATGCAAAACAATACCGAGCGCCTCGCCATTTTTAAATATCGATAGCACCCATAAACAATATAAAATACATAGACGATGAGAGAAATTTCCGATTTAGTGCCAACTTGTTCCTTCCTCCTGATTGGTCTATTGTCAGCCGCCATCTTGCCCTTGATACGTCTCACATGTAAATTCAATTATCAAATTAAATTCAATTATACTGAAACCTCTCAAAAGTAGACCATAGTTCTGGTATATTAATATTATGAATTAATACTGAATTATCATAACTGTAAGAGTAACAATATTATCAATATCAATTTTTATTAATTCACTATTTTGGACACGATATTTATTCATCTCATATAATGAATTAAAATTTTATTTTTTTACATACTTTTATTCTTTTGTGAACCATAATCAATTCATTCAAGTCATTTTAAATGTTGAAAATTTAATAATAATGCTCATTCAGTATCTCTTGGTCTTCTACATTGAAGAGGTTTAAGATTAAATTTCTATTAGAGTTTCCACTCTATTAAGTCTTATGGCAGCATGTCGGCAACAACTTTGGCGTCTGGGTTGGAGACGCGAAACAGCCGACATGGTTTCTGTGCGCTGTGAACCCCGGTAGATTCGCTCCTATTGATTGCGCGACAGTGTGTGTAGATTCTTCTGACTAAATCGTATATTACATAGCGGTTTTTTTTTCTTTCCTGTGTTCACATCGATAGCGATTACAAGGATCGGCGGCGAGTTGTCACGAGGGAATCGGCGAAAAACGGAAACGTGAGTGGAATACCGTGGCGATAAAATCTTTTTCGAACGTGTCGTTGGCGCGTAAGCTGCTGTGTTTATCTTCGTTTCCACTGACAATTTTGCCTCTCGATACTTCGCGCCGTTTCTGCCGCGTCGCTAACCGATTTTAACGATATTAAAATCAGCATACGGAGTAGCTCCTTCGTGAAAATGTTATATTTACGTGTAGTTTACGTGTGCTACGGAGATGAAAATACCGCCATAGCATTGTTGTGACCGTATATGACTTATATATCTGTCTCTATCAAAATCGTGTAACTCACATTTGAAGTTGTAAGATTAGAAAACGTTTATTTTACTTATTTCCCTTAACTGTGAATAAGTAATTTACAAATATCTGTCCTCTGTAACTAAAATATAAAGTATTTGCTTCTATAAATGAAAAATTGATTGAAATATATATTGTGATGCACAATGATAAAAACTTTGTTAGCTTTGTAAGGCTTAACAAAGAGCGAGAAATATGTATGATAATTACAAATCATTCAGTTTTCATCCTATTTATATCTATGTTATCATCCTATTTATATTTATTTATATTTATTTAAAAATAAAAATCTATATATTATGCATATACCCTAAATTTTGATTAATATTAATTATTATAAAGATTATAATTAACATTAGCTAAGATTATTAGCCGAATAATTTGAGAAATTAAATTTAAAAATTATTTTGAGATATCTTAAAGATAGATATATTATTAAACCACTAAAATTATTTTATTCTTTAGGAAAGATCAAGATGACACCGGAAGGATATACACGTGTTTACGTAGGTGGGTTGAATGAGAGCATCAAAAAGGAAGATCTGCAAATGGAGTTTGAGAAGTATGGCAAGTTGAACAAGGTGTGGGTAGCCTTCAATCCACCAGGTTTTGCCTTTATCGAATTCTTCAACATGAATGAGGCTGAATTAGCATGCTGCAATATGAACGGCATGGAAATCATGGGTGCGAAATTAAGAGTGGAGATTTCACGGGGTAGAGGTCGCGGCGGTGGGAGGGGTGGAGGTGCAGGTGGTTTCAGAGGAAATCGGGGAGTTGGCAGTAGGGAATTCGGTTCTCGAGGCGGTGGTAGTGTGGGTTATAGAGGCAGTTCCTATGCCGATTATGGAGGCAGTTATTATGCAGGCAGGAGTGGCACAAATAGAGGCAGAGGCCGTTACGGAGAAGACTATATGTTCAATCGCAGCAGTGGGTATGTTACGCGAGACGGATATACACAAGATGTCTATGGTGGTAGTAGCGGGGACACTGGTGCCGACTACTACACCGGGAAGGATACAAGTACAGCGAGGTATCGAAGCCGCTCTCCCGCTGGCCGTGGCAGGTATTACGATACCCATATATCATCTAAACTGATTTTAATCGCACATGATTAACAATATTATAATATTAGTTTGACTATAATGCTATTTGAGAGTGCAATATAGATTATAGTGTCCTTAAAAGGCTTCTTACAATCTATCATAATTGTACACAGTGGCATTTATGCTCATGGGTAAATATCAGGTCTGAAGAGATATATTTGTATTTTTATATTTAAAGAATTCGTATCATTTATAAGATCTTCAGAAGAGAAAATGTTTTGAAGAGATGATATTTTTTTGAGGAGAGGTTTAAAAATATTAATAATGATAAATAAACAGAAAAATACACAATCTGTTTACATGGAAATGTATCATAAACAACAGACAGAAATTTGACTAAATATCCAAATACTTATCTAGCTCAAAAAGAAAGGCTGAATGAACTAATTTACGGAAAATAATTGACAAGTAATTTCACATATTATATAGAATATTACAAATATAATATTGTTTCAAGCTTATTATAAATCATGTCAAAAAATTAAATAAATTACAAAGAAATTCTATAAATTATAAAAAAAGAAATGTTTCAAGTGCATGAAAAGCCCATTGCTATCATTAAATAAATTTCTGTAATTGCATGCACAAAAATATCAAGCTACTATTGGCTCTCATCTTAGTGAGAGTTAAAAGGGAGCGAAAGTAATGTGACATTCTATTTTGCATTTCCATGTTCACAGTCATCGTCATCTACGTGAATGCACATAAAAGAACTACGCTGCGTCTTGCCAATCTGAACTGCGGGCCGATCAGCCACCCGCCTCGACGACTTCATTTCTGTCCAATCTACACACAGCGATCTGTATATAGACAAGAACTACCATTGCAGTTTGCGCTGTGCAATATTTTCCCTGCATTGTACCATTTCTATACAACTTGTGGTCGTTGCTGGGATATACTTTCTATGATTAACAGATCCGAGAGTTCCCTTAAATAAAAGCATTCTTACACAAAATAAGAAACGCGATGAGATAGATCGCGAAATTACTTCGAATGATTAATATTTAAAGAAGTAATTAATATAGGGCTGTAATCTATAGGGACTATAACACTATCTACGATCACCGTTTTATGTTTAGCTGACGCCTTATTGGGTTATTTTAGATCTCTATATATTTTCAATGTTCAAAATCTTGTGACTTGATTTATTATTATACAAATTTTTCGAGATTTATTTATGTATATATATATATACATATATATATATAGTACTTATTATATATTAACATATATAATAATCTTGATATATACATATATATAATAATCTTGATTGCATTAAAAATATCTTTTAAAATGTATTTTTGATGATTTATTTGATTCAGTTTTCAATATTTTCAATTCATTAAAAATTTACTACAATATGGCGGTCCATAATCTTGTGAATATCATTCTCGTGTATTTAGATAAAAACGTGTTCTCGCTTATATTCTATGAAATAGTAATGATTTTATATGGGAATTGGAAAGATGAGATAGTAAATCGCGCGCAATACTAGCCAAATGCAAATTGCTGCTCGCATATAATAATTGATTTATTGCGCAAGTGTATAAAAAACAAGGCAGTTTTGCTTGGAAAATTTCAGTGCACAAATAACAAGATCAAAATTTTGCGAAGCGAAAATCGCGTCTATAATATATCTTCTATACTTCGTTTTTATAATATATGTGCAGTACTGCATTTGGAAAGAGACACGTTAAAAAGAGCATTTGCTTTTATCATTATAGAAATGCTCGTGAATAAGAAAGTGATAAAATAATGGTAATAATATATATTACCTCCACTTGTAAATGATATGGAATTGGAAATTAAGATATTAAATGATTTGCGCTCAGTACTGCCTGCCACCCTGCCTGCCTCTCTGCCTACCTATTTTCTCACAGTTTACTGGTAACATAATTCGATGTCATTTTTATTTAATTTTAAAGTAAATTATTTTAATTAAATATGGTTGCTCTCTCATTTAATAGTTCGTACAGGTATTTGAGATTTATACAATATCAAGGCTTATAGTAATATACAAATATACAAGTAATTTCAGTATTATTAGTAATATTATGTTCAGTATCATTTTTTTTTAAACAATCTTGTGCTGATGTTCTTTTATTTTAATTTTATTTTAACTATGAAGTAATACACATCATACATAAGCCTTTGGTGTGTGTATGCATGTGTGCGTTATATGTCATTAAAAAATCTAAATAGCTATATATAACATTCGTCCATATATATGATGTTTTAAAACAATATCAATAACGTTTAAAAATTAATAAAAAATGATAAATGAAAGCAATTCATGCCTGGAAACTTCGCATGTTTCTTAGAAACGATCTCCTATGTATACATATATGCTTTCAAAAACTAAACCAATATATATATATGATTGTTTCGCATAGTGGACGATTTTTATTTTAAACATATTGAAATTAAAAGCTAATACTTCCATCAACATTCCGAAAAATCTATTTATAAATATAAATAGAGAAAGTCTCTTGAAATTTAGTTATTTTAAAAATTTTTGTTATTTTAATCCCAATACACGATTCCGATGCAAGCAAGTTTATTACAAGTTAATATCACATATTATGTAAGTATTTTAAAATTTAGCATTATCATTAACATTTTAATTTTGACAAAAATTGAGTGAAGATTTTGAGTTTTTACACAATTTCTACAAGTAGGAAATTAAAATTATTAAACTATAATTCAAACTAGATTTGGATTTTTTATTTATATCTTAATATAGTTAATATTTCAATTCAGTTAATTGTTAATATTTCAAGAAAATATATCTGAATATTTAATTCTTAATATATTCTGCTAAAATTGATTTAAAATTAAATACAAAGATATATAAAATAATTATTGATTATATCAAGTTTAATTTTAATTATGGATTTTTTTATATTAGTATTTTAAAACATTTGAACAATCAGTATTTCATTTATGGTATCAAATTGATTAGAATATGCTTTACTCTTTATTTTTAATGGATATATTTCTTTCACACAATATTATATAACATTATATAGATATCTTTTGAATAGCTATTGGGACTTTTGTATATTAAATTTGATGTGTGAAATAATAATATAAACTTAACTTTTTATATTTTTTATACATTTAAAATTTTTGTACATATTTGATAGATATTTTATACATATCTTTTTATCTTATAGAGGCTAAAAGATTAGATCTTCGTTCAGTGTTTTGGAATAATGCTCGAATCAGTTGTTTAACTTGTGCAGCAGTGAATTCTTGTGCTAACAATCCTTTCCCATTTCCCCATCTAATTTCGATTTCTTTCAATGATGCACCAAGTATCTTAATTAATTCCAAAAATTTCCCCCATTTTCGTACATGCTGTTGTATCTGTTGATCCTAATATGATCCAAATATGAATTAGTATCATGTATTTCATCAAACAAAATAATATTCTCATTTAACATTTAACTTTTACAGGGACCAGTTGGAATACTGCTACTTTGAACAAATCTTTATCATATTAAATGTATTTTCATGATATTAAAATCTAATAAAAATTTATATTGAAAAATCTTTCTGTTCTTGTAAATTTTCTTTATATTTTTATATTATATCTTGTTTTATATGTGTATATATAAAAGTGTATATATAAACAAGATATAATATAACACACACACACACATATATATATATATATTCATTATGTACTTACAGGAAATATCTGTGGTGTTCGTTTTACCACCATATTGAATAAAGTTACCAGTTCTGTTGCTACATCAGCTGGAATATCTTCAACAGTTATAACTTTTGATATTAAATCGTCAATCATAGAATTTGTTATACATCCTATAAAAGATATTAATATAAGAAATTAAAAACGTATATTAAAATATAATAATAAAATGCAAAAAATTGACTAACCAACAGCTTTGCAATAAATGTTTACAGGTAATACGTCTAGCCAAACAGTTTTTAATAATTCCAATTGTCTGATGCATTGTCTCAATGCACGCTCGGTGCTAGGATGTAACTCAGATGTTTGTCCCAATCCCGAAAAACCTATTCATAAATATAAAATATTTTTGTTACAGTTGTTTCAATTTTTTCATATACAATGGGTCTAAGTTAATTATAAACCTGAGTCCTTGATGATGTCAAAAATTATATTTTTTTGATATTTCATGTGTTCTAAAAAATATTGCGAACCAACTTCTCGGAATATCACGACTTGATCCGAAAATGTAAAATTCATTTTTTGTAAATTTTTCGGGAATTTATCTTTATATTCATGTGCCAATGTAAGTAGATGATGAGCAAGATACATACAATTATTATGAAACAGAGCTAAACATAATTATATATTAATTTTATATTTATAATAAGTACATGTTTCGTTAAATGTTTCTTATTCTTACCAATTTGCTGTGGTATCGTTTCTAAAAATTTTTTATGATGTTCGGGCACCAAACCAACATACATTTCGAATATATTTCTACATGTATAAAATAATCTACTAGCACAAGCATCCGAACTATTGCAAGCTTCATCTAATATTGTCCTTGCTAACTCCAATATTTCTTGTACGCTTTTGCTAGAATACATTAAATAATAATTATATTTAACTTTTTTGTACAAGATTATATAGATATGGAAAAAAATCATCAGGATTTGTAGAACTCATAAAAATTCACATATATTAATATTTGATCTTTTTCATTAATACTAAATATCCATACAATTCAATCTACACATTTTTTTAGCAAAAATGAATTTTATGAAATTGGTCAAGATTGATAGATATTTATTCATAAATTTGATCAATGTATATTAATAAAATACAAATTGCATGCAAATAAACTAATTTATTTCAATATATTCCTTTAAAAAAATGCATTTTAAATTTTGATGTTAATTCAATATGATTGCAGTGAAGGAACAGAAAATTTTAATCATTGATATAAAATACTAATATAATATACCTGATTTGACATTTCGGTAAATAAAATGACATATCCTTTAATGTTTTTTCATTCAATAATTCATAACTATTTTTAAATGCTTTATTGATAAATGAAGGTGGTTCCTACAAAAAAAAAAGATAAAATCAAATTTTATATATATATATTTATATACATATATTCTCTTAAAAAAAAATAGATACCTGTAGCTCACATCGAATAGAATCATGTAGATCTTTCTTCATTATATTTCTAGCTTTAACTAGTAAATCCTGACACATTCTATCAATAAAAAGTTTATCAATATTATTTGTATACTCTGATAAAAAGAGCTCGTCCTTAGAAAGAAATTCTGAAATTTTACATTGTTAAATTATTTGATATCATAAAGTAAACTATTTCATCTTGAAAATAGCCACAAATACCGATTTCTACTAAATAATCTTGAAATTCATTAATCGCTTCGACAACAGGCTCGAAATTCTTTAGATTTGCATTAGAAGTTGGAATGGTATATGAAATACAATCTGTTGTTAAAGAATGAGATAATTGCTTCAGCAAATGTGGTTGCATTTTTTTCAGAAATGTTTCGTTATCTGTAACTGTTAAATTCAGATGTTGATGAAGAAATTTAAAGAGCAGTTTTAAATTATACAGTACACTTTTGAAACATGGCATCTTTTTTTTCTCCAATATTTCGATGGTAAACACTCTCTCCTTGATAACATATACTGAACAATGATCATGAATGATAGGATTAATAACATGATTCATCAAGTTCATTAAAAATTTTTGCAAGAAGTTGTCAAGATTATTGATGATATGCAATGCTTGTATTAATTCCTGTATGTTATCATGTTCACTTTTGATAGTAATAGAAATAATTGTTTTGCTATCTTTCACATCATTATTCCAACAAATACAATCATGTAAGAGTTGAGACACTTCTAGTGAGTATGAACGGAAGAGATTGCAATATTCATCTTTGATTGCCATATATATATCAAGATCTTGCAGACAACTATGGGGATTATCCAATAAAGATTGTATTTGCCACAGAGTTTTTGCAGTATCGATATATCGTTTTTCTTCTTGCATTTCCCTTATGGATTTTATATATTCATATAAATTTATCAACTGATGAGACAATTTTAAGCTAATGTTTGATTCTTTTAACTTTTGAGAGAGAGTTTTCAATTCTTTTGTCAAACCAGGCAACTCTATTTTAACCTGTATAATAAAAGCGAATAAAATTTTGTTCTAAATCTATTTTAATAATATAATAGATGATGAGGATATACTTGATCGTTTATTCTGTTCTGCAAAGTATCCATCTCTTTCAATAGTTGCTCAGTCTTCTTAACTAAGTGCACATCTCTTGTCAATTTTGCACTGAATTCAACATAATTGTCATCCATAAAATCTTTAACTTCATATTCTAGTTTTGTCATTTGTTTCTGTATTTCAGCAATATTTTTTTGAAGATTTACTATTTCAAACTTCCCTGTATAGTAAAACACAATGATCATCATAATTATAGTTTTATTATAAATATTATAATCATGGTTATTTAAGAGCATATATAATTTCTTTAAAGAAAAATAGAAAAAATAAAATTGGCTATAGATTTATATAATTACTAAGATTTGATTGTCTATAATTTTGGGGAAACAATTACCATAAATCCAGAGAAAATACTAAAATTTAAACATATATTGTTATTTTAAATGTAAAAAAATTTACTTCTTATCTTTATTAGTTTAGAAAATATAATTTTTTTCATTAAAATTTAATTTTTGTGTCCTTATGAAGGTTTTAGTTTGTTGCATACATTTTTTTATTTTTTATCAGAGTAAATTCTTTAATTTTATGAAACTTTCAATGAATAAATCTAAACTAATAAAAATAAACGAATAAAACATTATATATTTTATATTTAGCATAGCATCTAAATTAAATTCAAATCTTGATTCTCGGATTTATGATAATCTTTTTGCAATTTGACAATCTGTTTGAATATGCACATACACACATCATTATATGTAAGCATTACCTGCTGTAGTTAATACATCTGCTACAAACGATGTCATATTTGACATATATATATATATAAGAAATTTAATACAAATATCAAACACTTTTTCTGTGATCGCAATTTGATTACTTCGTGTATCTTAAAAATACACAGGAATCACAGATTTCTATACATATTTATATTAAACTACTAACAGCAATGTTGAAGATGATACAAAGGCAGCCATTTCTAAAGTGGGCATAGTATAGATTAGGTTAAATGTACACTGTGTCCTATTTTAACTAACCGGCTGTTATTAAAATATAAGCTATTTTCATATGTAGACAAGTATTGATTATAAACAATGATTATGTTTATAATCATTGTTTATAATCAATACTTGTCTACATGTTTATAAGAAAAATAATTATGATATATAGGGAATAAAAGATTCAGAAAATTATAATTTTATGTATAATGAAATACGTTTTTTTATTTTTGTGCAAATGAAATTTATTTAAAATCTTAAGAAAACATAATTAACATAAAGACTATGCATGTTAGAAAATTAAGGACATAACATAAGGAAAAGTTTTATGTTTACATATATTGTTTGTAGTAATACATTATGTCTGATAATACCTTTAGTTAGCCTGATTGTGTATTAATTAATGATGTCCAATATTTCTTATAGACGTTGGATGGCAGATAAAATATATTGCTGAAATGTGTAAAAATAAATAATATGTAATATTAATAATATATATTTATTAAGGAAATCGGTTTTAGTGTTTTAATATTTTATTGGTTTAACATTTTATTTTTGTTGTATGAATTTGATATATCTCTATATTATTATAATTGTGAAATTTTTATAAATTAAAATTGTCTTTATCTGATAAATATCATGATAAATATTTCTAAATCTATACAAGAAAAATATTAAAACAATATAATTGTAAGCTCTTTTAATAAATTCTTACAGAAAACATAACATGATTATTATTATATATTATACCAGATATACATAGTAAGTATGCTTTCCAAATAAAATATTAAATATTAATAAATAATATAATTTAAAAGAAAAATTAACCAATATATACACTGCATACTTTAGGGAATCAATAATACATATTAAAACAAATTGTTTTATTGCATCCAGTATTTAAAGTTATAGATTCCTTCTTACTATTTATTAATTGTTAAAAATTTGCAAAAGATAAATTATCAAAATGTTTATATAGCAATTGTAGAGGCTTGTTATTTATATTTAACTATGTTCAACACATACATGCAAAGTATTAAAAGTATAAAATTATATAAAAGAAACAATAAAAGAAAAAACTATATTATAACATCAAACATACAAAATATTACATATATATATGTGCAATACTATACCTTTTGTTTTAAATTTGTTAAAACCCGTTGTAAATATATTATTTTAGCATCTCTCCTACGTAATTTTTGTTGTAATATACGAATTTTATGGCGTAAATTTATTTCAGTAAGAGTTGGTGATTTCTTTATACGGTGCAACTTTGAACAGTCTAAATTATCATAGTCATTTATTTGGTTTTCTTCAATATTCATTGATTCATATATTGATGAAGATATCATGCATGGATCTTCCGTTTCAACTGTGCCTGGATCATATGTTTCTACATTGATGTCACTATTTACATTTGATTCCTCTGTTACATCTACTATTGTATGTACATTTTCAATATTTTCACCTTCTGATTGGATATTAACACGTGAATCATATATATCTTGTTCTATTGTACTGTTTATCTTAATGTGAATATTTGTAAGACAGTTCTCATGAATTTTGCTATTTTTTTCTATAGCATCTATCTCATCTTTTTCATTTTCATTGTCTATTTTCATGATTTTGCACTGATTTTTTCTATTACTTTTTATGGATGAAGGAAATATAGAAGGTACTGCTGTTGGTTTTAAATGTGTATAATGAGCATCTGGACGATGCAAATAATCATTTGTAGTAAAATGTTCATTACAAATTCTATCATATTTACTAGGAGTCCAATCTTGTCTTTTTATTGCATTCAACCAGGCTGTCAATTGACACGCATCTTTGAAAGGAAAGCTGCAATATTTCATAAGATATACAAAATGCAATATTTAAAAAAAATTCATTTATAAATATTCGATATATGTTTATATAACAATACATATAAAAATATAATTTAAGTCAAAAATAATATTCCATTTGGTAAAAATATTTAGTTTAGATTTCTAAAAAGAACAAGTAAAAAAGGTTATATGTACTTACTGAAAAAATTTGATATTTCCTCCCTTAGAATATCTACTTGGACAACCAAGTATACTACAAGACATTGGCATATTTCTTTTATATATGTACTATATATACACTTGATATTTTCCACAATTTTTCTTTAAAATGTATATTTACTGTCAAAAGATTGCATATTGAATTCTGCGGCACCCGGTATGATATTCTTTCCACCTAGAAAATGGCTATCCTTGCATCATCTTTAGTATTAAAGCTAACGATCTAGTATGTAAAAGTTTATGGTTTATCTTGACATTCCATAAGCCACAAATCTATGGAATATTTATTTCCAGCATCAAAAAACAACGAAAACAACACGTGATGAAAATGATCAAAAAATGACGAATTGACATCTTTATTTTTAAGGTGCAATTTCATTGACGCTAAAAATTAGCGTCAACCATTGGTTGAACAAAGAATTAAGTAGTTGCTTCTTTGTTCAACCAATGGTTGACGCTACTTTTTAGCGTCAATGAAATTGCACCTTTAATTATACAATGTTTTTTGATGTTGAGCGTCAACATGAAAAGGCGTCTTTATTCGTAATCTTAAGATCGCAAACAAATCGACCAATCACAATCAAGGATTCTCCCAACGTAAAAATATTTGACTGCGATTGGTCGATTTGTTTTATGGTCTTACGAGTAAAACATTTTCACGTATTATAACCTTAAAGCAGTCTAAAAACCACGGTCTTCTACTCTCTTTGCTAAAAACGAAGTATAAGCAAGCATGAGTGTGAGGTTATATACACAAGAAATATGAAGAGATCAAAACGAAACGAAGAGGAGGACGAGGAACGCTATCGCAAGCGGAGAGATCACAAACGCGATGACAATCGTAGAGAATCTAGATATAACGATGACTACAGCAGTTCCAGGCGCGATGATCACAGGAGTTCCAGACGGGACGGTAATCATCGAAGTTCTAGACGTGATGATGATCACCGACGTACCAGACGCGATGATCACAAAAACCTTAGGTACGATGACGATCATAAGGATAATGGCCAAAGGGGCAGGAAGCAAGATTTGCCGGAAGAAGAGGTAGGAAGCAGATATTATGGAGAACCGGATAAAACGCAAGAGAATTTAGAGGAGGTCCGACAGAAGCGTACGGTGGATCTTTTGACTTCAAAGACAGGAGGTGCATATATTCCACCTGCCAAATTGCGTATGCTCCAAGCAGAGATAACTGATAAGTCTGGAGCAGCTTATCAACGCATCGCATGGGAAGCACTAAAGAAGTCTATTCATGGATATATCAATAAGATTAACACTAGTAATATAGGAATTATAACGAGGGAATTGTTGCGCGAGAACATTGTTCGTGGCAGAGGTTTGTTAGCACGGTCTATTATTCAAGCACAAGCCGCTTCTCCAACATTCACTCCAGTTTATGCAGCACTGACAGCTATAATCAATTCCAAGTTCCCTAATATAGGTGAATTGGTACTCACGCGTCTCGTTTTGCAATTTAAACGTGGGTTTAAAAGAAATGATAAACCTTTGTGTATATCCTCAGGTACATTTATAGCACACTTGGTTAATCAACGTGTAGCCTATGAGATTATCGCTTTGGAAATTTTAACTCTGTTATTAGAAACACCAACAGATGATTCTGTTGAAGTAGCTATAGCATTCTTAAAGGAATGTGGCATGAAGCTGACAGAGGTTTCACGAAGAGGTGTGGAAGCCATCTTTGAGATGTTGAGAAACATATTGCACGAAGGACAATTGGATAAACGAGTCCAATATATGATAGAAGTTATGTTTCAAATTAGAAAGGATGGATTTAAGGATCATGAAGCTGTTCCTCAAGAATTGGACCTCGTGGAAGAGGAAGATCAAATCACTCATTTGATAAGATTAGATGATGAGATGGATATGCAAGATATATTAAATGTGTTCAAGTTTGACGCAACCTATCTTGAAAGTGAGGAGAAGTATAAGCAATTATGTAAAGAGATTCTTGGTTCGGACGTCAGTGATTCGGAGGACAATGACGAGAATGAAGAAGAGGAGAGTTCGGACGAGGATAGCAGTGCGGAACAAGCTGAAGGAAAGAAAGATGTAATATTTGACAACACGGAAACTAATCTGACTGCGCTTCGTCGAACAATATATTTGACGATACATTCCTCGCTCGACTTCGAAGAATGTGCACACAAGTTGATGAAAATGCAACTGAAACCTGGACAGGAGATTGAACTATGTCACATGTTCTTGGACTGCTGCGCCGAGATGCGAACGTACGAGAAGTTCTTTGGACTCTTAGCCGGTCGGTTTTGCGCCATCAATAAGATGTACGTGACACCGTTTGAACAAATCTTTAAAGATTCCTATCACACGATACATCGCCTCGATACTAACAAATTGCGGAACGTATCGAAATTTTTTGCCCATCTACTATTCACGGATTCCATCTCCTGGAGCGTACTGTCGTGTATAAAATTGAACGAGGAAGACACCACTAGTTCCAACAGAATATTTATTAAGATTCTGTTTCAAGAACTCTCAGAGTACATGGGTCTAGTGAAACTGAACGAACGAGTCAAAGATCCGACACTGCAAGAAGTATTCGAAGGATTATTTCCCAGAGATGATCCAAAAAATACACGTTTTGCAATCAACTTTTTTACTTCTATTGGTTTAGGTGGTTTGACAGATGACTTAAGAGAACACTTAAAGTCCCGATCGAAGCCAACTGCCGTACCAGCATTAAATACTCAAGAGGATGAACTCTCCAGTTCCGATGAATCTACTTCATCGTCTAGTTCTGCTTTGTCTATTTCTACAACAACGGATTCTTCCTCATCATCGTCAGAGGATGAAATTTCGGCAAGAAAGAAAAGTAAACAAAAGGGAAAGAAATCTAAATCAAAGGACAAAAAGGAGGAGAAACATAAAAAAATGCAAAAGAAAAAAAAGAAAAGTAAGACGGCAAAAAAAGATAAAATAAAATAATTATTAAAAATAATAAAATAAAGCATAAGTTAAATTAATAGACTTTACTTTATTTTTTTATTTTATAACTACTTATATATTGATATTAATCTATTGTAAATACATTATTCGATTTCACATATTTCAAGTTAGCATTAGAGATAAATGATAATAATAAATATAATTTTTATAAAATGCGTAATTCTTTAGAATACATTATTTATATTCTCTATTATACAGAAAAATTGTGTATTATTTTATTTAATTTCATAATTTTAACATTTTCAGAAAGTGGCAAAGTATTTGCGCGATTCTTAAAATAATTTCTTTACATATATAATTTCAATGTAATTTTCAGACTAATTTCTTCGAAACATTTTTGTATGTACGAGTCATCACGACTCTATCTATATATTTTGAAGAGGAGCAAAGATGAAGAGGAGCGCGTTATCAAACGTCATTGGAGTCTCGCGATACTTCGCCCTGACAATGAACGCAAGATGGCAACGATGGAACTTGAGCATGTGTATTTTGCGCGCTCGTTTCACGCGCGTATACACACGTGTACGTGTGCGTGTATGTGTAGCGCGTGGAGTGAGTGCGTGCGCGACGCACAGAGAGAGGGAGAGATACGCAAGCTATTTTGACGGGAAGGCCACATAACTAGACGGCGGCAGCGTCCGATTCACGTGAATGCGCGTGCCGCCGCGGTCGACTGGTCGACAGCGCGTCGTAACCGAGCTATGCGCATTGTGGCCTCTGCGTGTATACGACTGTGTATGTATACACACGTGTGGTATACACACCTGTTCCTCTAGAGCGACAGAGAGATAGAGATAGAGACTATACAGGAACGTAGTTAAGATTTTTTCACCGTAAAATCGCGCATAGATCTCTAGTTGAAGTAAAATTATTTTACGATTATTTACCTTATTTTCTTGCGTGTTGTACTCTTTAAAAAATATATATTGTAAGAATAGATATCGAAGAACTCTAGCGAAATCCTAGTTTAACGCTTGTATTTTTTTTCTCTTTTCGTTGTCTCTTATCGTTACATTCAGAATAAGCCGAGTAGAATTCGAAGAGGGAGCAGAGTCGTATGAAGTATTTACACACTCCAGACAGACGTCTACTTTTTTATATGAATATTAGATTTATTTAACTCTTATTTATATGCAAAGTATTAATTAATTAATTCGCGTTTGCTAAGTACAGAGTAACATCTTTATGAAGAGTGAGAATGTTTTGACTTCTTTCTACTATGCTACTACGAAAGAAAAATCGTATATCTATAATTATTGATATAATTTCTTGAAATCAAATCACAAATATTAAGCTTTATAAATATTAGTTTTCAAATCTATTGCCAATCTGATGGCATTTTACCGGATCTCAAATGTTCCTAGAATATGCAATATACTTTTATACGATATTGTTGGAACATTTTCAAAATCTACATCTGCTGCGTGGGCTGTTGATGCCAATTTGTTAGCAATTTCCGAATAAATCTGTTGCCAATCTGTTGGCACGTATCTGCGCACATTTCGCTTACTGGATGATGGGTATGCGAATCAATTAATGTATCCTGTATAAATTATAGTACATTTAAAAGAAAAATATCGTATTGCAAAGGTCAAGGAAATTATAAAAACACAATCAACTCTGAGATAATGGAAGATGAGCGGATTCTATAGTGACATCACTTGTGTTTACTTAATTCGGCACTGTTTGCGACACAGGCGTGGCGGTGCGCAGTAGGTGGCCGATTGTCGCGAGGAGGTGGAAGGGGAAAGGGAGGAGCAGCCGCGATGCTTATAGAGGGGAACGAGACAGGCATACGGAGTTTACGGTGATTTTTTTACCACTAAGCGGACGTGACACACGCACGAGCACGTACGAGTGTGTGTGTGTGTGTATACGTGCGTGCGCGGCTGAGCTCCGCACGCACATTATGACAGGAGCGCGCGGAAAGCTCGCGCGCGCGCGCGCACGCAACACGAGTCGCGGATAACGCGCTTGATTCACGCATGCATGTAACGCATACAACGCGGAACGTGTTGAAAAATTAAATACGATTTTTTAGATTGTTTATCGAGGATTAAAAATCGAAAAACAAACATCCGAGAGAGGAATCTGTTTCGATTTTTGTTTTAAAAATAAATTTATACAACACGAATAAATAACGAATCCTTATTCTTTTATTAATCCTCGATATACACATTTCGCACGAGTAGAATTTTATCGAATTTTATAAAGTTCGATTGCTAAAATATATTTGCCATTGAAAATCAAAGAGAAATGCAAAGAGGGGGATGCGCGTCGAATAAGATATACGCTGAGGAGAAAATGCAATCGGTCTATGCGTAATTTCTCGACACATGATATATAACAGCTGGTTGGGAATTCACACAGCGGGCTCTACATGCGCCATATATACGGTCGCGCAAAAAGCTCGCGCTGACAGTACGCTAACGTGCGTATACACACACATACGTGACAATGCATGCCATCGCGAGTTAGCCAAATACTACGCGCACTCGAGCGCGCACGTTTCATTTCAAGCAGAGAGAAAGAGAGAGAGAGAGAGAGAAAGGGAATTTTGCATGAGCGAAACTAGTCTCGCTCTCTCAAGGGCTCCGATTCTGGTTTCTACACGGTCAACACATCGAAAGAAAGAGAGAGAGAGAGAGAGAAAGAGGGAAGAAAGGAGCTAAAAGATTCAGGACTCCGCTCGCGCACGAGAGCAAAAAGGACTCAGAAATGCGAGGGAAAAGGATGGAGCGAGAGCAACAACATCTACACTACAGGTCGTCGTGCACGAGAGCGCGAGGGGTGAAAAGAAACTTGCGTGAAACGCATAGGTACGTATATATCGCGAAGATCCATTGCTCTATGCACAATCGAGAAAGGTAAAAAAATGAATAAATATATATATATATATTTTTTTTTTTCGCGATAGAAAATTGACATAATCGGGAGATGGTCCATCTTCGCCCTTGCATCGTCGACCCTAGAATCGGAGCACGCATCGTTCGCGGCAGCTCTCGCGCCGCTCCGAGAAATACGTGTCCTCTCGCAAGTGTCCGATATCGGTCGTCAGTACGCGGTTCGTTACCACTACCACCGCCACCGCCACCGCCACCGCCGCTGCCGCTGCCGCTGCCGCCGCCGCCGCCGCTGCCGCTGCCGCTGCCGCCGCCGCCGCCGTCGCCGCCGTCGTCGCCGCCGTCGCCGCGATCGATACGCCATTGCGTCGCGACGTGCCGACGGGTAAATTACTCGCTTGACGATGGTAGTCGCGCTGGTGGTCGCGCTCCAGTGACGCGATAATATTCGCTGGACGTGTCGGATGTATCATCGCCGAGAGAGACATCCTCTCCCTTGTTATTGGCGCGCGGAGGTGGTGTTATTCGCGGCGGCGCGGGCTCCCGATAGCCCCGATCGTCGGCAACAACGACGACGACGTCGACGACGAGGAGGACGAGGACGAGGACGGGGACGACGTTCCGGTGATGACGCGACGGTGGGGACGTCGCCAACGGGACAGTGATAAGATGCGCCGTCCGCGACGACGGTGCGCTGCGATGCAGTGACGAGTGGGAAGGAAGGGCGATGTGATAAATAGAAAATGTGCGCGCGCGTGCAATCGAGTGCGAAAAATAAATAGATGTATGTACGTGTATAAGGACATGTGTTATTCCGTTGGCCGTCGATTGCGTTCGATAAGACTATAAGAGTCTCTCGGTCTCGGTCCATTATGGATCGTCGGTCCGCCGTGACTGTGCGCCTCGAGTCCCTGCCATCGTCGCGCATCGAATTCGCGGCTACGAGAACACCGTGTTGAAAACCGCTGTCGCTGCCGTAGGAGGTGGAGGAAGAGGAAGAGGAAGAGAAAGAGAAAGAGAAAGAGAAAGAGAAAGAGAAAAAGGAAGAGAAGGGGCGGAGAAAGAGGAGAGGAGGAGGAGGGCAGGAGCAAGGAACAAGGAGGGAGCTTGCGACGGAATTGAAGGGAACTCGCGAAAAGGAGACTCGACAGAGAGGAGACGCACGCTGTACGCGCGCGCGCTCGCGTGTGTGTGTGTGTATGTGTGTATATGTGCGCGACATTCGCATAACGCGGTTTTATACCTGTGAAAGCGTGCGCGCGCGAAAAAGAGAGAGAGAGATATCGTAAACAAAGGGAAAGAAGGAAACGGATAACGAGCGACTTTACGATGTACGCGGGGCAAGTGGTGGTGGCGTCGCGAGATCGCGACGGTAGTCGCATCGTTGTCTCGATCGGCGACGCGATGCATCGGCGAAGGGGGCGAACGTAGGGAGGAAGAAAGGAAGAACGCGCGAACGGGTTATACGCGTGTAACTCGGTCTCTCGTGTCGGACGAGCGAACGAGCGAAAGAGAGAGAGAGAGAGCGCGAGGAGAATCTCTCGTAATGCGCGCGGGTTAAAAACCTCATTCGGAGATGGACCCGGTCTTGTCTCGCGAATCGGTCGCGCGAGTCGATGACCCGCGAACGAGCGCGAAAAACGCGGAGTGCGTGTCACGACGACGTTCAAGATCATCGCGACGATTGTAACACCGCTACTCGGGGGCCCCCGAGTGACATGGGAGTGAAATTGCGAGGAGGGCGAGCCATGCCAATCGTTCTAATGCTCGGTTCAACCGTACTTTTGGTGTCCGTGACATAAACTTCTTCTGGAAATAGCGAGGTATATGACATAAAGTGTATATACATCGTGTATTTAATATACGTAATCGCGAGATACGGATGTGAGGAGACTCGCCGAGCACGGCGAGAGCGTACGTTAGAGAGCGGCGGGCGATACGTTCTTCGGTCGTCACCCTCTTCCCCGGGAGGAAAAGGGGAGGAGGGGGGGGTATTTCCCGGGATACCGACGACGACACGCGCGCAGTAATAATGGAGACATTACTGCCCGGCAACACTGGTCAATCGTACAGTCCGCAGTTAAAGACCGTTCTCAAGACCTATCAGCTGTCAGCTGTGAAGAGCCTGCAGGGTCCGAGCTCGGCCCTGCTGGGCATGGACTGTAAGGTCTTGTTACACGAGCAACAATCGGCAACCTCCTGCTTCTCACCGCCCGTCAGTCGTCCGGCGACCAACTGCGCCTTGGAGTCGCCCGGGGAGTCGCAGGTACCCGAGAAGGATGTCGAGAAGGAGGCGCAGCGTCCAGTGACGCCCGTTCCGCTGTCATCCGCCAGCAAGATCCCTCGATCGTTGGAGGACTCGGACGAGGATCGTCCCGCGGTGGTGGAGCATCTGAAGGGCGAGAAGCGCGAGCTCGAGTTCCAGATACCGATATTGACGGCGCCTGATCAGAGCTGCTCCGAGAGATGCGAGACGATCCTCGAAGGCGAGAGGATATCGTGCTTCGTGGTAGGTGGCGAGAGGAGGTTATGTTTACCGCAGATACTCAACACGGTGCTGCGAGAGTTCTCGCTGCCGCAGATCAATCAAGTGTGCGACGAGCTGCAGATCTACTGCTCGCGTTGCACCCGGGATCAGCTGGAGGAGCTCAAGGACTCCACCATTCTGCCGAGGAGCGCCCCGTCTTGCGGTCTCATTACTCAGACCGACGCCGAGAGGCTTGTTAGTGCTCTGCTGTTGCGAACGGAATCCTGCGATCCTGTTCAGATCGGCCAGACACAGGACTGTTTCGATAAGAAAACGTGCGGGAAAAACGAGGACGAGGAGATGATTGTCAAGTTCAAGGTGTATCATGAGTGTTTTGGCAAGTGTAAAGGTATCTTTGATGCCGAACTGTTCGAAACGGATGATTCTGTGTGCATCGAGTGCCTCGAGTGCGGCTACCAGTTCTCTCCGCAGCGCTTTGTGAGACACGCTCATAGGTCTTTGGAGAACCGTACCTGTCACTGGGGTTTCGACTCGGCAAACTGGCGGTCGTATTTGTTGCTCTGTCGTGATCAAAAAAATTACAACAAATCGCTTATTCTCTTTCGTGAGCTGAAAGAGAGGCATTTTGTGCTAAACGAAAACTCCAAGCGAAAACTAGAGGTATTCCTATTAATAAATTTTCTTTAAATATTAGACCAAAATTAATATGTCACAAAGCTATATGATAGTGCTTAATAGTATTTGAAATAAAATTTATAACAATATAGATGTATCTAAAAAGAATGTGCATAAATATTTGTTTTAGCTGCGACACGAACATGAAAGATTAGCCAAACGCACAAAGAAAGACACAGGGAAGGATGACTGTGCTGGAATTTATAACGGCAATGGATTAGGAATGTACCATCCTATGTCCCAATTAGCTACTGCAGCTGATCCATATTTACAAATGCAATGGGCAGTTTTTGAGCTCGCTGCTAGGGGCGCATCCGCTTTTCGGCCTTGGAATACTGCAAGCAATTGCAAACACAGAGACAAGTGATTATCATAATTGTTACACATAGCACTGCGTACATTTACCTTTGCCTTTAGACAAATAATTTTATTGTTTCTTTGTTGCTAGTTCATCCTTGCTGCCTGCATATCTCAGTCGAGGTCCACCTGTACTGCAGCATCCCGAACGAGTCATCCCACTTTCGGAATGCGAGCGTTTCGAGCCGCACTTCCAGCCTAACGTGGCATTAGCGCCTATATCGACGCCCACTCAGATAGGTCAGATATCGCCTCTCTCTTCCGTTCATCAACAACGACGGCATCCTCACGAGCATCGTCATCACAGTCATCGTTCGACGAGTCCCACGAGCGAGAAACAAGAATTGCTGTCTGCCGATGTGAAATTGGAAAAAACATCGGCGAATCAAGCTGCGGCTGTCGATTCTTATCCCATATATTACATGTCCGATGTAAGTCAAAAGGAAACTGTACTACCGGAGAAGGAGAAAAAGGAGAAAGAAGGTGAGGAAGAAGAGAGTAGTGCAGCAGTAACATCGTCCACAGTGACCGTAGAGCCTCTTCCATTGGCGGCCTCTTCCGAGGTCGGCACTTCTTCACCATCGGAAAGCGATTCCGATTCGGATGGTACCGCGGCGGCCGATCTTGAGGAACGATTGAGGGTATTAAATGTGCCGCAGGATATAATAGAGTTGGCGCGTCGCGTAGCATCGGAAAATGCGCAGCTACGACGTCATCGACAGTCGGACGCGCACGAGATCTCGAAGTTACGTAGTCAGCTACACATGCACAAGTTACAGCAACAGCAGCAACAACAATCCACGGCCGTCGTGGAAGTTGATAAGAATCGAGATAAGGAGGATGCTTCGACAATGGTGCCACATGCCAGCGCAGCTGACAGCACTGAGGGCTGCAGTGAGGAAACCGACGCTACGGATTTACCATCAAATAATAAAGAGTCTGAGCCTGCCAATGTGCTAGTGACTAATAACGAGTCGAATCAGTGATTAGGATAACACATGCGAAAATTATTTAATATATACAACTGCTCAGCGATTATCGCGATTATGACGCTTATCCGAATAAGCATGCACTGAATTTAGAATACATTAGGTGTGTATATGTTGTGTAATATAGAGTCTCTCATAATTTTTGTTTACCAATAGCATTATTTTTTGATAAAAAATGAATTAAAGAGTCCTTTTTTTCTGCAATGATGAAAGAGGAATTACTAAATAAGGCAGATCCAATCACATGTCATCGTTGAGTCATCATGCATATTATCAGGTGCGCGGTTCACGGACATCATCCGTCTAACAAATGTCTAACAATCTACTATTTAAGTGAATTTTATTTGATTTTTATTTTTTTCATTAAGTAAAATTAATTCGCAAGAAAAAATAATTTAGAACTTTTTGATTCATTCTTCATCAAGAAATAACGCTATGAAATTTGTAAACACGAATTGTGGAAAAGACTGTATATATACGATGATTCTAAATGAAACGAAAAATTGTCTAGATTTATGTGATACGCGACGAGCCTTTAATCGTTATCGCAGTTAATTCGAACTTTTTATTAGTAAAACAGTTTTATAAGTAAATTACACGTGCTATCCAGCTTAAGCCATCAGGTTAATAGAATCTTTGAATTTTGTATTCACAAAATTTAAATCGATCAATTATTATCGGCAAAGATAACTTTATATTTGATTCTATATTAATAATTATGTATGTGATAGATACACTTGTTTGCATTTTAGCGTTTCACGGAGAACGAAAAAAATACTTTTCGAATAAATTTCACTATGTTAAATTTATAGTCGTGATGATAAACGTATGTTGCTCCGTTGATTTCTTTTATTTTTCAGTCATAAGTTAACGGATTAGAAAGAGTGATACTCCCGATGGGAAGTGTGGTAAACTGATGCCACGAATTGGATAGCCATGTTAAATATACTTTTATTGATCGATTTTTTGATTAAAGTCGAATATTGTAAATATTGTATTATAATGAAACAGAGAGAGTACATTTAAGGGAATATACCGCGCCAATTAAACTATTACATTTAATAGGTATTATGAGATACTTCGCGTATATTAAATATATATGAAGTGTAAAGAGATTTTTACGAGATCATAATTTTGATCCCTGAATGTACAGGGAATAAAAGAGAGAGAAAGAAAAAGAGGAGGGAGGATCTCTAGTGAGAATGAATTTAGATTGCTTTCCATTTACGTCTTTGGTAGTCATTTGATCGCATAATGTAAATACATTGTGGCATTGTATATGTTTATAATTAATTATATTAATTATCATGACGAAATAATGCTAAAGTACAAAAAACCTAGGTGCTATATTATTATTCTAGATATGCGATAAGCAAAAACCTAGGTGTGTTCCAGCAGCTCGTACTACATTGTAACTTACTCAGAAATGTTATATACATGTTACGAATCGCTACGATTATAATCTTGTGATTTGTGTATGTAATAAGGATCTGCTTTTTTATTCGAAAGAAAAGCTCGGTCCAAGCCTAATAATGTCAATAAGAAAAAAATTTGGATATTTCGAAATTATTTATTTGATACATACAGTAGGACCATAATTTGAATCATTGTTGATAATGTATTGTTTTTGCATTTTCAATCATTTAAGTAGTTATGAAATTGTTTAATTTATTAATGGTCTGAGGCGAACACAGTGATGATTTATAAGGTTATTATTAAGTAATGAATCGTCGACGATCGTGGTTTTTTATATTGTTTTTTTTTCTTTTTCTTTTCAAAAATATTCTAAATTTTTAAAAAAAATTTATGTTTCTTTCCAGAATATACAGGATGAGATGTCTAACATTAGAATCTGAAATATCTTTGTTATATTTAAGAATGCAAAAGTTTTTAAAGAGATATAAATTTGCTTTAAACAGATAAATAATAACAAACAATTTTTTTTTTCTTAAGATTATATTTTGTGAAATATCTAATTTTTTTTGTTAAGCTATTTTTAAGTTATTTGAAAACTAATTTTAAGTTATTTTTGAAAACTAATAATTTTAAAAATATGTTTTTAAAACAATTATATATATTTTTTATTATACATATTTATTATACTTTTTTTTATACATTTTTATACATTTCTTGTTATACATATATATATATATATATATATATATATATATATATTATTTATTTATTTGTAATAAAGTTGCCAAAAAATGAAAAATTCAGCTATGTATTATTATCTTCAGCTAATTCCATGAAGATATTATTTTTTATAAAATCTATTTTGCAGGCGCTATATAATGATTAAAAATGTATTAGTATTATATATTCTTCTAAAGCAAACATTTTTCTCTTTATAATTTTTTTTGAGTTCTCAAAAATAATAGAGATATATTTTAAGTATATATTTCAATTTCAGATTCTCTTAGGTGCTTCAGCCTATATATTACAGATAAGAGCATAATTAATTAAATCATACGTGTGGACACGTACTGTATATAATTTCTGTTGACTGCAATGTGTTTTGTTATTAATATTTAATATTTTTACTAAGTTTTGCAGCTGGGAAATCCACATCCTTTATATGTATATATACATATTTATATTTATTTTGTATATTATTGTTGGCACATATCACTTTAGTTATTTAATATATTAATGGTCCTACTGTGAAAGAGCGACAGAGAGATATACAGAAAATGTTGAGTGTATTGGAAAATAGCGTTTTCACATTTATTAACATGATAAATTACATAAGGGAAGAAGATATTTTATGAAGAAGAAAAGAGACGCTACATCAGTTGGCTGTAATTTCTGATTATCTCTCAAGTTTTAGCAGAGACCGAATGTTAAATTATGTTGAATATAATTACTTTTTTTTATTATTTCTGTATGGATTTTTATTTCTATATGGATTCGAGTTGATTGTCGAGTCAATTAAAAATATAAGAAAAAAAGAAAAAAAATACAAAAATTATTTTTCCTGCATGAGAAAATACTCCATACACACACACACCTACGCGCGCGCGAATATTTGTGTATTAAGTTATATTAAACACGCCACAATATAAAGAGAAATAGATTTTTTTAATATATTCATACGAGGTACATATATTAAAACATGAACAAATAAGCAAGATATGTATAGGCACATGTAAAAAAGATGTAGATATAGAAATATATATACAACATATATGTGTATATATATATATATATATATATATATATATATGTATGTATGTATGTATGTACGTATGTATGTACGTATATATGTATGTATGTATGTATGCATGTATGTATGTATGTATGTATGTATGTATGTATGTATGTATGTATGTATGTATGACATATGTAAGAGAGTGACTTTTATATTATGGACTCTGTTTTCATTTATTACACGTACAATCGATAATGTGTGATAGAAACGTTTGCCTTTTATCCCTTGTCTTTCTTTTACTATGCTACGCTATATTTTTCTTTCGCCGCTTGGATATTTTTGTACCGAGATACGTGACGGAGTTCCCAGTGATATGTGTGATACAATCTCCGATTTAAATTTATTATTATGTGAATGTATTTGTAAAAGTGAATACGTACATGAGCGAATGATTAACAAATGTAAATTTTCATCATTAAAATTTGGAAAACACCTGTTTTTTAACATGAATGCAAATATGTTTGACTTATAAAGTGAAATAAAATAAAGCTACATAAAATAAATTTATTTTTACACCTTTTTTCGTTGTGTTTTCATTCGCTCAGTATATATATATATATATATATATATATATATATATATATATATATATATACTTTAGGGATTTTGAGAGATCTAATCTTGATCTCACCTACTGAAATTTTCTAAGATAACCCAAGTGCAGGATACACAAAAAACTGAGAGCCAGGATTGTATAACAGATAACGTCTATATGCATACATATCTTCGCAGACAGCGATAATTATAATAATATAAATCATCACTTGCGTTATATTTCTATTGTGTAGCAAAACAATGCTGAAGATTATGTATTGAAAATATATGCGTATATGTCGAGACTGTTTCGAAGATCTCTTATCATACATATATATGTTTGTATTTTTGCCTTCTTATTTTTTTTTGTTTTAATATAGCAACAGTGCCAGTAATTCTTCAAATCGTGGACAAAGAAAAAACTTTACAGCGAAAAATTTCGCATTTCCATACTTACAAGAAAAAAAAATTACTGCGGCTACTCGATTCTGATATATTGATGAAGTGAATGTGAGGTTTTCAAAGCAATTTGTTAATGTAAAGCTAATGTATGAAGTAATCGATGATGTAGAATAAATAGAATATTTTATGCATATATATATATATATATATATATATATATATATATATATGCCCTATGTAACATTCGGTCAATATACATAAGATACATTACATTGTAATGTTAAACAGTAATGTAAGCATCCCACCTAAGGTAAAAGATGTAATAGTCTATGTTTTTCATAATCACGCGTACATACATATAAATACATTCAAGTTTATCATAGTTACCTAGGATGTAACGCGCGTAAAGAATATTCATAATATCTAATAACTATATATACAGCTCGGTTTCAAATACATTTGAAGTCTATGTATAAAAAAAAATAATAATAATAAACAGTTTCGACAAATCATGTAACTGCCATGACTTTAGATGTATTTCAATTTTGCGGATGAGAGAGATGATGTATTTTAATTTCTAAATGAAAATATATATTGACAAAAAAATAAAAAAATGGAGTACATACGATGCCTGATTTCACTATAAAGAGAGAAAAAAAAGAAGCAAACTATTACTTAAATCACACGATATCCGAGACATATATGTTATGCTTAATATAATTATGATACACAAACACTGTGTTGAAATATTGCTGACGCTCATTTAACTAGCGAGCCTGCGAGATCAGACGTCGGAAATGATTTTTATCGTGTGCTTCGCTAATATTATCTCTGTTATTATATGTTTAGTCTGACTTTCGAAACACACATTGTAAATGCTAGCTGATACGACCTATACGTGTGCATGCATGTGCGTGTACTCGTTTCTTATATATACTATGTATATATTTCTCTCTTTCTCTTTCTCCCTCTCTCTCTCTCTCTCTCTCTCTGTTATTTTATCTAAAAAATTCATTTTACAATACATGAAGAAAATCGCGCAGATTTTCGTCCAATCTTTGATACACAATGACGTACGTATCATCGGCGATACTATTATCATTAAAATATTCATACTTGCAAATCGTGTGATATACATATACATATGTATTGTGCCATTTCAGTTTTGATGTATTATGAAAACAAGAAAGTCATAAAAGCGAGAACGCGCCATTCGATATAAACGATGCACGCATACACGTGTACACGCACATGCCGAGAAGAGAAAAATAAGCTACTTGAATAGACGATAAGATATATATATATATATATATATATATTAGAAAATAATCTCGCGAGCGTTTTTGTGCGATAACAAAGTAAACAGACAATGTGCGGATGTCAGAGTGCGGCCATGTAGCAGAAAAGGGAACTTTGCTCCGCGACACATTGTCGTATCGCAATTGCAATTTCGCGAAAATTTTATTAGCGACAAATAGTGATCTATAATCGGCAATAGTCTGTAAAACATGTAATGAGATTCAAAATTTTCAAAATCTTATATTCTACTCAAGCGCAACTAGAAAAATAATCCCGCATGTCTTTATATATTCTATAATTCGCATAAAACTATCTAGATTTCACAAATATTTGAAAAATGTCGCAAGAACATCTTTACGAGCATCTGAAATTTATTTAAATGTCTTTTAGACATTCCTAAAAAAACGTCCTCTTCAAGAGATTAACCTTCGGAGAGTGGATGTGTATAGCTGTTCGCATGGTGGATATTAGGTCATACATACATACACACATACAATTTTGATTTACAACAAATTTTTTTTATATATATCTGTTGTAGAATAAAAAATTGTATAATAGATTTTAAGTATGTATATATATATATATATATATATATATATATATATATATATTTAAAATGTTTTCTTATATATATATTTTGTTCTTTAAAAAAATACCATTTATACATGATAATTAAAAAAAATTTTTAATAAAATTTATTGATATTTTTTTATAATGTACATATGAAATATTTATTTTGATTATTACATAGGTTTTATAAAACATTTTATAAAACATTTTGAAGATATGGGTGACCTGGTGTCCGGCAGCGAATAAATATCTTCGGCATCTTAAATTTTTTAAAAGTGTCATTTAGCTATCTTTCAGGTGTTATAAAATTTTCTAAGCGCCTTTTATATAGATAACTTTTTAGATATTCTTTAAATGTCTTAAATTTTTGAGACATTGTTTAAACATTCTCTTTCTAGGATTTTAAAATTTTTGAGATTGTTTAGCCATCTTTTAAGACGTCGTAGACGACTTTTGTATCGTTTAGGTGAGATGTTGTTGTATCTGAAATTGTTAGCGGGAATTTATTTAATGATAAAACAAAGTTGCGTGTAGTGAAAATTCTTTAATAAAACGCGCCGTGCGAGAATGCGTTGTGCGAGTTCGAAAGTGAGAGAATAATAAAACTCTTTTGTATGCAATTGTTTATTTTTTCAACTTACGCTCTTATTTATTTTATCGCGCGAAAAAATTATAATCGAACATTAGAATAGGAGAGTCTCTCGTGACTGCGTTAGGATTTATTCTTAAGAACTTCAGCATGTCATTGAACTACATGACAAAGTGCAATACGAAAGTACAAAGTCTGACCTCTTGTTCTCTCGAATTTTGTAAATTTTCGCACGAGGGAGAGAAGAAGAAACGAAGAGAAATCGATCGATCGCTTCTCTTTGAAGTGTTCTACGCCTTCATAATCATGGATTGCGAAGGCACGAATTAATATATATGTATATGTCACATTTTTCTTTTTCGTGGCATATATACGAGATCTTATCCATCGAGATCTACATCACAGCGATAAATTTTCCCAGCGATAATATAATAAAACTCGATTTATAAAAGCGGTCCGCTCGTTCTCAAAGTTTCATCTTCATCGTGGACGTATAGTTGCGCTCTATTATTCAAAAAGTAGAGACGATTTTGTACCGAATCGATTTTCTACCTATTGGACACATATACACATGCGATATAACACACGTACATACATACATACACACATATACGTTTAATTCTTCGTTAAACTCTCGTGAATTCTGTACGCCTGAAGCATACAAATATATATAGAAGGATTTCTACGGTCTCATATATTAACCAAAGTTAACGTTAATGGTACCTAAATAGATCTGCAATCTACGAATACTAAATATTCGGCACAATTTTACGATATAATTGTATATACATATACGAGTATTTTCCTGAAAGAAAATAAGTGAAACCAAGTAATACCCGCAATTGTTAAGCGTAAGTCAGGAGAGCTCTGTTATATAGGCAAGAACGAATATACTACCGTCGTTTATATTAATTGAATACAATAAAACCAAATTTCAAGCAAGGTTTGTATACATCTCATTTCGTGTAAATGATCTTTTAAAAATTTACGCATGTTTAATTCTACTACAAATTTACGCCTGAATTTCTCTCAAGTTCTACTTGATTAGATGAAGAATTTCTTTCTTAAAATATAATATTTGGATATATTTAACTAGAAAAGAAAGACTGAATAAATATATTCGTTATTTATATATATATTATTTGTAAAAATATGTGTGTTTTAGAGAGAGATGTTTTAAATTTCAGTTTTAAATAATAATTTTATTATTTAGAAGATATCTAAATCGAAAGTTTGAGATTTTATCTCACTTCTTAATATATGTATAATTATATATTATAAAAAAATTATGTATGATTATTGTATATTTAAAAAAAACAATGCGAAAATTATTTTTCTAATTAATTTTCAAATATTCTTATTACTTTCTCTATACATACAGACAGAGATTATAAATGAGAAGAAAAATATATATATAGGGGGATATTTTTTATATATAATTATATATATTTATATTTCGCTTTCATATAAACTTTCTTTTCAGAGATAGTAAAATATCGCACGTTTACACATAGTGATTTAAGTCCGATTTTTACCTTAAAAGTCGAATTTTATACGTACAGGTAGCAAGATGACGTCTAAAGACGTCTTAATGACGTACTATGACTTCATAATAATGTCATTTGACATTCTGCTACCAAGGTAAGAATACAATTTTTATGTTTTTGAATAAGAAGGCATTTTAGTAAAATACTAATATCTTATTTAATATTTTATTTTTTTTAAATATATAATATCTCATTATTTTTAAAATTAGGGATACGCCCCTCTGTTATGACATCCTCGATATATATTATATTTTTCAGTTATATAAATTAATTTTGACTCATTTTTGCTTGTATCTTTTTTTTATATATAAATATATTCCATTCCTTTCGTGGAATGCAATATTACATTTATTTGAGTCATGCAAATTTAACGAAATCTAAATTGCTCCGGACTCTGGACCGTCTGTTACTTCGCGATATCTCACGTATATCCCGTAGCGCTCTCTACCTGCCGTGTGCAGGATTAATTTGCAATGGTGTCTATAGTCTATAGGGTCCTGTCCAGTCCTATCTAGCCCTGCCCGAGGATTCAAGAAAGAGAAAGAGAGAAAAACGAGAGAGCGTCGATGAACGCATCCGCTCGTCATAACAAGAAGTGTGTTTTCGCACGATTAGGCTTCATTTCTCAACCCGAACGATTTTCTTATACAGTATTTTATCTGTAATTCCATCTCTCGTGCAATATCCTGTGTAATAAGACGGATGCGGCGCGCGTTGCGACGTCTGAATCACGATAGACAGGTAATTGAACCTGAGCTGAACCTGTTGAACGTGTCGCGCTGGAAATGTACGATATTTCAGAGTGAGTGAACTCCGAGAACAAATAACACAGAATGGCCTTTCTATGTCCTGTACGCATACGTCGCGGAAAAAAGAAAAAACGTAAGTAAAGAATACAGGAAGAGAGAAAAGAAAAATATGGTGTATTAGTGGCAGTTTGATCGCGTAAGGGCCAGTTGTCATATTCGGCTTTCTCGATCACCTGTTGCTCGAGACCGGTTATGCAGCTTCTAGCTCAAATTCTTCAAGAAGATACCCAAGCTGAGTTCAAGCACGCACAGCTTGTAATTTTCTTCTAAAATACAAAATATTAAAACATTAAAGAACATAAGAATATTAATTTTAAATTAATTACTATCACATATTAATGTGATAATAACATAATTATTTTCAAAAAATGTATTTTATAAAATTGATGATTATCATTTTTTTAAATTAATTTTTATCATTTTAAAAGACTATTTTAGAAATCATTTTTTAAATTTTTATTTCGAAAATATATTTTCATTGCAAAGTATTTAAAATTTGTTTACCTTATCGAAAAAGAAGAGAATTATATTTTTTAAATTAAATCTCTTTTAAGTCCGTCTCTATGTGCAAAATTTATTTATTGTAATCTTTAATTGTGAAATAGCTGGAGCACATAACTTTAACTTGGAGAAAGACTGTGTTGGAACAGGAGGCACAGGACTTGGTTTGAGTAATAGAGTATCATTGCCTCCTGGAAGAATAACTGGAAGTGCGAGTATCGAAACTCTCGTAAGGGTCGGTATTGAAAAAGAGAATGGACTTTCTCCAGACAGCAAAATGGTCATTGTGCATGATTTTACTCCTTGCGTCGACGACGAACTTCAAGTCAAAAGAGGACAGGTCAGTGATTAATTCACAAAATTTTTCTCTGAAAATTCCCTTTTACATTACTTTTAGATTACATTACAAATCATATATATGGCACATTATTTTTATCTTATGATAATTTTTATAATATGTATAAAAGTGTTGCTTTTATCTAATTTTACTCTTCCTAAAATCTCTAAAAAATATATAATAAAATAGAAAATGATATTCATTACGAAGAGATTAAACCCAATGTATATCAAAGTTTTTTTGCGTTTCAGATAGTGAATGTGCTTTACAGGGAAAACGATTGGGTGTATGTAATAGCGGCCGATACGCGCATGGAAGGTTTCGTGCCGCATTCGTATTGTGCACCGTATACGTCGCAATTGGCGGAATTGACACTAGCCAATAATGTGAAAAAAAAGCTGCCGCGATCCACCGAGAACGATTGTGATCTTCTTAGCACGGGCCGTTTGCAAGAGACACAACAGACTGATACCGGGTCAGCATCAGATTGCGAAAGTTACACACGGAATAATATTACTACCGCAGATCTCAACGTCAATCGTTCCAACATCACGCAATCTCAGAATTCCATACAGACTATATCATCTCAGCCAGATGTACATCCCTTCTTCAAGGTATTATTTGACTGACTGTCCCTCACTTAATTTAATATTCCGCCGGCTATTAAATTTTTAATCTCTAATAAAATTTATAAAAAATGTTTTCTCCAATATTAAAACTATGTCTAATTTATAAAATTTTGATAGTTTAATGAAATGGTAATTATAAATTAAATATTTTTTGTAATAATTATTAAATTATAAATTAGGTATTTTTTGTGATAATCATTAAATCTTATTTGACGAGAAAGCATAAATTTCTTACTATAATCTTTTGCATCTGATAGGATCCATCAGCTGGAAGGTATATTGTTCTTTATACATTTGTGGCGCGGGATGAGAATGACGTCAGTGTTGAAAGAGGCGAGTTCGTGACAGTGTTAAATCGCGATGATCCAGATTGGTTTTGGGTGCTGCGACATTGTGACGGTAATGAGGGTTTTGTGCCATCCGGTTTCGTCTATCCGGGTCATGTTCTTCATTCTTATACGACTGCCACCACAACTGCCACTACTGCCACTACGAATACAGCGTCCACGGAGGCTCATAGTCCAGGTTGGCTCTCTACATAATTGTCTATAAATCTTGAAAACTACATTCTAAAACTAAAACTACATTTAAAAAAAATACATGTGTATTAATAACAACCTTCGATGAAGTTTTCAAATTTCCGAGAATTCTATTTGTTATCAATTTATCTTCCACATAATTATTGAATTTATGGATTAATATTACTTACATTTTACAGGCAAAGGTATGATAAGCAATATAACGGGAGGTGGAGAATCGCTACAAAAAGGAGCACGAGATTTTCGGGATGAAACAACTGGCACAGAATTAGTGGTGCTTTACGATTATAAGGCGCAGGCACCAGATGATTTATCGGTGAAGCGGGCCGATTGGATATATGCGGATCTGGGAAATCAAACAGTCGATGGCTGGCTTTGGGCTTATGCGCCGAAGACTCGCAAATACGGTTTTATTCCCAAGGCATATGCAAGACCTCCTGCCATGACTAGCTTATGATTCGAACAATTAAAGATGAAAAGCCTGCTTTTTATACTTAAGTTGACAATAATGTTTTTTTATCTTCCTGTTTCTATATTGTACATCAAAGTAAAGATCGAGTAATAATTACAATTAATATTTTATTTAAATATTCACTTTCCATCCAGAAAGCCCAAGTAAGTAAAATAAAAAGCAAATGTAATATCGATAGACCTAAAAAATGAGTATTTTTAAAAGATGTATTTTTAAAAGATGAATAAGAATTCGCGCGGATACGGGATATAATCTACTCAATCTTTTCATTTGATTAGTTCATTTTTCTTATAATTTTATGCTACTACCATAGGTATACACATTCTTAGAAATAATACTTACAAATTAAGGGACAAATGTATACTTCACGCGTTAATATGTAACATGGGTTTAGTGTACAATAACATTTACATTAAGACTAGTACAGCCAAAAGTGATGTGGCTGATCAGTCCCTCATGGAGAACTATACAATCGCCAGCCAGAAAGACATCGCGCGGACATTGAGCGGCTCGCAAGGATGTTACAGGTCCTGTATAAGTGAGTGATCGGAATCCACGGTTTTCGATATTATCCACAGCCTATCAGGGAAATCAGTAAAATATTACACTTTTTTAAGCATTCGTGCATCTTCGTCTTATGTACGTAAATTGATTTGGTTGGATATACCTGGATACTACACCGAAGTCTGTCAACCGTATCGCCGACGTCCAATCCTGCAACCCAAGCAATGATCATATCCTTCTCGCACTGGCCTTCTCCACCGGCGTGCACCTCCTCGCAACACTCATAATTGTGATTGTTATGCAAGCGCGCAGCCAGTACTGGTAAAGGTAATCGATTTCGATACTTGGGATTCATCTGATTACCACCGAACAGTTTCGCTGTAGAATCTCTTATTGTAATAGAAATTGCGATTAGATGAGAATAAGACTTGTTTATATAATTAGTATGAATCAATTGGATATTTCAATGTATTATTTGCACACAAAATCCCGTTTTTCTCTAATCGATCAAATGAAACTCTATTTGTATATCTCGAGGTTTGTTTACATGAAAATTATTTTTATAAGAAATATCGCCGAAATATTGTATCGTATTTTTGTGTATGCAATATGCATATGATATATGGTGAAATATACTAACGAAAGCTTGCCGGACACCAGTAAGAGAGCTAGACATCGACTAGAATTGCAGGAGAGAGCTCCATAACTGACGATGAGCGTACTCTCGGTGCCAGGATCGACGTTGAGGATCGGCACTTCAGGATGATCAAAAAGGAAATGATGGGTGAGCGCTAAAAAGGCCACATTCTTCGAGCAGTCAAGCCGCGGACAACGTATGGGTCTGCGAGAACATTCGACGGAAGATACCAGAGAAGAACTTTTGACCTTAATCTCGGAGGCATATCGATTTATTGTGTCGTTTCTCTTCGTCGTTATCAGGTTGCGATAGCCATATTGCTGTTGGTACTGTCTTTCATAGCTCTTTGTTTGCTCCTCTTGCTGCGGATTGCCTCGATCATAATCAACGACTGCATACGAGGTCGTATCCGATTCATCATCTGTCGCCTCGAGCATTGTTCTATTCAAGTTACAGGCCCACCGATTGCGACGCAATTTCAGTGCGAAATGAGACGGTGGTTGCAAGTGCATCGATCTATCGTACATTCTCGAGGATACACGATCATTGTGATTTCTATTTTGTGAGAAACTTGTATACAATCTTCGAGACTGAGAGTTTTCTACGTCTACGAAAATTGAAAATGAAATATTTTTTTTTAGATATTTAAAAAAAATGTATTAGCTTGTAATGATAATTAATCGGTGCATATTTGATGGTCGATTTCCATCGATTAATTACTGTTACTATTATTATGCTTGATTTATTTATTTACAGACTTTTAAAAATATTCTTAGATTTTTTAAAAATTATCCTCGTTTTTAACATTGATTTTTTTGAAGAAACAAATAATTTAGACTGTAAAAAGTACCAATTTTGACTATATTCGCAAAGATATGATTTTGAAAAGTTCAAAAATATGAAAAAGAAATATATACATTTTCTGAAAATTCCAAAACTATTTTTAGCCACTTTAAATATAATGATGGCTAAAGATGATTGAATCTTTTAATGACCTGATCGAACGGAAAATTTTCGTACACAATGTTGACATAACAAATAGCTTTCACACGGATTTTGCTCGGAGTCGGCGAAACTTCCGCTGAAATTTATATCGTTGATGATAATGTGACAAATTGCGCATTCACCAATCTGCGCATCATTCTGTTCATTTTTTCCTCCTTTCTTTTCGTTTTGTACATCTGCGTCGTTTTCCTCGTCTTCATTAATTTCCTTTTCCACATCTTCCACCTCGTTCTCTGTCATTTTAGAGAGTTCTTTTCTTTTCTGCATCCCGTCGTTATCCGAATATTTCCATCCGGGATAAGAATAATTCAATTCCTACAACACAAATATATTTTACCCAAATAAAATAAATTCAACATTAATGGAATACTTATTGAAATAATCGAGTGAATAAAGCCATCATTATAAATGTGTCGCATTAATTACAAATTTATCATAATAATTATTTAATGTTTAGTTATTATATGTTTGATTATAATAATAATATAATAATAAACTCGCCAGAAATAAAAATTAGTCTATCCTTCTTATGTATTTTTTACAATGATTAATCCTTTTGAATTGCATTATTATATTATTGTAATTTCAAATTTATATAAATATATGTATAAAATTATTTTTTAAATAATTATTTTAATCATAATTGAAAAATCATTTTCTAATCTTTAATCTAAACTTTGGCAAATTGTAGAAACCGGTTATACGTGTCTTAGTTGTCTGCAATCTCGTGCGTACAGAGAGAGATTTCACATGCCTTGCGATGATTATTTATCACATGACTGTCGGCTTTGTCTTTATAATCAACTCTTTCGTTATCCGTTTGTTCGCGAAACATCGTCGATAATGCTTATCGCCTCGCTCGTTTTCTGATAATTTTTCGTTGATGACGTACTTTTCTTGCCAAAGATTAATTGATCTTCCAAGCCACGAGTATGGTCTACTCTCAAATACAAATTCAAAGTTTTCGATTTCTGAAATTCATCTTATGACAATCGTACAAAATCTATATTTTTATAAATGTTAATTATTTTGATAAAGTTTTTATATTAAAATCAAGATCTGAATTGAAATTTACTTAAACAAAATCTAATTTTATATTATTTATATTTGCTTTTTATTTTTAGCTATTATTTATTCATACAAATATTTTCGCTAAAAAATAATTCCAAATTAGTCAAGCAATTTATTATGATTATTGAATATGCTAGACATAATATATAATAAGCAATGACTTGCATGATGATCTTACCCAAAGAGATAGAAATAGAGAAAGAGAAAAGAGCTATTTTTTAATCAATTATCTTTACGGAATTAAAAGGAGATATTTAACAATGAGATAAATTTTTAAATTTTCAAGATGACTCTTGTGATGAGAAATATATTGAATAGTTGATTGAAGTCCAATTGAATGTTCTCGGTTCGCTGTAATTTAGTCCAAGAGAATTTATAGTTGTCAGAGCCAGAAAATGCTCAATATACGCACGGTATTTAGATCAGAAATATATATGAGGCCATTTTGACGTTTCAACGAACAAAGAAGAAACAAATACATACATACATATAACGATATCGGTATAGCATCCCTGCAAGAAAATTCAAGACATCCAATTCATTATGTTATTTCTTTACAGATTTTACACAACCTCAACTATGTCTCTTTACATTAATTGTAAGACAAGACGATAGACGGTTATCAATCTTTAGCTTTCATACATTTGTGTAATGTCATAATGGATGTGTTCCGCCGCGATATCTATCTGTTTGGGTGAAATATATTTATGATAGATATCCATTATTCGCGATATCCAACTATATAATTACTAAATATAAATTAAAGAAATAAGTTAATTGTAAATTAATAATTATCAAAAAAGCTTTTTTTACACTTTGTGTTTGTATAAAAAATCGCGCATCTAATTAATAAATATATAAATTTATCGCTAATATGAAATATAAATTTTATATTGAATATAAATTTAATTTAATTTATTGTTGTAGTAATTGTAAGCCGTATATGTAATAATAAAATAAACTGCACACAAGTATTAATTTGTTAAGAAATGTGTTTTATTAAAAAAAGCACATGTTAAAAAATTGGAAAACAATACGAATCATACATTGATCTGGTCGATTTTTAATAGCATGTATGTCTAATTGCAAATAATCGCGTAGATTTATTTTATTAATTTGTATTGTCAGACTTCTCTTTAATAATTACTTTCAAACTTTAATCGCTTTTTTATCGATTAAGTTTATTATTGATATAAGTAATATCAATATCTAGCTAATTCGTGATGATTGATATAATACATATATTATAAATTAACTTAACAGCGCACTTAAAAATCGACTGTTGCACAATCGATAGCGAAATCGATAAAGCTGAAAAAACGACTTTCATAAATGAAAACGTAAGAATACGTCATTTAAATTGCAACATTATCGCTTTTGCAGTTTTATTGTATGTACATAAAACGAATAAATTCTAAAATTCACAAATAATTAACAATTCTCTACTTACATGTTAGACGCAGAAATTGCTTATCACAAATAATCTATCTTATTGTATTGTACTTATTTCTTAATATCGTCCGTCTTCTTCGTCTCTGGATAATTGTTTACCAATTTGGGTCTGACGTTCGCCAATCTTTCCGCGCTAATCGCTTGTATATTGCCTAGATGAGAATTATCAAGTAACGTCTTTAGATTTTGTTTATCATCCAAATCGATCATGCTGCAACTTTTGCCTTTGATCGCCGACAACGCGAATGTTGGTCCGAAAAGCGATAGTAACGGTAACTCTTTAGTTTTTCTAGCAAAATGTTTAGGGATAGATTCTTCGATGAACCGTCCCATATTCTCGCTATTCGAGGATTTAGCAGACGATATTAATGGATTCTTTAGCTTCACCGGACTGGAATTGGCACTGCACGATGTATTCTTTTGTAAAGTATTAGAGCTAAATTGTGCTTGCAATCGTGTAATATCGTTTTGTGAGCTCATAAGATGTTGGCTAATGCCAGGAAACGTTAGAGAATGATTCTCTGAATCAAAAGGATGATGTCCTTCTGATAAATTAGGCTCTGCAGGCAGGAACTTGATATTGAAAGAATCTGTCATCGTAGATAAATTCGTAGATTGTACATGACTTGTATTGACTAAACTATCGTTTATATTACTACATTTATTTTTTTCTTGTTCTTCACTCGTAACATCAAGGTGATTAGAATAATCGTTAATATTCCAGCTGCTCTGTGCTTTCTTGTTCTTAATGTCGAGTTGACAAATTCTATTTGGCACATATTTCAACATATCTGCGCTTCCTGCTTTCTCAATATTCCTATTCTCGAAATTCGATGTACTTCTATTTACTGGACTATTATTTAGCGATTTTGTAGTATTGCTTGTTGAAGCGAATATCGATGCACCTTGTAATGTTAGCATCGAATTAATCATCGAGTATGATCTTTGCAAATGCGAAGAGCTGCTATCGATAAGTTCATTTTTCTCAAAAGTCTTCGGATCTTTAATCGATCTTTGAAGTTGCCTCTGCCATATTTCGGTGGGTAAGAAATTATTCGCCCTGCTGACATCAACGACGCTCCGTAGATCGGAAGAACTTTGCGCATCTCGTTTCCGGGCAAGCAAGGGATTTCCGATTGATAAGTGATTTAATTTTTCTATACTAGCTTGCAATTCTAACTCCCATTGCGTGAACTTGCTTTCGCTGCCATCCACAGACCTCTTATCAATGTGTTCCGTCTTCTCCTTTGTCAAACAAAATTCCTGTGAATTTCAGATATAGATAAAATAGACATCGATAATTTTAACATCCTATATAAGATACACAATTGTGTATTTTACTAACTTTGATATTATGTGGTTTTTCATTGTTTTCAATTTGGTTGTATCTAATTGGAGATATTTTACGACTGTTGAAATTGTTAAATTCGTTCTCATATTTTTGACATATATCTGAACCTATTAGTTCGGCACCGACACCAGGTTCTCGCGGTCCATTAGCTACAATATCTGAAACATAATATACTTAAAAAAATAAAGAAATAAAAAACTAGTTCATATATATTTCCCAAATATATTTCATAGTACCATCTTTTCGTTGTTGATGTATCTGATTACTAATGTTCTCCAATGTTCGAAGACTTGTGGCATAATTACGTTTAACTTCTTTAACGGTTTGCTGCAGATACTCTACTCTTTCCTTTTGCGTTGCTAACATCTGATCGCATTGAGCTTTCACCTCAAAATACGGTCGTGCTTTTATTATTGAACGTCGATGCTTTTCTTCTAATTGCAATAATTTCTTCTCAGCATCATGAAACAGCATCGCTCTTCTATGATGTTCTCGACCACATTCAGCTTTCTGATTTTCAGCATCCATGACCTATATAAAAGATATGTAACTACATCATGTAAATGAAACTTATCTTTTTATTATTATAAACCTGTCTTCATCATAAAGATCAATCATTGCTAAATTAATTTCAATGGAATAAACATGAATAGATAAAACATTAAAATATTTTCAATGATTTCAAATGCCTCATAACATTTTCAAAGATAACTGAATGTATAATGCGATTACATATGCATATTATACATTCTATTCTAATATTTACTTTCATAGTAGCATGATTGAGCATATCCTGCCATGCCTGATCGAAATTCCACTCATGCTGATGAGACATAAATCGTGCTTCGGCCAAAGCAACCGTTTCTTTTGCAGCTGCATGAATTTCGCTGGCTCTTTGAAACAGCTGCGCTTGTTGCTGACATTGCACCTGCAAATTGCATACAAAAAATATTATTGTTTCATTTACATAATAATTCAGCTAGTTACAATTTAAGTGAAATACAATGCAAAATAATTGATTAATTAATCTATAGTATAAACATAAAGAATCATTATATTCAAAATAAAGTGTTAGCTATTTATTATATTATTATACATATTAATATTAATATTATACATATCTAAAGTAAATGAATAAATAAATAAATAAATAAATATATATATATATATATATTCTTTTAGCTATGTATATATACATAATCCATCTCATATATGTATATATATAAATATGTATATAAGTATATACATGCACATTTATTGAAATAGTAAATCAGTATTATACAATTTTTAATATATCATTTTCTAAGCTGTTTTTTATGAAATAAGAAAATTAGATTTTGATTATATTTATACCTGAGCTTGACGAGCCATCTCCAGTGCTTCGTAGTAACATCTCGCTTTTTCAATACAACTAATACCAAGTTTATCAGTAATTTCTTTCAATCTCCTTGTCGTATCAGAAAGAAGCTGTCTAAAAGCAGTATGAGCTTCCTAATAAATAAATTAAAGATCAAATTAATATTACTAGTATATTTTATCTAAATATTGTTTTTCCTGTATATCATAAATGTATATATATATATATATATATATATATATATATATATATGTACATATATGTATGTATTTATGTATGTATGAATATTATTATAGATGAAATATTATTTCTCTCTCTTACATCCAATTCAGTTTCCAATTTATTTATATCGTCTGTTGCATTGTTCAAGTTTTCCAACTCGATCTAAAAGAGACACAAATATTATAATCCATTTTATAATTTGAAATGTTAAAGAGATCATATCTATAAACATTTAGTTTAGAATAACTCTCTTAGATTTTAATAAAAATACACTCAATCAATTTCTCTTCACGCAAAAATAAAGATTTAAAAAGTAAAAATCATTATTCAAAGCTATAAAAAAGTTATTAAGTGTTAAAGATACTTTCAAAAATTAGAAAATTTATAATGATGATAATGTCGTTGTAAGCATGTATTGTAATAGAAAAGTATATGAAATTTGAAAACAAGCTTTTACATGATTTTCTTATTTATTAAATCCATTTATAAAATATTCTTATGATTGTATTATATATATATTTAAAATATAAAACGTATAACGTAAAATACACTATTACTATAAAATTTCTATCTATTACTATCTATTATTATAAAACTTCAAAATTGTATTATTCTGTTGTGCAGCTCACGTTTATGCTTATTGCATGACAGATGTTCTAATCTTCGAAAGTATCATCATTAGCTTAATAATGTTTTTTACAGAGCATCAAACGATTTTTATTTTCCAAATCTTTACACAAAAATAAGTCGATTGAGTACATTTTTATCAAAATCTAAGAGGGTCACTTTAATCTAAATATTTACTGATTGAAAAAAATCTCAGAAATCTCATGTTAAAAGGCTTTTTTTCTCTGGATAAGATATGGCAAAGAAAAACTGCATACATTCATCGCACATTTATGCAAGATAATTGCTCTCAATTAAATATCGTTTACTATGCAAAATAATTTCTTTCAACAGTACATTGTCACTATAACGATTTAAACGATCGAATCACTCATAATCGGACGCATCTTACATCCGTGCAAAGGAAGGAAAGTGAAAGCAAAATGGGACGATGTACCAGGCAGTGTTAGACACTGGGCGCTCGCAAAACATAACCTAACCTGATCGTTTTACGGGCGTAACCCGCCTGTAAACAGCCGAGATCAATCGCGATCCGGATAAGATTTTGGAATAATAACTCGATAATAATTACCTGTATACGCGGATCCAACGCGTCTACACCGTTTCCCGCAATGTCCATGTTTCGGTCACTTTTACAGGCGGTATTTATTGCGCGGATCGAGAGTAATGTCAACTCAGGATCATCACGAGTGCGTTGTATTCTACGGTTTGAATTGGCACTGACTGAGGAACATGGCTCAATCACACTCTCACTGTCATAAACTGAATGAGTCTTTATTCAAATATTTGATTGCAAATATTGATGACACCAGACAAAGATTGTGAATCCAAAGCAATCCAAACAAAGTGCGCAATACGTACTCAACTCGTCCGTTCCCGTCCACGGGCGGCAACGGACTCCAAGAACAAGACTGTGAACTAGCTCGCATCAAAGATTTTTTAACAATAAATGCAGTTTCGAGTGCACTTGGATTGCGACGCCACTGAGCTCTACAGTATATTGGAGCAAGCCTTCCTTTACTGTCTTATAGAAAATCAGAATTGCAAAATTAGAAAGAGACCAGTATATACCTCTGAATGGATTTTCGTCTCTCTTTACTTTACTATCCGAACTAAAAATATTTTTCATCAAATTTAATAATAAAAGCGATATGCAGTTTCTTCATAAATAATGTTTAGGTTTTATTTATGAATTTAATAAAATTAGAAATAATTGTAAATTATTTAATTTTCTTTCAATTTGTAAAGTACAAGAAAGCATCATTAATGCCTCAACAACCGGATATTAATATTCAAGAATGAATCGTTTGAAAGATTTTTTAGTTGCCCAAAGCGTATTTTTCCTCGAGAAAACAAAATTGAATTAATTAATACATTATTCTATAATTTATTATATCATTATATTATATTAATTAATTATGTATAAATGAATCAAATTAAATAATGTAATAAATATTAAATTTAAAATATTATGGTTAATTATATCGTTTAACAATATATTTTAGAATTTAAATATTTGTAGCTCAATAATTGCCGACATTGATGAAGTTCTTCACTGAAAATGAATCCTGAAATATTAGGAAATTATTAGGCAAATATAATCAAGTTGGAGGTAGCATAACTAGCAAAATTACTTAACTAAATTATCAACCGTTGAAAATCTATCTTTAGCGGTAGCTGATATAAATAAATTTTTTATTTTAAATTTTTAAATAACATTTTGTGGTTCTCTCTTTCCTTCTCTCTACACACATACACACACACATGACAACGAGATCGTAATATGTAAATAATAACGCGTTACTGTTTATGTCAGCAAGGCTGAATATATTATTGGTAATTCGTTGCCGAAATATTCTATGCTAAAGGTATTAATCAAATTAATCATCGTTTCTTCGATTATAGAAGAAAGTATTTATTTATTATTGGTGCATTTTGCGCGGACTATTAAAGAAAATATTCAAAGACGTGGAAAGATAGACAAAATTCAAAATTTATTTAATTTTAATAAGTATTGTTAGAGAAATTATTATAATAAGCATTAATAATCGAGCATTAATTATTATAGCATTAATTATTAAAGCATTAATTATTATAAAATTAATATAATAAGCATTATAAAAAATTATATTAATATATTTAATTATATTAATATTATTTAATTTTAATAAGTATTATTAAAGAAATTATTATAATAAGCATTAATAATCGAAAGCATTAATTCTTTTATTCCCTTTTATATCCTTTTGTATCCACTGTTTTAATTTTTATTCAGAAATAATTAATGATTACGATTCGATAAGGATTTATCATTGCGATACAGTTTTATGTCGTTTTTCATAAGTTAATTATTTTTTAATTATTAATAATAATAATTATATCAAATTATTTCGAATACTTTATTAATATTTCAGAATTTCAATATTTACAGTTCGCGGATTACCGCGATTTAACTCCCTCGACGTCGATGATTTTCAAGCTGCAAATATATTCTGAAATATTAGGAAAGTATTAAGCGAATATAATCGAATAGGAGCTAACACTAATAGATACCGAACAGTCGATCGGTATCTTACCGATCGTCGACAACGCAGCGAACTACTGCTAAAGGTAGTTTTCAATGGTCGATAATGTAGCTGGTTATTTTGTTGGCTGTGCTACCTCCAACTTGATCATATTCGCCTAATAATTTTCTAATAATTTCAGGATACGTTTCCAGTGAAGAACTTGACATCAATGTCGGCAATTAAAGAACGTAGAAACCACGTGGATGGGACAGTCTTTTTTGAAAAAAACAATCTTATTCCTTTTGCAAGAGATTTACAGAAATTTTATCGTCTTTTTTTCTGAATAAAAAATTAATTCATGGCGAAAGTAACTATTTTAATTTATTTAAGAAATTAGTTGAATTAAAATAATAATTCTCTTCTGTTGTCTATGACTATTTAATATAATCATCAATTTTATTCCAATCATTTACTCGAGCTATCAAACCAATTTAAAAATCATATTAAAAATTCATGCAACAGGACATTTTTGTCAATTATTATTTTTAAATTTTTTTAGTCAAATTTACTTTAATTATTAAATTTTCAAATATTAATTTCTGTTAATTTTTATTTTTTAATCGTAAAATACAAATTTGTGATTTATTTTTTATTATTAAATTTTTCTATTATGGAACTTGGCTGAACGAAGATGTGATCTCATCCATTGCCATTCGTAATATCAATGTTTTCGATGGCTCGTGAGCTTCGGTACCAAATCTGTCTTCATAGATTACCGTTCTGTTGCTTAGTATTAATACTGACATCTTTAACATAATTATATTTTCTGTTTTTTTTTAATATTTTATTTCTTAATTGAGAAAACCATGTATCTTTGTTTTATCTCTTATAAAAAAATAATAAAAAGAATAAAAAAGATAAATAGAAATACTCTGTGGAACTTTCCGATAATTTATATTAAAATTAAATTTTTATTCTTCTAGAAAGCATATAATTATAAATAGTAAAAAAAAGTAAAAAATAATTAAAAGAGTAATATTTTGTATAGTATACTTGGATTGCAATAAAAATAACTAAGAATTAAAAGCTTTAGAATTAATTGTATGTTGCCGATACATATATACATTTCTTGTGATATTTAATAAGAAAATAATAAACAAATTGCTCTCAGCAATTTAAACAATAGCAACAATAACAATAACATAAAGAAAGGTTATGAGAACTAGCACAGATATTATGCACACAAGAAATTACAAAAATATTAAATTAATGAATAATAAGAAATTTAGTAAATAAATGATTGTGATGACTATATCAGGATTGTGATGACTATATATGATAATACGTGCAATTTTGAAAGTTTTTTTATTTGTCGTAATAACTTTATTTTATTTATTAATAATCTATTTATATTCGTTGCGATTTATTATTTGTATTCATTATATTATTTGTTGCGCTGAAGGTAATCAAAAAAGGGCCGAAACATTCGCGATTCCAATAGCTTTTAATAACTTTATTTAATAAATTTGTTATTACTTATTAATTTATCTTTATAATTTCTTGTATGCATAATATCTGCATTGGCTGTCATAGCCTTTCTTTATGTTGTTATTTTTTCATATTTAATGATATAAGTGTAAGTATACACACACATCTAAATGTTAATTTCAAGATTAGTTCATTTTGATGCATATTATATATTTTGTAATTAAAATAAAAGTATTTTATATTAGATATTCACACATAATAAAGTTAATGAGAAACTTTAGATGAAGGATAAACTTTAGATAAAGGAAACCTCTTTTTCCAATTTTTTCACAAGGTCGGAAATGACGAAATCGACCTTGTAAAGCGTGACAAGAACATAGTTGTGACAGTCGCTTTCACAATATACTGCAGATAACATCCACTCACTGATTGCAATGCGTTACTTCGAAACGATGCAAGAATTAAAATTACATTTTAGTTTATAATTATGAATCATTAATGAAATGAAGAATAATAAAATATTTTTCTCTCTTTCTCGCATTGAATAACATAAAACATAAAATAATACAATTCTTTCAATTCCTATTAAAATGTTACTTCTATTTATTATTCATATTTCATTTTTTAATATTTAATATCATTATTATGATATTTACTATCATAATAACTTTATAATTAGATCCGAATATTTTAAAGTTTAATTTTTTAAAAGCATGAGACAAACAATTTCTCACCTTTATTAACTTTGTCTTCTAACTTTGAATCAAAATATGCTAAAAGTAAATATCACAAAGAAAATTACTGGATTAAATTAAATATGCTACATAAATCTTTCCAGATTTGTTTTTCAAATATAGAAATAAAAATTCAATTTTTACATTAAATTTAAGATAAAAAATGATTATTAAAAGTTTAACTTAACATTTTCTAATCTGTTTAACTTTAGCAGAATTTATGGAGTTTCTTCAAAAAGAAAAAAAAGACAACCTCTTTTATTAACAATAAGTACACTTTGACGAAAATTTCAGCAGAGTATCAAAATCATTCTTCATCATTCGTGACTGGCAAAGCTGAACAAATAAATTTATTTATTTACTATATAACTTCGCGATCCATCACTTTCCATTCTCCGAGTGATGACCGGGTTTCTCAAGGGTCGAGAATGCACGAGGATGCACACATGGAGATGTCACGTTATCGCGCGACTCCTACGTGCATCGCAGAGACGTGATACGTATAAAACGCTGATGATCAAGATTTTCGGTGCTCTGTTATGTGTGCGCCGTCACGATGCCATTGTCGATGATATATCAACGCTGGATTTTCATCACGATAATTTTCCTGAACTCTTGCCTATCGTTGGCAAATGCGTTCACCAAACCCGACGACAATCCCGACATCGCGCTCACGACGGTAAGTTACTCTCATCATAAGCTTTTCATTATAAGTAGGTATAATTATGTAAATAGATATAATCATCACGATATAATGGATCCAGATGTAAGATATGGTGCAATAGTGAATGGGATCTTGAATGTCAGTTAAACTTACGTAATATGCGCATGAACTTAGTCTTTTAGCTTAATATTTAACATGCTTGTCTATACTTGACATTCAAATGTGTGTATTTTTCAAGAAAATAGACAAATACTTATAAAATGGCCAAAAATATATTTAAAGTACACGCTAATGATTTTTAAAAAGTTCAAATTTCTTCCATAATTATATTTTTATACATTTTTTCTAGAATTCTATTTTAACTTTAACTAAGGGGAAAGTTACTTTATAAAAGTAATAACTCATTACTTATTTTAAAAAATAATATAGAGAATTAATGTAATTTAAAAATTGTCTATTAATTTTTACAAAAATTTAATGCTCCTTATGTATGTTGTTTCCGTGGAAATTAAGCCGCTTAAATTCATAAAATAACGAAAGTAACTGAATTTACATGCTCGCTATGGAAAATTGTAACAACTTTTTTTGCTAGAAACAAAATTTGTAATACTATCATTACAATTACAGGAAAAAAAACTGAAATAGAAACGGTTATTTCTCAATCTTGATTTTAGTTATATTATCTAAAATATGAAATAAAAGCGGAATAATTTATATTAATTTATATTCTTAATATTATCTTTATTAATATTTATATATTTTTTAATAAATATGTAAATATATTTCTTCCTTATACTTCATTAAAATGTAGTAAAATATATAGCAGAATATATCTCATAAATGCTATTATATATCTTATGTGTCGGATAGCCCGAACTGGTGACGAAATATGGATATTCTTTGGAGATTCACGAAATCCTTACAAAGGATGGTTATGTTCTGCAATTGCATCGAATACCACGTGGCCGGGATGATAAACAGGAAGCAAGATCCAAGATAAGAACACCGATACTTTTAGTGCACGGATTAGCAGGTAGTTCCGCCGATTGGGTCCTTATGGGACCCGAAAAGTCCTTAGGTATGCTTATGCAAATTTTTTTCGGATTGTTAAAAACGTTGTTTCTCATATAATATTTATGATATATATATCCATATATGTTTAGCGTAATTATATTTATCAATATAACTATAAAATTATATAATATAAAGGTAATATTAATATTTGTTAAATGAGGGAAGATTATGATCTATCATTTTTATCTATTATTTTTAGCATATATATTAGCCGATGCAGGTTACGATGTATGGCTTGGAAATAATAGAGGAAATATTTATTCGAGAAATCATATCTCGTTGTCGCCGACAGATCGAGCTTTCTGGAATTTTAGGTAGAAATCCTAAAAAAACAGCCATAATTTTATGAGAGAGAAGAATTGTTCATCACATACAAATCTTTCCTTTCTTAACTCAATACATATTTATATTTAGTCTTTTCAATAAAGTGCAAAATTTAAAATAAAAGTTAAGTCCTTTTAAATTAAATTTTTAAAATTTTTAGATTTAAAATAAATATTAAAATATACACATATGCATTATATACGCGCATATATGTGTACTATATATATATTAATATTTACTTTAAATTTGAAACTAAAAAAATTTAATTTAAAAGAATTTAAAACTTTTAAATTTAACTTTTAATTTAACTTTTAATTTAACTTTTAAATTTAAAATCTAAAATAGAAAGTAAATAAGAAATTAAATATTTAAAAAACATGTATGTATTTCAGTTATCATGAACTTGGCATTTACGATCTTCCTGCGATGATCGATTACGTTTTAGAGATGACGGGATACGAGAAAATTTTCTATGTCGGTCATTCGGAAGGTACCACGCAGTTTTGGGTAACAGCATCAGAAAAACCCGAGTATAATTCGAAGATCACTTTAATGATAGCCTTGGCACCCGCAGCTTTCAGTGGCAACCTTCGTGGACCGATTACAAAACTCGCTAAATTATCTTATCTTGGCGTGGTGTGATACAAATAAACTTAAACATTAATAAATAAAAATTTACAATTGACCCAAGATTTTCGATTTTCTGTTTTTTTTTACAGTGGATCGGTGAAACTTTCGGTTATCCAGAATTCCGTTCCCGGTCCGCCTGGGGAAAATTCGCGTCGAATCTATTCTGTCAAAGCATGGCGTCCACACAATTCATCTGCAGTAATATTTTATTTTTGGTCGTGGGATTTAGCCGCGAGGAATTAAATACAGTGAGAGCACGATATTTATATTTCGTCGATTTCCAGTTTCTACCCAACATCTCTTTTTTTTCATTCATATTATTGATTAATCTTTTCTATTCGTTTGAATAGGAAAATCTGACAGTTATCATAGGTCATGTGCCCGCTGGTGCTTCCTGGAAACAATTCGTACATTATGGTCAAGGATACATTAATGCAGGTAATATCATTAAAATTGTTATACGAAGAAAGGAAAAGAACTTTTGAATATTCGATATATTATATATGTATACAAGCAACATATATATCAAACTTCGAGCAAGTTTTTCTCTCTTTCTAAAAAAAGAACTTTAAAATATATTTTAGGACGCTTTAGACAATACGATTATGGTGATATCGACAAAAATCTTCGAATTTACAACTCAACGACACCGCCGGATTATCAATTGGAAAAAATCACAGCGCCAATCGTTCTCTTCAGCAGCGATAATGATTGGCTGGCAACTACAAAGGTATATCTTATGATTAAAAAAATATTCTTTTTGCAAAAATTAAATTTAATTTGTAGAAATAAACTTTGCAATTATTTATTTTTTTCTCCTAAACGTATACTAATTTAATATTATATATGATTAAAGTTCATTAGAACCAAAACTATTGATCACTTATTATTAGTATAGTAGTCATTATTATTATCTTTCTAATTCTTTTTTTAATTCAAGGATGTGGAACTCTTATCTAGCAAACTCAATAGCATCGTGCTTCATTACAAGATTTCCATGAATATCACCTTCAATCATTACGATTTTATGTGGGGAAAATCCTCTCTGCAAATAGTGTCGCAACCTATTTTACAACTGTTAGACCAATATCAATAGTGGTATACTTCTTAAACTAAAAAAAATGTTTCCTTAATAAAAAAAGTTACATAGAGACAATAAAATAAATATGTAATGAATCGATCTAATTTATTGTTATTAATGTTATTATATAGTATACGTTGCGTTCGCATATATAATCTGTACTTGTCTATAACTTTACTTCTCCGGACTTCAGAGCACTGTTGTGAAACATGCTAATATATATATATATATATATATATATATATATATATATATATATGTACTAATATAAAGTAACTTTGTTTATAGAGTATAGTACTTTTCTTGTATTATATCTTGTATTATATACTGTCGCGTTCTATGTACATTTATATACAAACTCCATCATAATCAATCTTGCGATCACTGTATGTAAGAAACTACATTTGCGATAATTTCTCGCGATCGCATAAAGCCGCCACTATATAATTATAAACTTATAACTTCTAATCGCACTTGAGCAGCATCCAGAAAGATATCTTATCCGCTTCAAAATTGTTTTGTTGAAATATATATATATATAGTATGCCTATCCTGGAAGAAATAGACAATAGTTCTGCTTTTCGCGACTGTTGCTTTAAGTAATTGATTTACTTCGCTTAATGTGATTTTTTACTATTATTAGATTTATATATTATCCTATGTTAACTTACGCTGTACTTGTTTATTATATATAGTTAAAATTATTCATGCGGAAATATGGATGAGCCAGCTCGCATATTTCAAGATCAAGTGCAACTCGAAAAAATAATTTTGGAAGAATAATTTGAAAACATTTTAATAAATATAAATAAAATTCTCCCCCTGTAATTAAAAATAAAACTGTTTAAAAATTAAAAGTATAGCTTATCTCTTTTTTATTTTATACAGTCTTACGTCTACAAGAGTTTAAATCGGAAATAAAAATAAAATAGTGAATCAGTCGCACTTGAAAATTGCTCACAAATTGCATAATATATAATAATATACATATCGAGTTATATATTGCATGATATGTATTAGTTTATGTTAGAATAGATCAAATGGGAAATTGTCGATCTATGATCACGTGATCTACGAAAATTTGTATGAATTGTCTTCGATCGCGGTGAAACTTTATTTATTACACAACTGGAAATAAATAGAATTTTTATCGCGTTGTCAGTCCGTTGCTACGATGTATGTTTGTATACCAGTGAAAAGTTGCGTATAAATCATAATCGATACTTGAGCTCATGTATTGGCCACTTGAGATCCACCCAAAATGATATCTGCCCTCGCGATAAAAGTAATAACTTGATTCTAATTAAGTTTTTACAAAATTCAACGACATATAAATCTCACACAATAACATTTTAATATAATTATAAAATGTATTAATAACCAAATAACTCGTGAATTATTATTCTCATCTAGTTTAAGTATTAAAAAATTATGTTACTCTGTGAGATATAAGGATATCTTAAGATATATTACAACAATCATAATTTTAACGAGATAATATTACGATAGAGAAAAACTTGCAAACGACAAAATTATATATTAGATTAATATAGATTCGATAGAATTAATTCTAATATATGCTTCTTTCCCTCTTGCACCATCACACACGCGATTAGGCAAATTGATATATTAGTAATAAAATGACATAGACAGACTGTGCAAAAAAAAGGAGTTGAAGTCTCTTTAGATTAATGCTCTTTTTAGAATGAGCATCTATTATTTTGCTAACAATTATCTTATTATATATACTATACATATGTATCTATTACACATACATGTATAATAGTTTTTAAATGTAAAGTAAAAACTTATAATATTAAAAAAAGTGTAAATTATTAATATAAATTCTTAGAGTAAAAAGATGAAGATAAAAAGAATGATATCGTGAAATATTGTATCAAAAAAAAAGATTTCTCTTGCAAAAATATAGTTTTTTGATTTGGAAAATATGCAGCCTCTTTGATACGCAAACATATACGAAAAGCAAACGAAATACAATCGCGTTTGTGGTGGAGCATGAGGTGACTGATTAATTTTTTTGCATACAGGGATTATTTTATTTGTAACAAGTTAAAGGAACATAATCACAATCCTCGCATGTCCATGGATATTACATGTTGACAGTTACTGCACTTGATAGCCTGTCATTCGTATTTATGTATTCGAAAATCAATATAATTTCCATATGCGGAGAAAATAAATCAAATTTTATACATATATACATATATATAGCACGTATGTATTTATGTATGTATGTATGTATGTGTACGTGTTATATGTATGTATATATGTGTGTATGTGTGTGTATATATATATATATATATATATATATATATATATATATATATAACATTAATGCAATTACTCAGTAATAATTATGAGGCCATCTGTTCTTAAATACATCATCAATAACATACGCGTGGCACTTTTGCCATCACGGACGAAAGAAGGCACGCGTATAATCAATTCTCATCAATTCTGCGAAATGAGATGCATTTAATTAATCCGCTCTGACACACTTTTCTCCTTGATTGCTCAGTGAAGACAAAATGCACCATGTCAATTTATATCTCATTTAGATTGTGTAACAAATCTTAAAACAGTGTCCCTTTCGCTTTTTGATATTATGTACTCTATAATAATTAAATGCAACCCTCGCGCTCTCGTTAATATTTTATCTATAAATATTACACATACACACACACACGCACACACATAACTGTTACATATTATATATAATATATTATAAACATATATTATATATAGTACATAAATAACATATATTACAAATAACACAATTTATACGTATATGTATGTATGTATGGCTTATGTGTACAATTAATAATTTATAACATATAATAATATATAATCTCATCTCTTTTCTCTTACATCTTTTCTATTATACCGTTCTGTCACATTGAAATAAAAACAGTCTTTTAATATTTCAGAAATTTACAAACATAAATAATATATTTGTCAAAATTGAGTTTTTTATAACTTTAATCTTTTTATTCAATTTAGATGCATAAAATATGACAAAAATATATTGTAACTGCAACAGAACATGTATATATTTATATTACAATTATTAAATTTGAATTAGTTCACATTAATGTGCAAAATAAGAAATGTGAGTGTAAAAGATTAATTAAAAAAAAGACGCAAATTACACACATGCGTGCGCGTGCGTATTTTGCATACATTATTGCATACATTATTTACATACATACATACATACATACATATATACATACATACATACATATATACATACATACATACATACATACATAGAAATACATACGTAAATCATTCATACATACACACGCGCATGTGTGTGCTACAGGATGTACTAAATTTGTTATATATTTTATATATATTGTACATACATGCGCGCGCGTGGATGATGCAGTTACTGTATAATTCACATTTACATAATTATAGATTAACCGAATATTAAGTAATATGTAAAAAAAAACAAAAAGATTATTGAAATGTGTGAAAAATTATTACTGAAATGTATTCCATCGGCTCTTACAGTTAATTAATATATTTTCACACACACATATACACAGATATATCTACACATACATACATATACACGCACAAAATTCTCCGATATCTATTTTCTGTTAAATTTTTGTATCATACATTTGATACACGTATCTGCATCATCGAATTCATCTTTTCAACTACATAAATGCATAAATATTATAGAGTGTCCCGAAATTCGCGACTCAAAATACTAAATACTACGGCAGAAAAGTTTTCTAAAAATTAGATAAAAAAACTTATGTGTTATTTTTTATTCCAACCAGCAGTTTTTGAGATATAAAGGTTTAAAATCATCTATCTATAGATTACTTAGACGGTCGACTGTTCGTGAATCATATATTGTATCATGTACTTCACGTATCTTACGATTGACCAGCTTTAAATCTCAAAAACTGTCTAGAATAAAAAATCGCAAATGATTTTTTTCCTAATTTTTTCTGCTATAATATTTTCACGAATTTTAGGGCATCCTATATACACATTGAGTACACATAGCGAGATATTCCAAAAGAATGATCAATTCACTTTTTCTATTATATTTTGAACAAAAAATTGCATAAGAATTGAAATAAGCAAATCATGCCGTATTAGAATAAAGAAAATTATATCTGCGATTTTTATCTCAGAAACCTGATACGTACATTTAATTTTTCGGCATTCAGGTTTAAGTTTATAAATTTTTAAACAAAAATACGAGTAAAAATATGAACATCAATTCCCAAAAATGCCTGCAAAATTTAAATTACATAGAAAAATATCTGTATACCATTTTCTATAAATCTGAACATTAACGAATAATATATTCCAGTAAGCAAAATGCGCGCAATGTGTCAGCAGAGTGGCAACAAATTTACTTAGAAATAGCTAACAATTGGCATCAACTATGTCCGTATTAAAGTTATGATTTGCTGTAAAGCCTGCTCACAAAATCTGACAACAGTTATTTGCCGACTTAATCGATATTAATAGCTCCTGTATCAAATTTGTAGCCTTTTTGCTGACAACAATTTATAGCAGGCACTTGGCTAAATCTGTTCGGACAGATTTGGCTAACTGGATTCTTAGTTGTAAAACTGAGTTTTGCGCGACTTTTTTTCTGTACTTTTTCACACACACACGTGATCTATAAAAAGATCGCACATAGAAGAAAGTACAAAGATGATTGATTTATACGCTACTTCCCTAGGTTTATATTTTACATAATATCTGTTTGCGAAAGAGCTAATAAAATCTGTGTCTGTAATTAATAAATATAGTTGAAATATCTAGAATATAAGTCAAAATATAGTTAGATATTTGAAAGGCTCGGATATGCAACTGAAAATGCACTTTGACATGTTTTAGATTAAATTAAATTAATTCTAACTCTAATTTATAAAATAATACGCTTCATTCATCTTTGTAGATATTCTTTTCATTCGATTACAGGTATCCGAAATCGTCGAGTATACAATTATTAAATATTTATACAACATAATATTTCTTTTTATAGATATATGTAACACATAATCAAAATATACGAATACAATGAAAGTACATTGAAAATGATAAGATCCAATAATAATATAAAACTCGAAACTTTATTTTCTCTAGGGCTTACTTTTTTTTAAAAAAATAAGTTGTAAGTGTATACCATGCAAGTCTGCATTACTATGCCGCATGCTAAACTTATAAACAAAGTTCGATACAATCTTGTGCAATATATCTCAATAGAGCACAGAATGTGGTAATGTTATCAATTGTAATCTGCGTACTTTTCTAAGTTCCTTCTTTATCCAACAATATCTCGATTATTGCGCGAAATGCCGTGTTCCGCTTGCGAAAAGGCAATATATTCATCAGAAGATATATAGATTATATTTTATTTTACGATATTTAAGCGTCTGTCCTAAGTAATAAATTCAACTGCAATATATAGCGCCGAAAATCAAATAATATGAAAACATCATTGAAAATGTTATATCATATATTATGTCATGTTGTGTTTTTAATACCATCAGCGCACGCTAAGATTTTTTTATTATAGAATACTTTTATAGTTACTTTTATAGCTGCGTTCACCCAACTCATCCCCTATAAAAAAATAGTAGATCGACGATGTTCGTCGTAGTTTATATAAAATAATAGTAATATTTGCAACAATTAAGTTTACAGCGATAACACTCATTCAATTGATTCGCTATGTTACAATAGGAATTTATATATGCGAAGTTTTCTTATATATATACTGCATAATCTTACGGAAAAAGATACGAATAATATAAGGACAAAAAAAAACAGTGTGATTTATTGTTCGCGAATAAAATAAAGACAAGAGGGAAAGCAAATCTTTGAGTATACATAGAGTATAGCTCTATAAAAAAATCATGCACAAGTTTTCTCTGGGATGCATAAAATATTATATTCGTACCTGTTCGCATGATACGAATGATACTTTATTACAAATGGGTATATATTGGCACCATATTCTTTCTAATGCACAATCTTTTTTCTAACACAAATCATGTTTAGATACTTTCTCTTTATATAAAAATGCTATTCTTTATGCCTTTAAGGAAAGATTGTTGTTTTTTTTAACATTGCTAACCTCCTGGAACTTATTTTTGTAATCATATATGTATCTATCATATATATATATATACCTATTATATTTTCAACGCTCAAAAGAACTCAGAAAAAATTACGAAATTTAATTATATTTCCTTCTTGTATGATGCAATTTGGTATATATTACATTTCATTAATAATTCCATATTTATATATATGTATGTGTATGTGTGTGTATGTATTTATATTCCTAAATATTTTTTTCTAATTTACTTTTCACATTTACGATAATTCTGCATCGATCTCTTTGCAGCTATATCAATACATTCGTGACCGCAATTTTAAAGTAGAGTCTCAAAATTCTGCAATTAAGTCAAGGATAAAATTTTGAAAATTTATCTTTGAATCTCATACTTTCAATTACTTATTATTTATAGTTAAAATAAATACAGGAAATTTTCTGTTATGCAGATAAGAAAAAATAATTCGTCTGATTTAAAAACTTGTTTAAAATCAAAACTTAATAAATTTACTGCTTTTAGTTTTAGCTATAGACGTAATACTGACGTAATCCTGAAAAAACGTAACGACTACGTCAGCGGCCATTAATGTATTAAGCTGCTTTCCGTAAAATTTTTTTAACACTTTTAATTAACTAATTTTAGTTATTAATCACTGGAACAAAAATCCCAGTATAACTTTACATAATTTAGTACATATTCGTCTACATATAGTTCTACTTTTTAATTGATTGCATTTTGTCAAACGTTTATCGCTCAATTCTTTATATTTGTTAATTTTATTACAAATATCAATTTAATAAAACATCCCATGGTGCTTTTAATAATATTTTCTTTTATGGTTAATACTTTTAATATAATATATTTTAAAATTTATTTGCAATCAGTTTAGAATAAAGTTAGAGCAAATGCTTTACATACATTACAATTGTCTTATTTATTAAAATTTTTATGAATAACCAAGGAATACTGCGTGCATAACGATTTCTATATAATTTTAACTTTAAGATAAACTAATCTTTAGTATACTCCAACTGTTCAGTTGTTCGTTTGCTCGATATATTTTGAAAAACTATAAAAATTGTACTAATCACACGCTAGGAATCGGTTTACTCTCTCACGCCTGAATAATATGTATATTACTAATATAAACGTGTAAATACAACTCTAGCTGTTATAGAGTAAAAAATATTTTCAGAATACTATTTCTTACAATTAAAAAACCATATTTTTATAGAAAATTATTTTACTGCGTATTCTTTTTCTGTTTTAACAGCGTCAATGTCTCGAGAACAAAAGAAACATTTGGAATTTATAACTGTAATTATAATATGCAACAGTTCTTTAATCTATAAAGTGATCAGCGTAACAATTAATCAGTTTAATCGAGATAATAGGAATGTCTGTATAAAAGCAACGCGTTTAAATTACTATTCATTTTATGTCTCGCAAGATTTAGTAAAGAGCTTCACATAACAATTATTTAATGAAAGAGAAGAGAGAATATTACGCCTATTTGGTATGCTTCTTCCACAATATAACTAATCTATATATAACTGCTATTATATGTTTCGAATGGCGATTATATAGTTTTAAACTATTCTTGGTTATTCTTTTTATCATTAAATGTAATCACAAAGGAATGATTAATTGCATAATACTTTGAGAATATCAATCTGCTGCACAAAAAACACTGTATATAAAAAAAACAGATCAATTGAAGCAATCAGGTACATTTTCATATTTAGCTTCCCAATGAAAAATTACGAAAAAGAATGTCACTCATTAATATGTTTATATTTGCAGCACCATATATGAAAGGGAATAGTTAACTTAATTATTAATTATATATATATGTTTGAATGAATTAAATATCTTGTGTTTATAAGCTACATGTAGCTACACAGGACGTCAACATCCAACAATGCCATAAATCTCAAGTCATTTCTACAAAAATGCGTATCACGAGTGATCAAGTTAGAGACAATCTTATATCTCTTTAAAAAAGAAGCTCGAGGATCGAGCTTTAATTTAATGGAAGGCAAAATATCTGTTTCAGAAGACCTTTCCGCGGATTTTCATCCTCCATATCGTCATAATTGTTTTCGTCGTAATTACTAACAATCGCGTTATTATTACCGGGATTGTAAGTAACGTCTGTGATGCTTAGAGAACGAGGACATGCCGGGCTTTCATATCGGAAAGGGAAGGGTGGCGGTAGCTGTCGATGATGTTCATTATAATTATTGTCGTTCTCATTCTCCTCCGAGTATGTCATTAGAAATACATTATTGTGATAACTTCGATTACTTGAGCCGACAACGGGGAGCAGGGGATCAATACGAAGTTTCGCGAGTCTATCTTGCAATTCATACATGTAACATTGCTGCAATTGATACTGCTGCTGCTGTTGCTGTAAATCTTGATTGTGACGCTGCACAATGAGAATCGGCTCTTGTCACACGCAGTCCTCTAGTGACATTAGTAGAGGATTTACATACTCGAAACCGTCGAATTCGCTCTGATCAATCTTCTCGATTTGCTTCCTGCGATATAATAATATATAGACTATCTCATAGATGTCTACAAAAATATATTTTACATCTATGTATTAATTCTAAATATAAATAAAAACAATTTTTAATAGAAAGATAAATTGTTTTAAGAGAAATAATATATAAATTAAATTAATAAACTTACGGATCATCCGGAGTCAAACGAACTTCTTCATCCGTAAATTCAGGCGGAAAGTTTGCTAGATCACGATCGGAATCCAAGCGTGGTTTGTAAGGTGGTGTAACCTGTTTTTGTTCCAACTGTAAAGTTATAAATAACAGTTTGATGATATGTGAAAAATCATATACTTTCTCTACGAAATACTTAGCAAAATGAACAAGATTGCATTTGTATTTATATCTTGTATAATGCGATAATATTTACCATTTCCCAATCAATCGCTTTGAAAAAAGGATGAGCGACAATATCAAGAAAACCAGAGGGTCTCTTTCCGCAACCTAGCCTCTCCGCGGGGTCTTTGCAAAGGAATCCTCTAAGAACAGACGCCGCTTTAACAGACAAAGATCGCGGTATACGTATGGTCTTTTCCAAAATAACTTGAAATAGAAAATCCTCAGTGTTTTTATCCGGCTCTTCAGATGCACTAGTGAGATCGAAGGGGCTACGTCCCGCCAACATCTCGTACAGAAGAACCCCTAGAGCCCACCAGTCCACTGAAAAGCTGTATTCTTCGCCACGGAGAATTTCAGGAGCGATGTAATTGGGAGTGCCGCAGAACGTGCCAGTGTTATCGCCCTCCCGGATACCCTCCTTACACATTCCGTAATCCGTAAGCTTAACGTGTCCTTCATGATCAAGCAATACATTATCGAGTTTTAAATCCCTATATATAATTCCTGGAAGCAAATAATTATCGAGTTTAAATCAAGCATTCAATCTTCAACAAAATTTAATAGTATAATAGTAAAAGAGAAAAAGAGAAAAAGAAAGAAAGAAAAGGAGAGATAGAGAAAAGAAAAAAGAAAATAGAGAGTAGGAAGGAAGAAATGATAAGGAAGAAGGATAAAAAAAGAGAAAAGAGACAAGTAGAGAAAAAGGGAAAAGAAAAGAAGAAAGAAAAAAAAAAGCGAGAAGGGAAAACGGAAAAAAGGAGGGAGAAAAAGAAATAGAAATAGAAAGAGAAAAAAGAAAGAATAGAAAAAGAAAAAAAAGAAAGAAGGAGAAAAAGAAGAAAATTCTTTACCTTTTTCATGTAGAAAGTTTAATGCCAAGCTGATCTCGGCTACATAAAACCGTGCGTGATCCTCTGGAAGACGACGCTGTCGCTGCATATGAAACATGAGATCGCCACCACGCACGAATTCGATCACGAAAAATAGGCGTGAAGGCGTTTGGAAGCAGGAGTGCAGGCCTACCAGAAAGGGATGATTCGAGGCTGTCTCAAACACATGTTTTTCCGTTTGCACCCAATCGATGTCCTCGTCATCTGTCACCAGAGATTTTTTGATAACTTTCATAGCGTAGATCCTCTTAGTGCGTTTCAGCTCCACCATCAAGACCTTGGCGTAGGAGCCACGGCCGATCACTCTGATCAGTTCGAAGTCATTCAAAGAGTACTGCCGTTGCATATCGTTCGATGTGTCGCCTTCGTTTAATGTGTCTAACGGCAATTCTTCCCCTTCCTCACTTCCGATTTCTTCGGATAAAAAAATATTACAAATAAAAAAAATATTTTTGAATCGATGATCGATAAATGTAGCAGTGTGTTTTTAAATAAAGTTCTATTACTCTAAAAAATGTATTACTCAAAGCAAAGCTGTATTAATATGTACATCTAATTAATAAATGTCTTGTGAAGAAATTAGAATTTAAAGTACTTATCATTTATATAAAATTATAAAAATATTAAATAATATGTGTAAAAATATTAGACATAATACAAATCTTATAAACATTTATTGAATGATCTTACGATCGCGCGAATGCTCCTCGATGATCGGCGACTCCGATATCTCATCCTCGAGAGGGATCGGATACGGATCAAGCTGTTGATCACCATTTCTGTCGATCGTCTGGGACTCCGCGCTCTGCAGCTGCTGCTGTTGCTGCTGCTGACTCAGGCACGGCTTGCGCACCACTTTGTGGCATTTTTTGTGTACCAGCAGTTTGCATTGAATGCACTTGAATCCTTGACGTCCGAGGCCCCAGATCCGATCCTGGCAAAATGCGCAAAATGCCCTCTGCAACAAACATAAAGAACATTGCATTACATTTTCCTGGACTTTCTGTGTTAAAAGTATATTAAAAAGTTAAAAAAGTAATCGTTTTAAAATAATAATTGTGTTTAAGTCTCGCGGGGAAATGAGGTTTTACTTGTACTTGCTTTCAAGTACACACACACAAGTCTAAAAATTTATTTAATACGATAGCGCAATTACTGTAATGCAAATAAAATTTCTCAAGATTAAAATGTGAATCATAGAAAATAATAATTAAATTTAAATGTCAGATTCTTAAACACAACGAATGCTCTTTCAAAAACGTGGACAAAATAAAGTACTAAATTATAGTGGAAGAAGAAAGAGAAGCTTAACAAAATGGAATGCGGACGAAAAAAATAGAGAGGATTCATACCAAGGTAAAAACCCAGTTACAATTTTACCCTTTCAACGATACGGAAAGTAAGAGAGAGAGAAATCTGCTATCCTTGTCGACGACGAAGTCACACTAGCCAGCAAGTTTTAGAGTAAGTAGTGGAAGTGTTCCATAAAAGAACTCTATATACACAGAGGATTCGTTTTCGTCGTCGTGTCGCACTTGCGAAAGATCTATCTCTTCGCACTGCATATGAGGGGTACGGAGAGAGAAAGGGGGAAGGGGAGGAAGAGAACGGGGAGGCGATGAATAGACTGTGCAATGGTAATTAAATGATATGATGCTTACCCGATTGAATCGTTTCGCCTGAAAAATATGGCCGTTCACCCGATACAGCTTCCTCCACCTACGAGCGCCACGTCTGTAGATGCTTCCTTCGGAAAATGAAATAACATAAATGTCATAAATGATGGAAAGCATCAGTTGATCGATCAACTCTCTGATCGACTTCCGCGACTCACCCATATCGAACGTGATGAAATTTCATTATACTATATAACGCAGATTTTAATACAATTACAATTTAATCTTAAATACGATTTAATTTTTGATGTTTTAATATCATTTATCAATTATAAATGCTATTGTACAATTAAAAAATTAATTAAATGCAATAATTAAAAATTAATGAAGCTATTTTTATTAATAATTAAATCACTTTTTGTTAACTTGTTGATCAAAAATTAATAAGTGTTTAACACAGAAACTTTAAATAAAACTTTTAATGATTTCGATTAAATATATTTAAAAAAATTTTTTAAATATGTATATTTTAAATTTAAAAAATTTTTTAAGAGTTAAACATGAAGCATAATGTCTTTCAAGAGAGATGAGTAATAATAAATTTATGTTGTCTTTGTGAAATCTTCGTTACTAGCTCATGTGTTTCATAAATGTATTTCAATAATAAAGTTTCGCCTACGAATTTTATTGCGAATTGATTTTACCACCATCCTCTCTCTCTTTTTCTTTTAGCCCAGTCGCAACCAATCGCGTAGTTGAACGATGTATGGCTTCACTGACAACGATATCGATGCGGACGAGAATAATACAAACAACAACATCCAAAAGATCAATGACAATAACAACGAAATAGGTTCCCGCAAAGTGTATCTTGCACAGTAAAAACGCACGTTGAAATAATAAGTTGTTTTTTTTCCTTTTCTGTATAAACTATCACATGAAATGTTTCGGAGAGACTGGTCGGATTCAATCTATACTTATCCGTGAACGCGACAATCACCGGATGTATCGATGCCAGTGATCTGAGAAGAGAGATCTCACCACGAGAAAGATTCATACACGTGAAGAATCGATTCAAAACAAAAGATTTTTCTAGTTATTTTAATGCAATATTTTTGTATCTTAGTAGACTCATTTTGTTAACTTTAAACGCATGCATTACAAACACTTGCACTTATAAAGAAATACGTTATGATATGCTTGTATTAAAAGTATATTACGAAATGGGCCTACAGACTGAAAAATGTTCAAATGTCAATTCGACAACTATTGAGCGACTGTATACTGTAAGGAGAATATTTTAAAGTTTTCCTTTTAAAGTTCTCTCGCTGCAGCGGATTATAAAGTAAATGAAGAAAAATTACATAAAACTTTCTTTTTTTACTCTTCATAAATGAACATATATAATCATATTCCATTTTTACGTATCTTACATTTCCAACGAAAATGTATTTAGTGACAGTGAACTATAGCTGTCTGCTAATCTAAAAAGCAAATTTCCTACACATTTCGTGACGCGCATAAAAATTATCTCACGATACGCAGTATAAAAAAAATTCACGAGTTTTCTGATGCAACTGTTTATAATTTCAAGGCGTCTACAAATCTTAAAACGTAAAACAATTCCTTGAAAATTCCTCTTTCAGATATTTTTGTTCAAAATTCCAAATAAAGAGAACATTTTAAAGATTTTATGATGCAACTTTCTAAAATAAGTTTTTTTATTATATACGTTTTTCAAATACTTTTCATACGAAAAAAAACACAAAGTCACTTAAGTTTCAAGTGTTAGATTTACAAATGTTTGATTTTGAAAAAACTAGATAGTTTTCATAAGATAAACATTTTTCACTTGCATAATATTTTCATTTTTTATTACTAAAAATAAAGAATATATATCGTATTTTCAATATTGCTTTAAAAAATTGAATATATAAACAGAAGTAAGTATATAATAAATATTTATAATATAATTTAAACACATATAATTCACACATATAATTCACAACTTAATCGGCGAATATCTGCTTACAATAAAAGAGCAAAATTATCAAAAAGAAAATTATTTAAAAAGTTCCTTGAATCCCGAGATAAATTTGTGGAATTCCTGCTTTTCCGTCATTTTCAAGGTGTAGACTCCCTGAATCTATTATAACACGCAACTTTTTTCACTATAAATGCAGCGAAAGAACTTTAATTAAGTCTTAATTTCGACGTTTAATGTATGAAGTGACGCGTTAATGTCGTGAAGGTTGTGTGATTAAAAACATATCGAAGGGAAAGCTTGGTAAAGAGCAGGGTGTCAAGAACGAAAGATGAATATATTCCTGCACGTAACGGAGTTGAGCCTTGTGTATGTCTATTATCGCTCACTAATCGTCTCTTTCTACCGGCCGGTTAATTAGAACTCGCTGGCTAGTACGCATTGACTAATATAATGTATATATGCAGGCCACTGCAGTTGCTGCAACGTTTCCAATGAACAAGTAAATACACTCACTGTCTTCTCCCTGACACGGCATCCCGGGAGCAGGCGGCACGTTCGGAAAAACTGTAACAGAAGAAAGAAATGCACGCTCGCTTTGCTGACAAGACGCTTCATGACAGTTCCTTTATATCTCTAGCTTGCTGGTATTTCAAAGCTAGCTTTTCGTTATTTCAAATAAAATTTCGAACGTTTTTATAAAAGCGAATCTAAAATTTTTGTAATTTGATTAATTTTTATTTCTTATGCTATAAATATAGTTTATTTCTTATTTCTTATCATAGATTTAGCAATATACAAGGACACACAGAGAAAAATATCATTCTACTGCCAAGAAAAGCGATTACTCAGTTTATTTTTCTTCTTTTAAATAATAGTTTTCTTCAACAAAAAATATATTCTTGATAATAATCTTAAAATATACTCATCACAAGTATTAGAAAATCTTATTATCATGTACTCAAAAGAAGAATTTATTTTCTCTTCAAGAATATTGTAAAGTTGTATCAAAGAAAAATCAAACTTACTTTACGTCAACTCTTGTAGTAAGCAAACCAAATTTTTGTTTCAATTTAATATTCTTGACTAAAATACTGCACTTACTAAAATTCAGAATATATTCAATTAAATTTAATGCTTGTGGTAAACTTATGATATATTTGCGGATATACAAACTTATGATATATTTAAAATAAATAATATTTACTTGAATTTACAGTATACATTTTTCTCTATTCAGTAATTATCTCTCATGCAGAATGTGAAAATATTATGTAAAATTTTAATAAATAAATTTTAATAAATTTTATAAATAATATTATAATATCGATATCAATCAATATTAAAATCTGCATCAAGTATATCTAGATATTATCTGAAGATGCTGTGTGCTTTCTAATATCATAGCCGTCAATGATTTAATATTGCGTATTTTATCTGTCGACGAGACGATTGATGGCGATCGATTAATCTCTCTTTCTCTCTCTCTCTCTGTCTTTTTCTTTCGTCCCAGCAAAAAAAATTACGAGATAGATTAACGAAATAAGCGAACTTACATGGAAAACAATTCACATACTGGAACCCAATCGAAGTTCGCTGCTCATTATCCAACATACTGTGTGTACTAGTATGTCCTCACTCCGGTTACAGTCAGATAACAACTAACACTGAATCCTATTCGAGCCATCGAGCATCGCGTTATCACTTATCGCCGTCATCGTGTGTCATGAGAAAGAAAAAAAAAGGCGAGAGAGAGAGAGAAAGAGAGAGAGAAGGAGACAGCCGAACGCTGATGATAAAATAGACGCGCGATAGTTGGTCGCTTTGATGCAGCGCGCTCGCGATTAAATTTCTTCACGATTCCGCACATCGATAAAAACGCAAAGTCGATGAGCGGCGAAGTCTTCGCCAAAAAACTGTTCCTGACATTCTCGCGCGTTGTCGTTTTTAAGCTCGTTACTGTCAACGTCGCATTAATCCTTTCTCCGAATGATCACAAACGTAGATTAACAGAGACGAAGGAATACAAGAGAACAATCTTGGATCGTATAGTAGAATAGAAATTACAATTAAATGTTTACCCACAAATCTTGTAAACAAATCCCCTGAAAAATCTCTGATCTTCCAAGTATTTTTATCCAAAATTTCGGGTAAAGAGAACATTATAAATATTTTTAAAAATAAGATTTTTTATTGCATGCATTTTCTAATTTGCTTTCAATGCTTTGTTAAAATTTTATAACAGCCATTCAGACTTGAATGGCTAACAATAAGTAGAACATACGAGTTGGTATATCGTAGTCCACGAAGAAATTTGAGAGAAAACTCGAGTTGCTGACATAAAGATTAAAATGTTATACTAAAAAAGAGAAAAAGAAAGAAGAAAGGCAAATAATAAAAGTTTGTGGTTTGAAAATACATGTTTTTACCAGGTAAAAAAGTCGATTCTACCGAATATTAAAAATAGATCCTCAATATTCGATAAATGTAAGTTGATAGACAATATCTATGTAGAACACTAACAATTCAGAGTTAATTGAGACTTGTCTAAAATAAAAACTTAAATATGATTTTGAAACAAGATTTATGTAGTTAAAATAAAGATTAAATAAATTTATAAATAATTATTTCAGATTATATACAGAAGAGAGTGGAAAGTCAACTTGTTATAATCACATGATCTATTTTTAAAATAAATTTAATAAATTTAAATCGTGAATTATAACAACATTACTGAAAATTGAAATATCGAGATTATAAAAACGAGATAAAAAAATTTATTAAATATAAAAAAATCTATGTTAAAAAAAAATTTATCGACGAAGAAAAAGTTAGAATTATATCATACAGTTTGCTAGACTGATGTTAGCTCTTCCATCAGTGTAAATATAAAGCAAAGCGCGGCTGCTAGAATTATGTGGATATATTATACGATCGCGACAGGCTCGCTAACGAGGTCATCGCTGCTCCCTCATTGGCAAGGTACACGTAATCGAATCATTAGTTACGAGAAAACCGCAGGCACGTATCGATGATGCAGGACAAGATGGTATAAGCGAGCGAGAGAGTCAAACGCGCTTTCTTGAAATATTCATAGACTAATTATCGTGAACGAAGATCGATGACACGTACGATAAAGATGTACATACATTTACCCCTTTCCTCTAACGTAGGGGATATGTGCAATGAGCTGTATGCGGGATGTACGAAACGCGGGACCCTAGAAGCACGATCTATAATAGCGTAAGTGCATAAGTGCATCGGCGCGCATATACGCGAAGAAGAGCGCAATTAAAATTGTATTTAAAACTTTCAACTCCTCGCCGTAACTGGATCATATATGATATATAACAAAGTTATAATTCATGTTCATAATTAATATACCAAACAATGACCGTAATAAAATGCAGTTTTGTTACTTCCGATAATATTGTGCGAGAAAACAAAGAGATAAAACATTATCATTGAAACAATTTCAGTGATAATGATCGCTTAACATACATATTATAAATAAAAGACTAGTCTAATAATCTATAACAATTGCTATAATTTTAATACAAGTCGGTTATCTGTCATAAAATAATAAAAAAGTTATCGTAATTATTTTATGAAATTAATGCGAAAAATAGAAAACGTAATGTGCGATCGACTTCGATGCGATCGCAATAAGCGCAGGAAGACCAAGAGAAATAAATTTGACATTAAACATGTATTTAAGAGAATGTATCATTATCCATCATATCCGACAAAAAAGATGCATTAAACCGAGAGGACAATTAACGATGTAATTTCGCTCTCTTGTTTGAATAAAAACAAAAACCCGCGATAATTAATTCATATGTGACCGACTTGGAGTTTTATATTACTGCAATGCGCTAAACGTCAGAGGCTACGACGATTTCCGTCAACAAGACCACCAAACCCGGCCGAAAGGAGGCGTGATATAGATATGTATATATGATATAGCCGAGACGCATCGGCGAAAGAAAAAAGCAGGAGTTTTTCTAGCCGCCATGTCCAGTCACATTGAACGAAATGCATCAGAAACGCAATCGCGTATACAAACAGCTAAGGAGGATCTAGATTAGACGCCGCATAAGAAAAACATGCTGAAGATGACGAATAGAATGACTAAAAGCTACGAGAAGCGCGCTCTTTCTCGATCAGCGTACTCTCCTGTTCGGCTACACCTACCCCAGGTGATCTCGTTGAACTGGAACTGCGACGGACCCACAGGCTCGATGTCGAGCAGCGACGTCATCGAGGGCGCAGACTCCGGTAACAACGGTGGCAATTGCTGCTGCTGCTGATTGCACGGCCCGTGTACGCGACACGTCGCGGTGGGCCCAATGTTGCGGCCGTAAATTAATTCAGCATTGACTACCACTTCCTCAAACTCGGCTTCGGACAGTTCGTCCATACCTTCGGCGACATCCGGGGGACACTGGAGCATCTTTGTCGCCGATCTGGACGAGGTGCTGGGTTGCGCGAAGATGTCATCATGATGGTGATGAAGATGATGATGATGCAGTGGGCTACTGATGAGGGGAGGTGGCGAAATGTCGGCGGCACGAAGGTGACCGATGATTGGTTGCTCGTATTCAGCCGAGTCGCCGCTACCCGGCGACGGTGGGTACGTGCCGGGTTTCACGTGGCGCTCGCGCGGTAACACTTGGATGCCGGTGGAAGTAACGGAGGAGGAGGATGGACCACCGCCACCCTCGACAACGGCGGTGGAAAGACGACGGCTCGCTGCCGCTGCGGCTGCCGCTGTCGCCGCAGAGTACGAATAAAAAGAGCCGCCCTGGATCATCATACTACAGGGTGGTTCCTCCGTCGCGACCCCGGCGACACCGGGACCGAGCTCTCGCTCCTGCTGCACGCTGCTATAGGTGCTCTGCGCGGATAACTCCGACTGATGCATCTGCTGTTGCTGCGACGGTTGATGCAAGCACTGATGCTGTTTGTCCTTCTCGCGGCGAGGTGACCGACCCCGATCGCTGACGGAAGTTGCGCTCCAATAACCCCACGCCATTCTGTAACGAGCCTAGCCGTACTTGTCTCGCCTTGCTCAATCGTCGCGGTGTATTATTATATCGTCTTGCGTCTGCTCCAATCGCAACGCGATTGCCTCTTTGATGCTTCGGGCGCGGGATCTCTTTGCCTCTTTCTCTATGCTCGACTTCCTTTCCTGCCTCGCCTTGTCTCCTTTCGACCGCAGTCGACCTCTTACACAGGAGCCGCCGGGATGAGCATGCGACGAATCACCAACCTCGATCGATGCTAGTTTACCGCCTCTTTTGCGACCTCTCTCTGCTCGCGGTGTAGCGCGCCGACGACTACCACCGACGACTACCGTTGTAGTCGAAACGTAGTCGATGGCGCAACCCCTTTGCGACTGTAAGAGAAGCTCTCTACAATCCCGGTTCGACTTTCTCCTCTCTCCGCTCGACGCTTCCCTTCTGACGAGCCGATCTCGCGATCTCACGGCCAGGTTTGTGTCGGAGCGTCAGGCGTGTTGCCCTTGCTGATCGGTCCGTGCAAGGATATCGACTACTGCCGCGGCGAGATGCGTTAACCGCCCGCCACCACCGCCCGGCGCACGCTACCGACCGAATCGCGCAAACGCGGATCGCCTTGTCGAGATGGAGGTGATACATATACATATCCTCCCTTTCCCTTCTCTTCTCTTCCCTTCGCGCTGCCGGTTCTACACCCACCTATGTTTACCCACAGATTCTGCCCACCCCCTCTTTCTCTCTTTATCTATCCTCCTCCTCCTCCTTCTTTATGCTTTTGCTGTTTGCTCACTGATTATTCAGTGATTTTTCTTGTCACCGCTTTCAAGTAAACTTTGTCTCGCCGTCCTATCCTATATTGTATTATATACGTTGATTCTACTTCTTTTCTTCAGAGAAGATTTTTCCACTTTTTGTATGCTTCCATTTCTGAAAAGAATTATTCCTACAGCAGGTCACACTTCTATTCTATTTTATTTTCTACTTTATTTCTCTTTATTTTCTTCTATTTTTCAGTTTGATCGTTGACTGTTCGTCTCTCTTTGAGTTACTATTTTGCACTTGCTGCTCCTTCGTCTTTGCTGCCTGTCCTGTCAATTCTTCCTTATCCTTCTGATATGCGATCTTCGCTTTTGCTATCGAGATTGATGTTGTGAAACTGTAGATTTACGAAGACCGATACGTGTTATACATATCAGAGAAACCGAGACGCTTTTGTCGCACGAGAATGTGCGATCACTTTACATTCTATTATATATAACATCCCAAGTCATTTTCATTAAAAAAATATTAATTTTTACGATGCCTTTTTTTAAAAGCTCCAAAAAAGAGATACGAGTCGAGTTATACTCGATAAGATAATTTATAAGAACGTTAAAATGTATACCAAAAATCTTGTAATTTGATTACTTCAATGTCTCCATCTCAGTATTTTCTTGGAAAAGTAGTGTATGTTCATCGTATTTGTGCTCTATATTATTTAAATTACAAATTAATTTTACTTTATTTAGAAACAAAAAGGATACTATCTATATTTTCTATTTTAAAAAATTTAATCTTTAAAGTTTAAAAAATTGTTTTCCATATTCATAATTTATAATCCAGAAGAGTTTTTAATTGTTATTAAATCTGCGCAAAAGAAACAAAAGACGATCTTTATGGATCAGAAATGTATATACGATCACGATGCGTTTTATCAAAATGTATGCCATCGCATACAAATGAGACCATCTCCGAGTCGTTTATTGAGTCATCTTCGTAAAGTCTCTATGAAGAGAACTATGAATTTTTAAACACATCATGCGATTGCATATAGTATCGTCAAATCGATCGTGTACCGGCGCCAATGGATTTCGCTATTAATTGGTCACTCATATCGACGATAAACCACGCAGATAAGACGAATATATCGTATACATTCTACTATCTAAAAAGCGCGTATCGATACTTGGAACGCATCGAAGCGTTTGCACGCATATTATCACATACTGCTAATTATGCGTGCATAAGTTATATATATCTACGCGCAATTTATAGATGATTTTTTTATCTATAAATATCTGATAAAATAAAATATTTTAAACAGATATGAATATATTATTTCCTTGTATGTATATGTATACATCTGTTTAATAAACTATTATACATGCATACTTAGCAGTTGTCACTCTTAGTTATTAAGTGCCTAATATGCAAGCGATTATCGGTAATATATAGTTTTTAAAAAACAAATTAGCAACATTAAAATCAGAGAGCAGCGTGCAAGATAATCTCTTTAGAAGTGATTTTATCTAATAAATAATGATATGATTTCTGTCGTAAACGTTGGCGTACTGACCATGTATCGTTATTTCCGTATCCTTTTCGAGCTCGTACAGTCTCAATGCTTCATTCAATTCCTGTTGGGAGGCAATCCTACACGGATCGCCTTCGTCGTCCACCCATTTCATCGTGAATTGTTCCGTGCCAAAACCGCATATCGTTCGCATTTCCTCGCGCAATTTTTCCACGGAAATCCGAGGACTGATGTAGGTGATTTGCATTTCTCTGATACAGAAAAATTATATTCATTATACATCTATTTTAAAATATTTTTCTTCAATTTGTATGATTTTTAAAAAAATTATATTACAGGTTCTTATTTTCTCTTAAATTAATCTTTCTCTTAAATTAAATTTCCAAACAAATTTCCAAGAAGAAAACATTTATATTGCATTAATTATCAATTAATTATTAATTAATATAATTCATTTTGTTAGAGACATATAGCATAAAATTTCAAAATAAATGTTTTCTCAAAATATATATTTTAAATTATATTTTTTAAAATAAAAAATATAATTTAAAATATGTATTTTGAGAAAAATTAAATGTTATTTTCTTTAATTAATAAAAATTAAAATTCTTTCTATTTAAATATTAGAAATGTATATAAATATGAAAACGTGATTTGTGTGTGTTATCAAATTGTACATTATAAAACAACTTTTATGACATGCATTACCCATTATATATAATTTTCACTCGAATGTCATCACTTTCTGTCATTTGTGTAGGCATTTTTGAAACAAATTGTCTTCTATTCTGAAAAGTAACCACATAATTTTAATATATGTATATTGCAGTATAAACTAGCATAACATAAATTAAATAGCATAATATAACATAATATTAATAGCATAATATTACATAATATTAATTATAATATAAAATGAAAAATTATATACTGAATTTATATAATACAATTTTATCTAATAGAGAGGTTGCTATGTGAATAAAATGTAAATCTTACTATAAAAATCTTACTGTAAATCCAATATCTCAATTCTTTTTTAAAATTTAAAAATAATTAAAAATTTTAAATTTACAAAATTTAAATACGATTTAAAACAAATAGATATATTTGATTAGTGCTGTGATACAAAACTTTTATCTCGACTTAATCGTCGAGATACGTTAAAAAAGAAATCTAAAGATATTGCGGATAACAGTTATCTCTCTTCCTTTAGAAGAAAATACAAGTGAAACGGCATACGTACACATAGATTTCGTAGAAGAACGAGAGCGCGAAATTGATGTTAATCGATTAACGATCAGTTCTCTTTACAGATGCGCCAATTAGCTAGCCATGTGATAATTGTCTCTCCTTCTACTGCCAATTAGAGACTTGCGCGTTTATAGAGTACACGTCTTCTGACTCACCGCAATGAACTGTCGCGAGCCGCCGATGAACACTAGTTGCACGAAGCACCGCACTATCCGAGGGATTTCCGAAGACTTTCTGGAGGGAATTCGCTCTAATTTCTATCACTTGTACAAAACTGTAGAAAAAGGTTCGCTGATTTCGCGAAATAATAATGCGGATGGCAACGCACTAAGTACACTTACTACACGGCGTGAAGCGTTGTTATTTGGCAAGCGCCATGTTTGTTGGCCACTGACACTGACTCCGTCGTACACGCACCGCCATCCATTGGACCCTGTAACATACTGGAGCTGAAGCGAGTCTTCAAGGGTGGGGGACTTAAGGATAGATAGATGCTAGGTTGGTTGCTATCTTTGTCACGGATTCACTGATTGGTTGATGCCATTCTAGTATCATAGTCAAAAACATTGACTTCTTGTGTATTACGAAAATATTTTATGATTATATTTTATAATAAATTTTAAATTCATTATAAACGAAAGAATTAAAGTCCCAATATTGAATTTAATTTCTTACGGCTTAAAACTTATTTATCTATTGTAAATCCAGCCTTTATTCCTGGTCGAATATTTCCTTCATATTTGACACTGTGATTGATCAATTTCTTAAAACTTGAGGCTTAAATTACCTATTGTAGACTGGGACTAAAGGCTTATTCTTATAGACCAATTGACGAATCAGAACAAAGCAATGTATCGGCTGGCTACTCTGATTGGTCAATTCCAACCGCAACTCGTAGTGCGATTATGACTTATAGCTATTACACGTGGTAAACTTTTAGTCGTAACTGTAAGCAAATTGACCAATCACAGTCGAGCATCTGACAATGTAGGAGGAACGTTTGATCGCGATTGGTCGATAGCTACAACAAAGAATTGCATGCAAATGGTATATAACCACATTTCTACGCGTTAGAAATTTTTCAAAACGAGAAAAGAGTTAATAGAAAATTAAGTCTATTTTTAACAATAGTCGCATTCGTGCATTGTGACGAGAAACTTGCGGGAATTGAAAGTTTGGCACTTAGATTTCCGGTAACGCGCGTGTTTTCTCCGACGGTATCGATTTATTATTGGCTGACAACTGTAATATTAAACTGCGGCGACGAATCACGGACGCGGAATCATGTAAGATCCACGCATCACACATTTATCTATTTCTAGTCTACCCTTTTTATGCCGGCAGGCACGTCGCACGTATCGTACGTTACCGGTTCACCTCATATACTTTCGGACGAATTAATTCGCGCCACGCGTTTAGGATTCCGGAGTTATCTGTGCAAAGCGCAGAACAAAATCGGCTGTGCTCCGATTTCGGAACCCCGAATCCACAGCAAGGACGCGTCCTGGATTGAGGATCGCTCGTATTCTCTTGCGTCTCCCTAGAAGAGCGTGCGAATTTACGATGGCGTCAGCTTCAGCCATGGATTTCTCGCAAGGCGAGAAGACTAACGGGCATGATCAACCAGGTATCAACCAGAATGCTCAGGAACACGCGGGCCAGCAAAATCAAGGGCAAAATCAATATCAGCAACAACAGCAACAGCAACCTACAGCCGGTATTCCTGGAAAGGACGACGAGCGCAAGCTCTTCGTTGGCGGATTGTCTCGTAGTACCACCGACAAAGAGTTGCACGAACACTTCAGCAAATTTGGCGAGATCGAAAGCATTTCCGTCAAGGTCGATCCCCACACTGGTGTCTCACGTGGCTTCGCCTTTATGGTGTTCGCGAACCCCAAGACCATTGATAAACTGCTCGCGTCCGGCGAGCATTATATTAACAAGCGTAAGGTACGCAACCGGTGCTCCTAAAAGATTAACATGGCTCAAACTGGTTTTAAATTTCAGTTTTTTCAATTTTCTCAAATGTTACACTGTGTGACTGCGCTACATCCTCTTTCCTATATTGCAGCGTAGAAAATATACTACAAAATTATGTTATGCAATGAGATAGAAACTATGCTTCTATTATCCTGTATTCGTATCAAATCTCTCTATTCTTAGCATTCTTAACCTCTATACATTTAGCATCCTCTCCTGCATTGTTCTTGTACTTCTCTACTTTAGATTTATCATTTGATTTTATATATAATATATATATATATATGAAATAAAAAAAAGTTTTAAAATTTAGCCCCAATGTACAAATAGGAAACTTTAATTACATTCTAATTTATATATTTATATAATTTTGTTTCATGATTATACAGGTAGATCCAAAACGTGTAAGCAAAAAACCTCAACATGGTAAAGTCTTCGTGGGTGGTCTTACACCAGAGATTACGGATGAAGATATCAAAACTCACTTCGGACAATACGGCACTATTGTCGAGCTACAAGCACCTTTTGACAAAGTCAAAAATCAACGGAAAGGTTTCTGTTTTATCACATTCGACTCGAAAGAGGTCGTGTACAAGTTACTGAAAACTCCTAAACAGACAATAAATGGTAAGGAGGTAGATGTTAAAAAGGTGAAAGTCAATCCAGATCCTAGAAATCAAGGTTTCTGGGCACCGGGTTACGGATATGGTTATGGTGGCGGTTATTATTTTCCCGATTATAATGGTTACCACAGTGGTGGTTACGATGATATGTACACCAATTATGATTATGCTGGATATGATGGCTATGATAATATGGGTTATGGACCTAAACCACGAGGTAATGGTCCAGGACCGCGTCAGTTTCAGAGACATCAACCGTACTAAATGAAACAGGTATATTAACTATTTCTTCTATACTGAATTATTATACTGAACTTTAAAAAAGTCCTAGATAGAATACTACAAGATATCAAAAGTCATCCCGTAAGAGAATAGCAATTTCAATTTTCATTTCAATTTTCATTTATTCTACAAAGATAGATATCCTTCCTAGATATTGTCTACTGAATAGTAAATAAGGAATAATGTTGCATAAAAAACAGCAGTGCTTGCAATATTTTTGTTGCTAACATGCATGTGTTTTCTATTGATTGTTGCATTCGTTGATTCTATCTTTTTTATAATGACTTTATGTGCAGGTCGAGCTATTCTTTCACGAGAAATAAGGCGCATTCCATTTAGTGTTATAAATACTTTGAAGCATTTGATTAACTAATCGAGAAATTTTTTTACTCCTTTTGTCCTAATTAATTAATTCAAAGTATTTGTAATATCAAGTCGAGTGCACTTGCAATGTACAGAGAAACCATCGGAGATTGAATTGAAGATATTGGAAATAAAAAAAGCGCGAAAAAAATGAAAAAAATAAAAAAAAACAAAAATTTATAAGATTCAATAAACTTAGAATTTATATACTGGAAAATCCATATATTATACTGTAGTTTTCCCAATATATGTCTAATCTTATCTTAGTTAACTGCAATGCGCAATGAAATTATAAATCATAAATAATATGTGTTATATACATTGTTTAAATTTAACTTCTAATATTATATATTGAGAACTAATTTAGAAACAATGCATCCTGTTATGAACCAAACTGTGTTTTATTTCAAAATAATTCAAACATGTTATATATTTCATTTATAATACTTTAAGGCTTGTTTTGTTTATAATGCACTTTTGTATAAATAATTTTTAATAGATTTTTTATTCTACTTATATTCCTCAAAACTTTTGAAGTGAGACATTAGAAAAAACGTTGAAAGTGCTAAAGGAAAAAAAAATTTTTTTGAAGAAAAAAAAAATGAAAGGAAAACAAACAGATAAATATTATGGACACTTTTTGCTAAGTTGCTCAAATTATTAAGTTGTATAAGATACTGAAATGAATCTTTTGTGTAACAAACTACAGTGATTTGTGGTCACAGTTTAGAAAAGAGTAATTTTCTTTCTTTATTTACTAAATAAATATTTTTACAATTTAATTCAATTGTATTTCTAAAAAAAAAGACAGATTTAGCATGCAGAATTTCATTTCCTTTCCATATTTACCGAATTTATTCTAGGGTATTACTGTACCTGATTGTTTACCAATCAGGAACAAGTAAATATCTCGTCTAGCTTTCTTTTTTTATAGTTTGAGTTTATGAAGTCGCTTTCATCACTTGAAGGTTCATTCCAATATGTTGTATGATATAATGATTCAGAGATTGGCTATTCCCCTTCCAGTATATATTCTAAGATTATAAACAGCTCGCCCAGCAAGCTTTGAATTCTCAAAGTTTGATACATAAAGGAAACACGTGCTAGTGATAGCATAACTGAAATTAACAAAAAATACAATTTAATAATGTAGAATCAGTAATTAAGAATGAATAATATTAACAATAGAAAGCATTCATATTTTCCGAAATATTTCCCAGTGATTCGAAATCAATGTTAATAAACAAAATCAATATTATTATGTAAAGCAAAGATGTGCCGAGGCAGAAAGCTGCAAATCTTGTTTATAGTTCAGGCGACTCGTTACTAAAATTTGAAGACATAAATGAGACCCAAGGTTTATTCATCTAAATATATCGGGAAATCTATCTCAAAGATCGTGGACAAATGATTAAGTTTTAAAATGCGCGTGTCTCATATTTTCTTCCGTAACAAAGCAAATGCATGATAAACTACAACATGATAATTTATACAGAACTTGTACTTTCTTTAAAGTACTTTATGCGATTCAAAATAATGTTGTCAAATTATCTGTATTGAAACATAAAAGTTTTTTAATTAATTTAAAAACACTTACTATTTACATTTATTATACAGTGGAATATGATATTAATTCTTTATTAATCTAACAACATGTATATCTAATATATTGAGTTGTGCCACAAAATAATATATATCTAATATATTGTTTGCATATTAAAAAATTTTTCGCCGGAGTTCCAAGAAATTTCTTATATTTTTACTTACAAATAATATATACATTTTCTTATATTTTTTACATACAAATAATATACGATTGAATAATTATAGCAGCTTTTAATAATGTGGCATTAATACGATATAATGTGGGTAACCAACTATTTTGCTGTTACTTAGACTGCATTCTATTTTAACTGGCAATATATCATAGAGTTGTTCTTTATAATTGAACTTTTTGCATTACATACTAACTGCACTTACTTGCATATACATGCATATACATTAAAAATGAGATATATGTTTAAAAGGTTTAAAAAGGAAATAAAAAAACTGCAAAAGTTGTAAAAACTATAAAAAGTTAAATTATAAAGAGCGAACCTCATATGAATGAAAGTACATGAGCATGAATGATTTTCCTGTACTGCCAGTACGTCGGTCTATATTGAAACATACAGATAGATATAAAGACAAAAATATAATTTGGAAGAACAATATATATCTATATATATATATAAAGATGTTTCTTATTCTTCTTTGGCACAAATTTTCAGGGCAACTCAATATTTTAGTACACTAGTATTATCATATTCTTTAGAAATTTAAGTTTGTTCATAAGTATTTCTTTATTATACATTCACTATATACATTATATATAAAAAATTTATGTATAATTTAATTAATCTATGATCCTTTTAAAACAATCGTAATTTGATTAAAATTCTGCTATATAATAGACAAAAAAAAGAAAATACTTATGGACCAAGCGCTTATATATGTATAAAAATATATTTCTTCCTTAAACAATTCACAATATAAATCACAATATCTGAAATAAACATTTAAAATTGAATGTAATATTAATAAGTACCATTTTCTTATCATTTATGTATAATACCTAATATCTGTATAACACATTATATAACATGAAAAATATGTAAGTTATACAGATTATAAGCTAACAAATTGTACATATATGTATGTTTAAGAAATTGTACATGCATCCTATGTATGTTCAAGAAAATAAAAACATACATACATATATGCGTATTTGTAAGGATGAAGATATAAATTAGAATTTAGAGGAAAAAATGTAAAAAAAAATATAAAAAAGATATAATTAAAATATGAGCGTCCTGGGTATATATACATGAAGTGCACGCAAACGACGAACTTAACTGAAATAGTGTCAACAAAATGATACATGTAGTAATGAAGAAAGAAAAAAATATGCATATTGCAGTATAATCATAGTTTACAATATTTATGCAGAATTGTATTATACTATCGACATCCTGTGAATGTGTCATTGTAAAACATATATTGCCATAGTTAGTCTGGCAATTCTAATGTCTTTAATAAGAAATGAGATAGATGAAATCTATCTCGAAACAAAGTTCTATTACTTGCGTGTCGTCTGTGTGCTCGGTCTGTATAACAAAAGAATAAGATATAAATATGGCGAAAAAATAATAACAGTATATATACATTGGTTGCGTTCAGCAAAACTATTGTGTCATATTCTTGTAACATTCGACACTAATTTGCTGGATTTGAAAATAGGACCCAATCACGTTCAAAGTAATTAAACAGTGTCAAAGTATATTTTAGACAATTTATAATTCGTGATAAATTTATAGAATTCCATTTATAACTTTACATGATACGTAATATAGAAAATGTTTGAAGGAATAAAATAAATATATGCATTAATTATGTGGCACAAAAATTTAAGATCTTTTTAGACGTTTTATAATTTACGATAAAATTTAAGACAGAATTCTATTTATAATTTTATGATAAAATTTAAGACAGAATTCTGTTCATAATTTTGTTATTCCGCATATTTTGATGTGCCACATTTTAATGTATGTAGACATAATATATATATATATATATATATATATATATATATATATATATATATATATGTATATATAATATTTTCTATGCAATTATAAATAAATTTCTATAGAGCGAATTTTATCATGAATTATAAGTCGTTTAAAGTAGACTTAAGGCGGCAAATGATCAGAAATAAAAAACATAATCTGTAGATTACTTTAATATTTCTTTCGCATTTCTAACGCATGAGTAGCAGTTCCTGTTCACCGAAAACTGCTCTTCATATCGCGAAAAGACTGTCACAAATGATGATACAGGTTCTAGAAAATTTTGACATTTAATAGAATTTGCGGTTTCGACTACCAAATTGAAAGAAAATTAAGTAATGTAATTATTAGAGAATGTAGAGAAGACATAATATGGGACTATGTTTAGATACATCGAAATTATATTGTACACAAGGCTGAAAAAGCTTTAAACATTCAAAAGTTTTTTCTCAGACGTCGCAAAGACATCAATAGTTTGGCTTAACTCGATCGAGCGAAAGTTAACGGGAGAAATCCCTTTTCAGAACATCTTTAACAGATCTTTAATAGAATCCATTTGCGAATATTGGATGCATTGCTAACATTCATTACAGCGTTTGTTGATGCATTTATTGCGAACACTGTTGAATGTGTGATTACATATGTATATTTTACAGATGTATATTACATATGTATATTTACATATGTATATTACAGATGTATATTACAGATTGTTGTACAGAAATTTATGTAAAGGCCTATATATAGTATATAAGCAGGTTGAATATGCTCAGTATTTATCACATTATTTGATGGAATATTGATCATTTTCAATCAAGATGCTTGTTATACTTTTATTTAGTAATACTCAAGTATTACAATTAGAAATATGCTTTTACACTTGAAATTAATGTACAACAGGCTTTAATCTATCTGTTGATAAACCAGTGCATCCAAAAGAATTTACTGTAAGCCAAGCTAACTGTCTTTGACATTAAATCTGTATACTATGTATACCATTTTTGCGTGTGAAGATATATATGGAATACAAAAGGAAGAGAAAAAGAGAGAAAATGAAAAATTAAAGGAAACGATACAGATATTTTGTTACTATTAATTACTATTCGCCTGTTTCACCCATGACACAGTGTATATTTTAATTATAGCAAAAATAAATGCCAATTATTTCAAATATTTATTGTGATATTATATATAGCATATTTATGTAATATATACATATGTGTGTATATATATATATGTGCGTGTGTATATATGTATATGTATGTATATATATATGTTATATATATATGCATTTTATACATAGATTTTATACAAGGTTGATGCAAAAACTTTATGTCTGTTTCTATGTTAAATTTAAAATCGAGCCCAAGATGTCTTCCTAAGAAAAGAAAAATACTTGTAAAGACTATGTAAATTCGTCTTCAAATAGACCTAACGAACAAACTTTTGCATCATCCTAATTTTACATGATTATAACATTTTACTATTATCTACAATAATGATCCAATTAATAGCGATATCGTCAAAGAGAAAATCCTGATTAATGTTGGTTATCTTTTTCTCAACAGATGGTGCTGAATGCCTTTTGAATGTTCTCAGCTCTTAGCATGGCATCCTCGAAGCATACAGTCACGCAAGGTACAGTGGCCCGAGTGATTCGGTAGCGTACGATTCCAGCTTCAGCTGCGGCTTCTCGCGCGTTTCGCGTTACACAGGAATCGAGCAATCTGAAACACCTAAAACGAAAAAGAGAGCCAGAGAGAGAGAGAGAGCGAGCGAGCGACAGCGTGTCCAAGTGTTACGCAGCGATGCCTCACCCAGAATCGGCACGGATGCCGTTGCGATCAGTCAGGTTGCTTCGACGGCTGCAGGGATTCGCGATGTAGCCCTCCTCCTCTTCCTCCTCCTCCTCATCATCTTTCTCTCCCAACCCCCCCTCTGCTAGTCCGAGGAAAACATTCTCTCTCGCGTTGGTATCGTTGTAACATCCCGATCACATCGATGCGTCGTCACGCAACATCGTCGACGGGATCTCGCACAACAACGGATCTGGACCGCCTTGTCGAGTCACCTGCGACTACCTGCGTTCCTCTTCATAGTCCTAATCATTGTCATCTGCAAGAAGTGCCTTCTCTCGATTACCAAGTCGGCCGCCCGATCACACGGAAGGCCACAACCGTGTTTCATCTGTCCCGGCGATGAACGCGACGATCTTACCTATATACATCTTTATATAAGCCTGCATTATGCGCCTGGGTAAGTAGTAGTTTTAACATGTACAGTACTGTGTCCTGAAAGGGACAGCCATTCATAGAAGAATGGAAGGAAAAAGTAAGAACATAAAATGTATATAAGTTCGCTAAGCTTTAACTTCGACACTATGGATATAATTTCTATTTCTATTTGTGTAGTGATAAAAAGTAACTTGGGTAAAATTTTCCTTTAACACGCATAACATCGGAGGAATTTAACTTGGTGAATTTATGTCGGTCTTAATCATAATAATGTGTTGAGCCATTAAAAAGGCAATAATTATAATACGAGAAAATGTTGAATTATGATTGTATTTTCTAAGAAAAAGTCTTAATAACTTATTATTAATCATCGAAAAGATGATAGTTATTTAAGAAGATTGAAAATTGTAACGTTTTATTTCTTTTTCAAGAAATATAAATTTGTCAATAAATTAGCTACTTTTATCCCTCTTTGAAAAAGAAACTTTAATATATTTACAACTTTTTTTTGATACTCCGAAAACTTCTTCAAACAAGATAATACATTGTTAAAATAATTTTATCCATAACTTATTTCTTTAAAATTTATAAGTATTGATTAAAAAATTATTAAAAATTGGAATAACAACCGAATATCGTAGTATAAAATATCTATGTAAAGGTAATCTCGATCTATGCGTGGATCTTTGCAAAAGAGTGAATTCGAATTGCTAATCACCTACGAGATTCTAACGTGTCAGCAAATTTTTGCGATGCGTTGAGTAAACAACGTGTATATTACAGTCGAGCAGTTTTATCCATACATTATTGCATAATGGGTGAAAATGTATATTATCGTTATTGTTTGCAGTCTAGATACATATATGTATACGTACATACATGCACATATATATATATATATATATATATATATATATATATATATATATCATTGGATATCGTCAAATATATATTTGTAATTAAGAAGTAATAAGTTATGCCCAATATTTATTTTGTGTTGAAACTTTGTTAGCTTCGAAAGTATAGTAATCATTGAAGTGACATAATTGCATAATTTAAATGATAATCGAAATACTTGTAGTACTGGAAAGACAGGAAATATTTTGATAGGAAAATATTTTATCAAAAATGTAATTATTTTCGGTAGAACAGTGAAATCTAACAAAGTTACAGTAACAGTCGAAATTATCAATATTAGCTGATTCCTATGACATTTAATTTTATAATTATTAAATCGATTTTCTTTTAAGAATTATTATATATGACTATTATTAATCGCTTTAATGAATGGTATCTAAAAGTTATTAACAATTTTATAAAGAAGTCGTTGACTCTTAAATATTCACTACATCAATTTCATATATTTTTTCTTTGTATTATTTTCTCAAAAAAATTACAATGTGTCTTAAAACTCTTTTAAGATATAATTAAGGTGACTAAAATTTGGGGCGAGTGATCAAAAGAGGGGGAGATAAAAAATTTGTTTAAATAAATATAATCTATATACAATAAAAATAAACATTTTATAAGTTTCATATATAATAAACGTTAACGATAAAAATAACCGTTTTAGTTTTAATAACAATAAATATATATTTTTCGGTTTTTATCGTCAATCTAAACATTCATTCATATAGAGTATAGAGATATATTTTTTATAATTCAGAACAAATCGGGACAGAATAACTGAACTCTCGACTGTCCCGTGAAAATCAAAACAGATGGCCTTAGATATATCATTTCTTTTTTACATATACATAAGAAAGAGATATTTAATGATAAAAATTTGTAATTATGGGAAAAAATGTGTCGTAGGAAGAAGAGAAATATGTATACATATATGTTAATAGAAAAAGAAAAGAGAACACTTCTCTATCTGTCGAAGGAGGGGAAAAACACGTGTACATACATTACTTTGTATCTAGAACGCGAATACTTGAGACTTAAAATATTTTTTTTCAATCAATGTAATCCGAGTTATTTATTATATATAAATATTGCATAATTTTTCAGAAATGTATCAATTAATTGCACATACAACAAAAATGCGTCACGATTGCTGAGACGCATCGAAGAGCGCAAGAAACAAACAAAAACTGTCGTCCGAGTGATCTGAATCAGACTGGCAAACTTCGATACATAACCTAAAAGACATAATGTCCCAGCTAAATATCAGCACGGGTAAGCGAGGCAGGGGGATAGCGAGTACCTCCGCGTCGACGGTATCTGCTTTGAGTAGTTCCACCGATTTGGCAAGTCTCTTTGAGTGCCCTGTTTGTTTCGACTACGTGCTTCCACCGATCTTACAATGTCAAAGCGGGCATCTCGTTTGCACAAATTGCCGACCAAAACTCTCCTGTTGCCCCACATGCAGGGGTCCGCTAGGTATGCAACTTTTCCTTTTACTGAAATTGTTGTTGAAATTTTTAGGATCGTAAATAATCATAAATAATCTGACAACGCACAGGTAACATTCGTAATCTGGCTATGGAAAAAGTGGCGAGTAATGTGATGTTCCCTTGTAAATATTCTACTAGTGGCTGTACAGTTTCGCTGGTGCATACTGAGAAGGCAGATCACGAGGATGCATGCGAGTTCCGTCCATATAGTTGTCCTTGTCCAGGTGCATCCTGTAAATGGCAGGGATCGTTGGAACAAGTAATGTCGCATCTTATGATGAGCCACAAAAGTATTACAACATTACAAGGTATTAAATTTTTGTCATTTGCCTCTGTACTTTTCTCTTATAACTTCTTACATATTATTCTTTGTGTATTTTTCTCTAGGAGAAGACATTGTCTTTTTGGCAACTGATATTAACCTTCCTGGAGCTGTGGATTGGGTGATGATGCAATCTTGTTTTGGCCATCATTTTATGTTAGTGCTTGAGAAACAAGAGAAATATGATGGACATCAGCAGTTTTTTGCAATTGTACAATTGATTGGTTCACGGAAACAAGCAGAGAACTTTGCTTACAGGTAATTAAACATAATTATAATTTATTGTATTTAATGATATAAAATTTAATAAAATTCAAAAAATTTTAAATAAATTTGACATTTTTTTGACATTTTCGTATCTTACATTAGAGGCTGTGTGACTTTATAATTAAATTACTCTGCTTAACAGACTAGAATTGAACGGTCATAGAAGGCGTCTCACGTGGGAAGCGATGCCGCGCTCTATTCATGAGGGTGTATCGTCCGCGATTTTAAATTCTGACTGCCTTGTATTTGACACCTCTATTGCTCAGTTATTCGCTGACAATGGAAATCTAGGAATTAACGTTACAATTTCTATGGCCTGAGGAAAACCAGAAAAAGCAGTATAAAAAGAAAACAAAACAATTATGCAAACATATCGAGCAGTCTTTCGAATTATTTGAGGCGATAAAAATATTTAGGTGAGACTGCCCGTTATGCACAGTTAAAAGTTTTTTTTTCTTATGTTACCAGTGAATATTAGCAATACAGAGATGTTTGAAGTATATTGATATGCAGCGTTCATATGCTCAGTACAGGATTGGCATTGAGAAGCTTTAAAGTATACTTTTGTGTGACATTCACAGAACAAATATGATAAACAATCCTTTCGATATATTTCATGCTGTGACTTTAAAGCTTTGAAGCAGTATAATAATATCGAATTCCAAAAAAAAGTACCTGATATTCGCGCTATTATCATATTACTCTTATTCATTTTGTATCAAATTTTCATTTGTAATTCTCCAGTAAGATACTGCATGCATTATTGAATTTTATTGACATCTTTTTTGTATTTTAACACTTTTCAAGACTTGGTATAACGAATGCAAACATTGCCGGGCATAGCATTTCAGAAATTCAATATGAATCTCGTCATGCAATTATTGCGTTTATTTGCCATTAATGTGTAGTTTTATATTATTATTTATTTTTTCGTTTATAAAGTTTACTTTCTTTTGTGTTTGTAAAATTCTTATTTTTTTATTTCATTTTATCAAAGCTCTTATATGTATCTTGCATATAATGTGAATCAGCTTTTGCATATTATTTGATTATTCGATATTATTATTATTATAGACACAATATTATGCTTTTTAAGATTCATATGCAAGCAGTGAAAGGCAGATCAGGTTTTTTATGATTTAATCTGAATATTGCAAGATGCTAATATTTTTAGAATTGCAATAATATGGTGAAAAGCAATGTTCAATTATAGAAAAATTTTTGTAAACAAGATTTAACAAACTAAAAATGATTAAAGCAATTATATTAAAATTTAAAAGGCATGTATATTTTTTTAGCTTGAATTTTATAATATATATGTTGGGATATATTTACAAACATTTATACCATAATATATTTAATATGAAATTAAATTTATTTTTTATTTATGATTAGAAAAAAACATTGCTTTATACCATATCTAATATTTATTGATATCCTTAGCAATGGATATTTTTTGTGTGTATAAGTTACTTTTTAATGCTATTATAAATATAGCAATCAAACCACATTAGAATTTTCTTGCAATTGTAAAACCTTTTTTATAAATTTTTATGATTCATACTTTTTTAAAATACATCAAATTTCTTCCTTTCTGCTGTTATTTTGCATAACATACATAAGTTTTGAAAAGCAATGAAATATCTGTACTAAGGATAGAGCATTGAACTAAACTGCATAAAAAAATTCAGTGAAACAAACTATGAAAACGAAGTTACAGGAAAGAGATTACTTTCTTTGAAAGGACAATTTAGACTGAAATATAACTATATGACATGATAGTAGGCTAAGTCTCTATAACAATTATATATTTTTCATAGATCGAAAAATGTACAAGTTTTACTTTCGCTAAGTGATTCATATGAGCTGAAATAATTTTGTCAGACTACTACGATATTAATAACGCTATCAACAACTCAGATTGATCAGTTTAAGGCCCTGTAACAATCATGAATCAAGAAAAGAAGTTTGCAAAGATAAACGGAAGCACTGTTATTGTAAATAAAACGCGAAAATTTATGATGTGATATAAATAATATAAATAATATAAATCATAACGTACTGATGTATTCACAATGTTGGAAATAATTCAAGGGAACCAAGTGCATGGTGTATACACACTGTATAGCATGGTTAGCATGTATTATTAAGCTTATATAATTATATTTACACACATCTATTAAAAAAAAAACAAATGTTTAATTTTAATAGACAAATGAGAAGCGTTCGAGTGTTTTTTGGCGGTTATCGAAAAGAAAAATGAATAAAAAAAGGGAAGTTGAGAGTTTCTTTAATTTTGATGTTAATTGTTATTCTATATTCAAGATTGTAGGAATATCTTCCCAATTTTTAGCGTAAAGTGTAATTCTGCACTCGAAATTGCAAGAACCATTGCGTTCGAGAATCGTCATACTAAGATCTTTATAATAAAAGTAGTACGAACACGGATGCTATATAGATCATCACACAAGATTGAAGAGAATTACAAATATACGCTAGATGTGATTTTTCTCTTTATAGTATAAACGTCAAATTATTAGATCACATGTACTGGAAGGGTGATCTAATAATTTGAAAAAAAAAAAACATCACAATTGTTAAGCATTGTGTACATATGATAAGATTAACGATAGTAGAATTCTTATTCTTTAACAAAGTAGTAATTTATTTTCTAGCATTCATGAGAGCTTCATTGCTATTTTACTAAACTTGATTATAAGAAATCCATCTTTTGTTTGGTTCTTCATGAATGTTCTTTTTATATATTATTTCATTTATCTTATTTATATTTATCGAATTATGTAATATTGACATATTGATATGTAGTTCAAGTATTCTCAAACAAAAAAAGTTGTTTTAATTTTATTATAATTTGTGAATAAGGAATAACATAATGAGCTAGCTAATGGAATATAAGATGTGAAAAGTTTTGATAATTTGCTATTGTATGATATGATTGAATGATATAAATTCACTAGCATTTCATTCTTGGATGATTCTTAGCATATTTTTTTTCAATGTCTGTGAAATTTATATATTATTGTGTAATTTTCTCTTTTTCATTTAAAGTTTAAAATTTTTTTAAATTAGACTTGAGAAATATATCAAAGTATTTTAAAATTCATTACATTAGTATTTGGATAATGAAAAATTTTATATTTAAAGTATTTTTCCAACACATTGAATCATGTTTATTGATATTAATAATTTTTTATATATGAGATCTGTATATTGCAATTGCAATACGAAAAATAATTTATACCAAGCATATTTGGCAAAAGCATGACATATCCCAAATAAATCGTAAATTCAAGTGATCGAGAGTGTAATAGGTTTATCTTGTTTGACAATTTGTATGGTACAATTATGAAATCGTGTAGATGAATAATCACTATAAAAGTCCGATCTTTTCATGATGAATCTTTATATTCTACACGGTATCATATAAAACAGCCTAAGGTGCTCGTGTATCCACAGAATATATAGTGTACTGTCGAGAGAATAGCTTTATTTAAATATAATGTATATACTTATATATATGCATATTTATAGAATCTACAGAATGTTCAAGCCATGTATAAAGTAAAGTATAAATAAAATTTTTTTTATAAGTACTTTTTTAGTACATGCAATATTTCTCTCTCTCTCTCTCTTTCTTTCTCTATCTCTATCATGTATTCTCTTATTCACGAGTTTTAAAATTTATAATCAAAATAAAACAATTTTTAAAAAATATAGATTGATATAATAAGATTGATCCAATAAACTTATTTTTATCAGATTTTGATCACATACAACTGTAACATTTTGTATATTTTTTGTATATTTCAGAAAAATTAAGATTTTCCCTTTAATCTTTATTCGATGTGAAGATTGATTAGATTTGTTGATTAGATTAGATTGATATAATAAGGATCTGAAAAATTACATATGATGTTACATATGATGTTTTCGCGCGCGTATGGTTAGCTTTGGAACACACCACGTGTCGATGCGCCGTGTGTCCTGCTTCCACAAGTTATACTTTTTTTGGTTATATTATACGCCCTTATAAATCCAAATTGTTTATTATATTATTCATAACTCCGCTGCACATATCAATCTAAAAAATGCGTTGGTCACTTCCAAAACCTTTTTTTTACGCTTCCGTGGCGGCAACTACTGTCGGCGTATCATATTTGACAAAGTAATGTTGCTTGAAACTATTCAACATATTAAAAAAAATTTGACAAAGTATAATATTGTTTACAGCTCTATAATTACAATTAGTTAGTTTTTTATATTCACTTATATCCAGTTGTAGAATGTTTGAATATGGCAAAATAAGTATAATGTAACTGAAAGACATAAATAATGACAACTATTTACATTTTCTTCTTTATTTTTATATGACAATTTTTATTATTATTTTACCAGTATCTGCAATGTTATTTCATGACATAAATGGTAAAAGTAATTATATTGAAATTGCAGAGATTATATGGGTGGTACAAAATACATGGGCACAGAGAATTTAAACAACAAAATTGTTATTGTGACAGGAGCTAATACTGGTATTGGAAGAGAGATAGCCTCAGAATTAGCCAAACGTGATGCAAAAGTTATTATGGCATGCAGAGATATGAAAAAATGTGAAGAGGTATTTATGTCGACATTAATATTTGTGAAAGCTGTAAGATACAAAAAAATCTTTATATATCTCTTTCTTGTGTACGAAAGACATTATATAGTTGTAGTTTTTTTATCATTATTAGAAATCATTTTATAACAGTTTTGTGTAAGTATAATATGATAATTTTCACATTTTTGTACATAGGCACGCCAATCTATCGTAATTGACACAAGGAACAAGTATGTTTACTGTAGAAAGTGTGACTTAGCATCACAAGAAAGCATTAGAACATTTGTCGAACAGTTTAAAAAAGGTAATTAGTCACAAATATATTTATTTACGAATTTCTAATATTTTTTACTATATAATATACTTAATTACTATATAATATTTACATATGTTTTTGTATTGCAGAATTTGATAAGCTTCATATACTTATCAATAATGCTGGTGTAATGAGATGTCCAAAGAGTTATACTAAGGAAGGGATTGAGATGCAGCTAGGAGTCAATCATATAGGACATTTCTTGCTCACAAATTTATTTTTAGATGTTTTAAAAGCATCTGCACCATCTAGAATTGTAAATGTCTCAAGTGCCGCTCATCGTAGAGGTCAAATAAATATGACAGATTTAAATAGCGATAAAGAGTATGATGCTGGCAAAGCTTATGCGCAAAGTAAATTAGCCATAATTTTTTTCACTAGAGAATTAGCAAACAGATTGAAAGGTAATAATGATAATAATTGCATAATTTATCACTTTATAATGTTTTGCTAAAATATAATTCTTATTTTTGTATTATTCAGGAACCAATGTTACTGTGAATGCTGTTCATCCTGGTATAGTGGATACGAATATAACGCGACATTTGTTTGTATATAATAACTTTTTCACACGAATATTTCTGAAACCATTTGCTTGGCCGTTTATTAGAGCTCCTTTTCAAGGAGCGCAAACTATTTTGTATGCAGCATTAGATACAAGTCTTGCAAATGTTTCTGGCTGTTATTTTGAGTAAGTATTATCAAAGGAGATTAACAAATGATAAATGTAGCAAATAATGAATATAGGCATTAATATTATAAATTTGTTATAGTAATTGCGAAATCAAAGAAGTATCAGACGAAGCCAAAAATGATAATCTGGGAAAATGGTTATGGAAAGTTAGTGAAAGATGGACAAAATTAGATATGCAATTAAGGGTACAATAAAGATATACAGTTGTATTATAATCCTATTTTGTTTATTTTGCATAATATAAACTTTTAATTAATTATATAATTATTTTTATAATTTTTTTGAAGTGAATGTTTATGAGAAGCGGAAATGTGTGCTCGATGCGCAAGCGCAGAAAACAATGTGACATGGTAGCCAATCAACCTTTCGCTCTTACGGAAAAGTGATGGTGACAAGTTGATTGGCCATCAGATCGCTTTTGGATCGCGACAAACATTTCCGCGTCCTATCTGTGCGACTCATTTTTGTGGCTGTCAAGATAAATTACAAAAGTGAAAGGTTAAGAGTACCGTGTTATTCTTGCGCATAATTAAGAAAATTCTAATATTTATGAGAAAACTGCCAATGTGGCCGTTCTCAGATTATTCTTTGATTATAGTAAGTCACGTTTCAAGAACGTAACAAAGTCAAAGATATAATTTGCATTACAGTATGGTATTAAGGTTTTATTTATTTTATGCCGATTATTAATAATTAATGCTAATTATGTAGGTAATTAATAAAATTGTTTTTATATGTATCTACAGAATCGATCATTAACAAATTATCACAATGTTGCAATGGAAATCGGCGGACGAAAGTATCACGAAGAATGTACTAAAGCTGACAGTATACACCAAGAAACCAACAGAACGCTCTACGTGTAACGTTCTTATAGATAAGCTAAATGTCACTGGAGCATCAAATAAAGATTTGAGAGAAAAGTATTATACCGACATTCTTGATGGCGAGGGGGAGAAAGCGTTAATCATAGGTGAAGCAAGCGCAGAAATTGATAGAAAGATTGAGAATGCAATTTGCATGATGAATATCCTTGAGAAGAGTCTCGTTACCATCACTATACCTGCAAAACAGTCAGAAGATAATAGTGAATTTATAATAGTCAAATTTGAGATTACATTGATTAAATGCGAGCGTAACAAACCAATTTGGGAGTGGACTGCAGAAGAGAAGTACAAAATAGCTTTGAGATATAAAGAAAGAGGAGTCGAATTGTTTAAGGATTCAAGAATTACAGATGCATTCTACAAATTCAGTAGGGCTTGCAAACTCTTGATAACATTGGAGCCAATAGCAGACTTAGATTTAGACAAGCAGTTAGAATCCAGTATTAATGAGCTGAGACTTGCACTGTACAACAATATGGCTATGTGTCATTTGAGTCGGAAAAACTATAAACATACCATTACTCTATGTACTAAAGTATTGTATAAGGATAAGAATAATGTTAAGGCTTTATATAGAAGAGGGGTGGCATATGGAAATATGAATAATAATGAAAGAGCTGTAGTAGATATGAAGGAAATACTTATCTTGGAGCCTAATAATAATGCAGCAAAAGAACAGTTTAATATTTATAATACTAGATTACAGGAATCAATTCAGAAGAGCAATGATATGATGAGAAAAATGTTTAAGACTTATTAATAAATTTTAAATATTGTAAGTATACATTTGTTTGCTAATTTCTGAAATAAAATACATTTATTTTATAAATAGAAAGATGCAAATTTCTTATTTCTATTCACAATTACAATTATTTTAATATTTTACTAGTATATAATAGTGTATTTGTATGGCATAAAAAAATTAATAACAAACTGAAAAATGTTAATTATATAATGTTTATTACAATATTAATATACAATGGCTAAAAAACAAAAGTGCAACAAGTATCTGTGATGCACTCTTAAAGATTTTTTTTATGATACAGATTTTTTGATACAAATTTTTGATTGAGGTAATTTTATTGAGCCGCAACTATAAATTATTCAATTATCTGTTTATTCTTAACTACATCATACCTATATAAAATATGTAAGATGTTAAAAGTTTTCTTTATATAAATGTCGGTATTTGTAAATAATTTGGACACTTGGATGTAGTTATTCAACTCTATTATTATATTAGTTTCTAATTATTTTATAAAATTGCACAATAGCAACTGTATCAATATTAAAATTGCAGTTTATATTAATTGATGTTATGTACACATTTTATCTCAGTTTAAAATATGTATAATACTAAAATAATATATAATAGTTTAAATACTTAATTGTAGTTATTTGTTATAAACTTGAATTAATATGTATGCTAGAATTATTTACTTAGATAACTTATTATTATAAATAAAAAAGAGCAAATTTCTATAAAATTAATAAGTTTAATATGTGACACAAAAAATCTTGACAATCCAAAATTAAGTTCAATGGCACCTTTATGACCATGTATCTCTGCATAATTTTACTATTCTACATGCAACCATCCTGTATAAAGCACAATGAGACAATACGAATATGATTATATTTATAACATGAAGATGTTTATTTAGCTAATAAAATAAATATATCAATTATGGATAGGTTTGTTTAAAGCTATCTAATATTTATATTTATATTTGTTGAAGTTACAAGAAGATATAATTTGCAGAAAGAAAAAGTACATTTTAAAAAATTTAATATGTATTGCATAAAATAACAATTATAAAAGTAAAAATAATCATATTTGTTATGAACGTCTTTGTGAAGTAAATATTTAAAACTATTAGAGACAAACAATTTATAATAATGTAGAAATTATATATCATAAAATACATTTCTTACTATTGCAATCTCAAAGAATGTAGGAATTATATATTTTTTGAAATAATATGCACGTTTTAGAATACTTATAATAAAAGTTATCATTTACCTATATAAAATTATTTAAATTTAGCATTTACTAATGAAATTTGTGTATTTAAAAAAATAGTAGACTTCTATGCGAGTTATAAAAATAAACACATTATTCCAAATATATTATAGAGCGAATATAAAGTATATTAATAATGCTTGGCAAGAGATTTATATGGTGGAATTTTAATATATGTATATATCAGATTTTATTACTAAAATTACTCATTGAATCAAATTCATGCAATATAAAGAACAAGTTAATCCTTTCTATACTTAAAGAAAGTCATTTTTTTATTTAAAAAAGAAAAAAAACGAGCACACGATATTCCCTAAGTATAAATATAAAATTAGATCTCTCTGTTAAGTTTATTCAATGAGTAATATAGATAATAAAATACAATCATATCTATGTCACAAATTTGAGCACTATTAAGAGTGTGTTGGCAACATAAGACTTATATCTTATTCTCTTAAATATATTAATCTAAACGTTGTACAACTTTGAAATGTTGCATTTAATAAGATATACCACAGCAATATATATATATGGCGCATAAAATCTATTTCAAAGTAATATTTTTATGAAATTTCCAAGCTATGTAAAATGTGAATAACATCATATATACATTTTTTCTTTTATTATTAAATAAAACAATAGTTCAGTACAGTAACTGATATAAAGAATTTCTGGCACGAACAAAATCTGTACTTTATTTTAGTCCAAAAGCATATAAATAACATAAAATAATAAAGAACATAATTGTGCAAAAACAAAATCCTGCATATGAGAAAAAAAATTAATTTCAAAATGCACTTTAAATGTAATACAATTAAATGTGGATACAACAGAAAGAACGCATGCACTTAATGGAAAAGAAAACAAAAGTTAGCATATATATAGACTTATTTTTCTCTAACTGTTTATAATATTTTGACAAATGCACTTTTCTACTTTTTTAATTCATAATAACTTTAAATATATATTAACATCCCCGTCATAAAACATTTTCAGATCAAGCTACAATAATGATATCTTTCACCAGTACAAGATTTTATTTTTATAACAACATTATATATATCAAGGATATACTAGGTAATACTAGTAATATCATGATTTTCACCAATCTAACACTGTTTTTCTTTTTCATAATTAGAATACATCATATATACATTCACAGTCATTTCAAATTAGTACGTTTAAGCCATAATGTTTAATCCAGTTTAAACAGAGAAAACTATTCATGGCGGTATGTCAAGAAAATAACATATTGTAAAATTTGATTATGTCACTTGTTGGCATTCGCACACAAGAATGCAGTATGTGAATCCATTTAGACAATCGAGATATTGTGGGAATGAAGTATTACAATAATTTAGGCTTGCCATTGGCAGTGGCATTCAATGTTGAATTTGTTACCGCCACTTCAGCAGCCTGCGCCACTGCTACAGATACTGACTTCTCCACAAATTGTTGGTAGAGTGGCTTCATGAACTAAACAAATATAAAAATAATTTTTTCCATTATTCTTTTCTATATAATTTACGACAATTATAATAAATGATTTTGCACAATTAAAATTATGTATTTATTTTGCAAGTTTTGAAATTTTATATTATTTGTCAGCTTCAAAATATAATGTTCACTTTAAGGAACTTAATAGTATACATGAGAGAAGTGATAATAATTACATGAGAGCATCATAATTTTTGATAAAAACAATCGTGATTGGAATAATGTTTGGATAGAAAAGTATGGTCAATGTTAGTTATAAATATTTGAAGTATGGTCAATGTTAGTTATAAATATTTGATTATGTAGCTAAATGCCATACCTTTTCGATATTTGTTCCTGTTAGCACTCAGCTTATGACAGGAATAGAAAAAGAAACAATAAAAAAATAATATTAATGGTCGTACTTGTATTATCAAATGAACTTTGATAATTAATAAGAAAAGAATTTGTGAAATATAGATATGTAAGAAAATATCAAGAAGCAATTCGAGATTGAAATTATTAATAAATTTAAAATTAAAGAGGAAAAAAAGTGGGATCATATATAGCCATGTCTACGAAGATAGAGATAAGTAAAATGAAATATAGGTATTGCAAACACAATTATGACAATGGACAGGATTAGGTATCTTAATGTATATACTAATTTATAACAAAAATGAGCACATAGCCAGACCTGTTGCAATAAAAAAAATGTATTAATTATGTGAATATCATACGAGTCAGGTAAATTATATACATATATTGTGATTGATAAGTGCTGCTTATATGCGATATATGAAACATATAAATTTTCATAAATGATTTTAGTGCAAGTGAATATCTTAATTTTGCTATTAACTATGATTTTTTTCTCATTATTTTTTGCATTGTATTTCAAATTAAATTTAAGAAAAACATGTTTAAATACACGTTTATAAAACTAATAAATGAGTAAAAAAATCTCTACCTTTCTTAAATATCGTTTTTCATTAGTACACTGCGAACAATATATAACTTTTATCAGAGAGATTTTATATCTATACGATAAACATTGAAATAGATACTTATGAAAGATAAGAAATCGATTAATTTTTAGGATATTCATACTTACATTTTCCCATAATTTACTGGCTAAGTCATCTATTTGTGTGCCAATTTCTCTGAATTCTCCACTATATCTAAGTAATATTCAAACAAGAGATAGTAGTAAGAAAATAGTGCATGATAATAGAAAGTTATCACACATAGCTTTAAATAATTCACATACCTTATATATGCCCATAAAACAAGAGTGAGGAGACCGATACCCATAATAAGATTGCATATATTTGCTATTGTATATAGACCAACAAGACCAAATATTCCAGACAAAATATACATGGTAACGGCAATTGCGAAAAATACTGCCGGCGTTCGTGCTGCTTTAAAGATATTTTTGCTTTCGTTGTGCGCCTTGAATTGTAAGAAAGCTTCATCCATGTCCTATATATTAGAAAATATATATATTTTATCTTAAAATAAACATCCTTCAAAAGAATCATCTCCAAAAGAAGAAAAAAATATTAAATTATTTAGAATTATTTTAAAATTATAAAAAAATTAGAAAAAATATTAAATTATTTATAATTTTAACATTATTTCAAAAATTGCAATTGATTAAATGCATCCTTGCCTTAATCAATTTTTCCATATATTTTTGACTAAATTCTTCTCCACCCATCTTTCGTTTATTTTGGAATTGGCGAAGAGCCGAGTCCATGCAATGATGATGTTCTGATTCTAAATGCGCGGTCGCTAAAAACGGTTTCGATCCACCGCATACGTTTTCCATCATTTGAAGGTACAAATCTTTAGCTTCAGCTACAGCTGTTAAGTTGTTAGCTTCTGCTGTAGCCTGTAAATACATAACATTATTATAGATCAATGATTGAGGCATTTGCTTTTTCTTTTAATTGAACAAGACAATAAAAAAAGAAAAGGAGATCATAGATAACAAAAATATGTTAAGCATATACATACCACAAGCATACTTTTTGGTTCAGGAAGTTCATCTCCTTTGTAAAGATTGATGTAACTTTTGAAATACTCCAACAAATCTTTCGCTTTCACAACTTGACCATTAATCTTCTTGGTTACCAGATTTTGTGGCGCTAATATCATTGGTATAAGTACTTTCAATTGTTTTTTGAACTCGGATTGTATTTCTGATAATCTACCGTCGAATTTTGGATTCGTTGCAATTTCGAGACCGGGATGCGGCATGAGGAAGCAAGAAATATCCGAAAAGCAGGATTTAATGTGCTTTCGCAAACTCTGTAATTCCGCATGTTGCCTATCGGAGATTTCTAATCTCTTGTCGAGCAACTTCTTTCCGCCGTTTGCTCCATAATCAGCCTCATACGGGTAAACCCAGTCCCTGATTAAAAACTGTAGTCTCTGAAAAGGCGTGCTATCAGAACTCTCCAGCGCCAATCTACCGTACTCGGTGAATAGTTGTAAATGTTGAAGATCGTCTTCTTGAATGTTTTGCGACAGATTATATATTTGCACGGAGGACAGCATTGTACTCAACGCGAACACCGTCGCGCAGTCCCGCACCGTCGATTGACTGTCAAACGCGCCTTGAGTGTCCATAAGAATCACTGCGATCTTCTCACCATTCGCCAAGGTAGTGGGGTACACCTTGGACCACATCAGTATTCCCGTGGTGTCCCTCTCGGAACCGCCCCTCCACGAAAAACCACTCAACGGTTCATCTTCAGCGCCCAACCAAGAATCGGTATTATCGCTATTTTGTAATGTGTACTGTTGATTTAACACACCAGGAAGATTTATGGTTGTTCATGGTTTCCAAAGTTTCACATCGACCGAAAGATGGATGAACATGAAATAATGTAAATTTGGTAAATATCTGTAATTGCGTGCGTCGGTAGGTTTTTTTAATTTAGATATTACGTGTACCTTGCAGTCCATGTAACGAAGAAAAAAATCAAGAAGGAAACTTTTGCCTTTCCTAAAGGCACCTGCAACAGACACCACAACCACATTTCTATCTTTCACGTCGTCATGTAATAGAATTTCAGATAATGCCTCTTCATCTAATTCGAAGGTATGATCTGGATGGGCAAGTACCACTTGGACAGGCCGCCCCTCGTCCGTTAATGTGTCCGGAGTCTGGGCATTCATCGGCGCGATCCTTTCTATCCGGTCGTTCTCTCCTAAATTATCTGTGACAAACATAAAATATTTTTATTGTAGATAATAAGTGTAATATTAATTAATAATAATGTAAAAAAATTAAAAGAAATTATGTACTTTGTCTTACTGATCAACAATAACTTTTCATTTGTTAAAGATGTAGATTATTTACGCAAGTTTAGCTGTTTATTACAAGTTATTTCATTCTTCATAATAGATAGATATATATAAATAGATATATATATAGATAGATATATATAGAATGTACATCAATGGTAAATTCAATTTTTTTAATTATCCGTACGCAAAGTTAATGATAATATTAATGAATTTTAACATAACTTTTTTAGAGAGACACAACTCAGTTCAATGTTTAAAAACTACAATGTAAATTGTAAATGTTGGACCACTAGATTAGAGCCATTATCTTGCATTCATAGCCCTGCTGAAAAAGTTACAAAGGACAGAAGGAAGAATATGATGAGGAAGTTATACTCAGCCATGTGTATATAGGCCTTGACATTAACAAGGCACGTAAGCGGGCTTTCGAAGTATAATTTATTGCACGTTACATGAAAACAAACAGTCCAAGCCTAACCCGCCGCCAGTTACGTGTCTAAAGCGCTGACCCGTGACGCGTGACTTGGATCAGCTGTGAGAGTGAATGGGAGATCTAAAACGTCAGTGCGTGACGGCAAGTCGATCAGACAGATTCGCGAAAACTGAACATAAATCGCCGAAAGATTGCATCGTTAAATATATCATCAATTACATTGCAAAAGAAATGAGAAAGATATAATGATTTTTATCTGAAATAAATAAATAAATAAATAAATAAATAAATAAATATATATATATATATATATATATATATATATTTCAGTCCGCTGTTCTTTCTTTTTTTCATTATATTTAAGAACAGAATTTATATTGACAAAGTACAGATAAAAATTATTATATCTTTCTCATTTCTTATATATTATTATATATTTATATATAATTATACATTATATATTTAATTATATATTTTTTTTATCAGGAGCATTACTAGATCTTTTTCCTTTCTCTTTTCCTCTAAAATATTACATATTTCTAATAAAATGGATGAAAAATAAAATAAAAAATTCTTCTTAAGTTTATATTAGTCTAATCTTGTGAGTAGAGTATATTAACTTTTTTGTTATTCGTATCATGAAAATGTATCAGTAATAATTTCATCGCAAAAAACGTACCAGGAAATTAATGCAAGAATATTTTATTTTTTACTTCTCGTGTAAAAAGAACAAATTAATATTTATCAGAGATTATATAAAAATTATATTTTAAATTATAATTTGTATGGATTACTATTATTATTTTTGATGCTGTTGCGAATTTTTTACACTGAGATAATTGTATGTGTTCACCATATTATGAAACAAAGAACACTTCATGATTCTTATTACATGATGACATTCTATTATTAAAGCATGTTACAATTGCATAAAATTAGAATTGATTTCATCATATTTATTAACGATATCGAGAAATATCACGAGAAATTGAAGTTTGATACGATAACTGATAAAAAAGATATATTTTTTATATATCTTCATTTGCTATATTTTTTGGTTTATTTAGAAATATAATAAAATTATCATATTGATAAGTGGTAATAAAGCAAGATATTTGCTTATTATTATAAATATAATTGCGAGATATTTTGCGAGATACAATTCGTATAAGGATATTTTAAAGAATGAAAAATTATTTTAAAGAATTTTACTTATTCTGAAATATTTACAGTTTCATATTTAGTATTATATTATAAGTCATAACAATGTATTATTTTGCAATGTCATGGTTAGTTCTTTCAATGACGAACATTACGCTTTGTCATACTCAAAGTAACTCATTACAGATCAGCTTATATTTTCAACCTTTGCTCGTGGTTTTTAATGTTTCATATATGCCTGATGATTATGAATATAATTTTTCACTAATGAATATTGCAAAGATTCTAGACAAATTATATAGAGAAAATATTAAAAATGTTAAAGAAATTAAACAGTTGTATTTATTATATCTTTTGTTAAATTATTTTAAAAAAATTATATTTTTATGTTGTAGATATATTTCGTAATTAATAATCATGTTGGTCGTTTATATGTATTAACATTTCTGTCGATTCACACGTTTTCAGGAATATTACGAATATTCATGATATTAAGCGGTTTATATTAATAACTATAAACTATACTATAATATTCGATATGCACATTCAATTAATAAGCGTATCTCAATAAGAAGATCAAATGTGCGACAGATATCTTCAATTATAACGTTGACGATATATTTCATTTTATATAGTCGGAACGTATTTCTCTCTCTCTCTCTCTCTTTCAGATAGAAAGTCCTCGACGATTATTTATTACGAGCAAACGGCCTATTATACACGTGCAAATGCCAATTCTACAGCCCGCCTCCTTGCCTCTATTTCCACGACAATGTTCACGTCATCGTCGTCGCGACGTAGTGCACACGCCACATCATCCGAGATCTCTATGGTCTTCTTTACTATCTCACGATCGCACGAATCATTACTGCAGTAATACAGGACGAAAAATTTTTCATGTGGAACGAGACGGCGAGAAAAAAGAGAACACCGGAATCTAATTAACTTAAATTGTCGGCGCTAAAGAATAGAGGTAAGAACGATTAAGAGAAATAACACATGTTATTGCGACTATCAACGAAAGCATCAAAATTATTATATACATTTATATGTTTATTTTGATTTTATGCGCAATTTACACCTTGTATATATTTATTATTAATATTTATTATGTAGATATTTTCTCTCTCACACAGATTTGGCACAGATCGCAATTTACAAAGGTATACTCAAGCTGATAAATATTCAAAAGTTTTTCATGTATAAACATGGTATTATTTGAAGTAATTTAAAGTAATTATATTTAAATTAGTTAATAAAAGAAAGTAAAGAAAATAAATTCGAAGAAAGTATTGCATGTAATATGTAATTATGTACCTACATATGCATTCAACGCTAGATAGTCATTAGTAATGAATATGAATTATAATAGATAACGATACGGCAAGGTACAGTTAGATTTAACAGGAAGTTTATGTTACATTGATAGTTTGCGCGTCGTAACGAAATACATTTTGCGGTTTGCAAGAAAATTCTAGACTTCCTGCGATTTAATAGCCAACTTTCACATTTTGCGTCCTTTCCCGCGTATCGCGTTTGAAATTACGCGCAGACGAGATATTACGAGGACTCACGTGAATTCAAGAAAGAACAAGATGGCTTTTGTCGGAAACGATTCCGAAAAGTTGTATAAACTCGAGTCAAACCTCTTGCAAGAATTGCAAGAACTCGGATGATGCCCGAGAAAGCTGCTGGCCGCGCGAACTTGTCGCAAAATCTGATCCAGCGAGAATTCTTGAGGAGTTACGGGTCGCTTTTGTTAGCCTTCTTTTGTACACAAAGGAAAAGTATTTTATAAGAGAAAGAGGACAGAGAGCTCTCCTGTACACGCAAAAAGTGGGTCGTCGCTTTGAAATTCGTTTGGAATCGTTACATTTTTAGAAGGCGACAGCTAGAAATGATCAGCGACGCGATTTACGGGAGTGAAAAGCAGAGAAAAACAGTCGCGACTAAAAAAAGCAACTCACCCATATTTTCGGTTATCTTATGCTGTTGTTGTGGTACGCGATTCACGTTTTCATCAAGAGTCGTCATCGGGGCCTTCTCGGCTGAAAAGATTTTTGAACAGTACAATTAGTTGCGTTTAGTCTGTAACATGTGTATATATTCATGTTTTATATAATAGATTATCTTACACCTATTATTAAAAATAATTACATATGTATGAGATGAATACGATTTAAAATTAAAATGATTCTTTACCAACATGTGTGTTCCTATCTTTATATCTTTTAAAAATAAAAAAAAAATACTTCGGAAGAAAAAATAGAAAGTATATTTATCATATATGATGATGTTAATGTTTCCCAAAATTTTGGCGAAAATTTCAATGATCAATAGAAAATTGATAGATAAAAATTTTTATATTTTATTGAATAATTAATTAATGATACTATTTTTACTTTATTATTTGTACGAAAATAAGATCATTTTAGAAAGAAGACGTCAATAAAATTCGGGAAACATTGATTTGAAAGTACAGTTTCTGATAAAGATTAATCACTGAATGAACCGACAAGACAATCGCGTTTCCAAAAAGATTATCCGACAACTAACTCGGTTTCTGCTGCGTCTTCGCAAATGTGCTGCGTTGCATGACATTCCCGAAATCAGAATTGTTAGTTGTCGTCGCATACGCGACCTGCTGCGTCCTCGTTCTCGGCGGTCTCGCCGGTTCTTTCGGTCTATCTGATTTATCTGGTCTGTCTGGTCTATCCGACCTCTCCGACGACCTTGACCCGGAAGGGTCGTCGAGCCGCTTTCGCCTCGGTTTTACGACGATCCTATCGGTCATATTTTCGGCTCTCACATTCGTCACAGAGTCGACACGATACACGCAGCTCGATAAAATCGAGACAAACAAGCGCGAGGTATATATACATATGACGAGAACACTCGACCGTGCGCCGCGTAGATGCACCGGGCATCCGCGATACTCAGGTACTAAGTCCGTGAAAAGAACCGGACTAGAAATATCCCGGTCGACACTCCTTGAGCCGTGCGTGATGGCGAACTTCGCGAGTTGGCAGCATTTCACAAGTGGCATGAGTGTCGCCCGAGTAGCAGACCAACAGAAACCGGCTGACACAGTCGTGGAAACATAGTGGGGCATTTGTAGACATATGGACATCGGCAGGATTCTCTTCGAGATGTTGCCTACATGCCTCGAAGTTTAACATTAAGCGAAACATGCTACACAATCTCATTACACACGACAAATGTTTCTCCTCTCGGTTCGTTTTAAAATATTTTATAAATAGTTCATTCTTTCTCTCTCTTTTCTCTTTCGAGTAAATCTTATTATATTTATGGTTGTTGGTAAAAAGAAGAGTCTCTCTTATATTTCATTTTATATATAAAGCAGAATTTAAATCTGTTATTAAGAATATCTTTCTCTCTTTATACATTAGAACGCTTCTTTGATTATTAAAAAGCGAAATGCAAGTGAAATTTTCTGATGATGATTCTATGAAAACGCGTATTTCTTTCTCCCGTTTTCCTCCCGTTGGGAGCTGACAAGAAAAATTACACACAAAATGACGTAATGATAACGTCTGCATTTAAAATATTACTTTACGTTATCGAGTTCAGTGTCGTTCGACTTATTATGAATGATTTATGAATGATAGTCAGTCGAAGAGAATGAGTGAGATTAAAAGAAGATTAAAGAATAATAAAAAAGAATAATGATAACGATCACAAACATGGGAGGAATAATTTTATGTTTTATATTTCTAAGTATTTTTTGATTACTGAGTATCGGTCATAGTTATAAAAGAATAATTGTATAATTGGTAAGATTATTTTACGTATGCTTATTTATTATGCTTATTACGTAAGATTATTTTACGTAATTATATAAATCTAACGAAGAAATAAAAGAGATTAATATAATAAAATTATTATCTTGATGCAATGTGTGTTTGAGATTTTTATTCTTTATATAATATATAGAGAATATTTAATTGGAATATAATGATAATCTAGAGAATTTTTAAGTAGAATAAAAATTCTTTCTATAGACGTAAATATAAAGAATAATTGATAAAAATTATGCATTTAAGATAGCAAAAAAGAAAAGTTTTGAGACTACACAAGCAGCATAAAAACTTGCACTGCTAGCGGCGATAAAATTATCACTATTAACAATTTAAAGAAGTGGCTGATTGCTCGTCGTTAAAACTTATTATAGCAGCATTTTCTTCAGAAAAAACATTTTGTGTTGTGTTAATACTTGCATAATCACTTTAAGACCAAAACGAGGTCGCTCGATATAGATAAAAAAAATAATATATTAGAAAAAAGTTCTCTAATAACTAGGTAAAAGTTTCAAAATTTAAATCAATTTGTTGTTTGCGTATTAGTTCGTATAAATAGAAAAGTGAGATTTGGCAAGATTTCGTAGCTTCTGCAACGACTGGCAAATGTAACACGATATGTAGATTTGCCTAATTACAATACGTTATAAAGATATAACAGCCGCATCTTTGATAATAAATGATAAAAATAGATTATGCAAATAGAAAAGATAATCCTCAAAGTCTATTAAAGAAATTATTATTTAACAAAATAAGTTTCCTTCATATTATCATCACAAATTTATCTATAAATTCACTCATTTAAATAAGATTTTTTTGATAAGAAAAAAAAGTGTAAAATTAAAATAAAAATAAGTAGCAAAATTTCGACTATTTATATAGAATAAAAACATCTAAGAAAAACCACTAAGAAAATATAATAGTGAAGTTTCCAGCTCAGATTTGCAAAAATCTGCAATTATTGATGCAAAAAAAATAAATATGCATGATGTTAATTAATGTTATTTTCTGAACGTCATGCAACCTTGAACGCTCTTGATCTTTAAATCATGAATGTCTCACTTTTTGCAGGTATTTATGACATGTGATATGACGTAGGTCGGCAGTTTTCCTGCGTATCTATATTATAGAAGAAATAACGAGCTTTGGTTTAATTTAGGAGCGGATGACACGAGTAATTTCGTACGTTCGTATTCGCGAACGCCAACTGGGAGGAAGAAGGTGCTATATGTCGCAAATATTGGCACTGCATTCAGAAATAGTTTTCAAGTGATATCTCACAAATATTATAAACAAAGATTATAAAAATTGCAGGTAAACAATCTGCTTTTAATTTAGATACGTAAAGTTTGCATTGAAATATTATTGCTTTATATAATAAATGTTTAATAAAATAAATATCATTATAAGAAAAACTTATAATTACACGATATTTCGGAAGAAAATCTCAAACATTTTCAATTTCGACAAAATTCGAGTCAATATTTTTAAGATATTAATATCAAACTTATTTAAATTTAAATCACACAATCTTTATGTATCAAAGAAAAAAAATAAAAGGAAAACTAAATAAATAAATAATAGGTAATAAAATAAGATAATTCAAACTATTTTTTTCTCAAAAGGTTAAGCTCTGCCAGTTAATAAAATAAAATTCTCTTCGCTGATTGGAAAATACATACACCTTAATATTACACGTCGTTCTTCTACTTGATCGCCGTTGAATCGTGTTACCAATTTACGACGTGGTATCGTCGAACAAACATAATCAAAGTTAGTAGCTACACCAATAAGGATTTTAGATCGGTACCTGGTTTGCACGGGCGGTAAAATGAGCCAAGTTAACGTTCGCTACACGCGGGGGGAGGATTACGATATCCTTTCGCGAGATATATTTATTTTAAGAAAGTGTACCCTTCCCTCTCCGAATACACAATCGTTTTGTACCGTTTGAACTTGCACACTCGCGCGGAGGCAAATGTTTTACGACAAATGAGGGAGTTTATTGCGAGAAGAGAAAGCCGAAATGTGCGACGGGATAAAAGGATGAAACCGGTGAACGTGGGGGAGGGAGAGAGAGAGAGAGCAGAAATAAGAGATCGTCTCGTATAAACGAACGAGTGAGTTAAGATTATTGTGCCTCCTTCAGGCACATCTCGGTTATCGTTAATCCCACCCCAGGCGTTATCCGGCACGCGGTTTATTTACGTTTCCATCTCCGCGTATACGCCAGGCATAACCGCGATTCCCGAAGTTTATGCAGCACCGTACGCAGTTCGGTTATGAGCTCTGCAACAGCCCGAAAGGTTCTTTCGCGTCTACGCGAGCACGATTTTGCAAGTTCCAGCCGGCACATCTTAAATCTTAATGGCAACGTTACGCCGAATGAAATAAGATACGGTACGAACGATAGCTCTCGATGCGAAACGTTATTCCATCATTTTACACAAATATTAACTTTCACCTAGAAAGGTCAATAAAATATTATAAAAGCTAAAAATCTAAAATTTAAAATTAACTAAAAAATCAGAAATCTTTCATTAAAGTTGCGCTGAAAGTAAGATATCAAAGATAGATGCGAAACATTATTCCTTTTTACAAACGTAAACTATTACCGATTCGAAATATCAAATAATTCAAGTCGACATATAATTTTCTCATTATTTGGTTTCCCTATTTTAAAATCAGTTACGTACAAAAAATGAGTTACTTTTGATAAAAATTTCAATTTAAGGAAATAAAATCGCGTTTGTATCGATCGAGAGCATATCAGGAATTTAATTATGAAAGACATATCGGTATTAAACATAATGCGTTTCGCACAACAATAGGTTTTATTGCAATTTCCAGCTAATTGAATCGCATTGTATACACGCGGTGTCGCTTATAGAAATCAATATCCCTGAACTTCCCCTTCTAAATGCCACGCTTTACGAAGTTATGGATAGTATACCTCGTCGTCACGTGCAATTATATTATATTTATGCTCGTTTTTGCGAACTTCAGCTAAACCGCTTGCGTCATTGCGCAAGTTATACGAGAAAACGTTCGAAAATAGGGATCTCTTCTAAAATAATACTAAAATCGTATTTTTGGAGATTACGGTTATGCAACAATTACAAATTATGTATTAGTACATAACGAAAGTTTGCTTTTTTATTTCACGACGTAAATACCGCGTGTCGTTTTATTCAAAATTATGGTATATGAAAAATGTTATATCACGCAGAGGAGGATATAAAAATTCTTTACATATAGATTACCGCGTAGAGACTCTAGCTACGTCGATTTCTTTAATAAATCTCTCCAAGTATTGATCGCCCGCGCAAAAAGCTCTTTTTCTTCAACGAGATGCATAGAATTCGTATTTTCGCCGGTATTGCCGGATCACCGATTAGTGGCGCATGACCGATTGGCTTCCGATTCATCTGACTGAATAATGCAAGTCTAATTAGCGAAGTGCACAAACGCAGAAGAGCGCTCGAACGGAGATATGTATGTAGTTTACATGTTAAGTATGTATGCGTGTGTATATTGAAGCGACGAGAACGTGTATTTGTATTGACCTCGTATCATCTGACCTCTCGTCAATTGACATCCTTGGTATAACTTTACTTTGTATCGCGGCTTAAATTGTCTCGACTCGAATAAGAATACAAATTGTAATACACTGTTGTTTTCAAAAATTATTTTAACCGTCAAATATAAATAATATTATATTATTTCTCGCTCTAGAAGTAATAAAAATTAAAATTGTACACATGGAATATTAAAGAAAGAAAAAATTAAAAAGAAATTAACCGATATTCAGAGGAAAAGGCACGAAATATTAATAAGAAATATAATTAACAATATATATGTTATCGTTTAAAAAATAATGTATAACGTTAGAATTATAGAGACGGATAAAAAGGGAAATCTACGTACAAGGGAGAAACAGATATACGTCAGAAAAAAATCTGTTCATGTCTCCAAGAGTTTATAAATGATAGAATCGAGGTGCGGCGCGTGCTAGAAACTTTTCTCATCATCCGAATCTGACCGCAACTCTAACTGTGTCTTGCTACGTCCATGGGAAAAGAATGCCTCGTAGTTACGAGTCTGTAAGTGAACAGCAAACTACCTGGAGGAATCGGCTTCAATTAACTCGGTGAATTGTCTCGGGCTCCGACTCGGGCACGAGCCGGGTGTAACGTCGGACTTCCGCTTAATTTATCGCGGGCGGCTCAGCAATTTATTGCGAGGCGCTCCGTGTTTCCGTTTCGACGATGGACCCGTCGTAAACTATCGGGAAAGTGGGGCCGGCTCGTTTCCATCGGACGTGCATACACGGCGCGCGTGCCACGCAAAGCTATCGGTGCTATTCAATAAAACACGCGCCGCATCGGACTGAATAGGCGTGCCAATATGCGACTCTCATTTCCAATCCCGGAACAGCAATATGCGTTGCGTGTGTGCGTGTAACGTGTGTGCGGATATTCGTGCGTGTAACGTGCGCCCATTGCGTTGCATCGCTTTGACGTGCGCTTTTCCCATCCGACATTGTCGCGTGGAGAGTAAGAGAAAGAGAAAGAGAGAGAGAAAGAGAGAGAGAGAGAGAGAGAGAGAGAGAGAGAGAGGGAGGGAGGGAGGAGAGAGAGAGAGAGAGAGAGGGAGAGATTTCATTTAATGCGGAATAATATTACGACTTCCTGCTGTGTGAGGCATTACGACGAAACAAGAGAAAGAGGAAATCGGATTTCTGTATCGTAAAAACGTGTTCGCTAATTTTCCAACGAAAAACGAACACGAGTGCATATCGAGCGTCGTGAATCGTCACAGACATGCTAATTCTGAAAAAGCAACTTTGTTATAGCGTACAAGTCCTCGTGCTTTTTTCCCTCGCGTCCTCTTTCCCGTTCCTCGCGTTGTTTGTCGCTCTTTGATACTTTTAATAGCGGAAATCAGATTAGACTTGATACATACGCGAAACGCGTCGAAAGCTCGGATACTCTTTCCCCTTTGCGTTTTATTTTTTTATTGTGTTTTCTATCAACTCGATAAATATGTCGTTACTAGCGATAAAACGACATATCTGAAACGTGAAATTTATTTTCCTTCATAGTTAAGCGAGATTAAAACGACGAGATCCACGAACGTTGACTAAAGAGTGAGATTATATAAGCTGTCTGCGGTCTGATCTCATAAGTAATATTAACGAATAATTGACGTAGCTAAATTGCTATACTATATTGCTTTTAAAACACTGATTAAAAAATGCAAACTCACCTATGATTACGCAATTAATTTAAGCGCGATCATAACAATTTCTAATAGACAATTTCTCTAAGTTCTACAAATCTCGTAGTAAGAATTGAGTCATCAGCGTTTTTAAATACGTAGGCATAAATTTGCAAGCAGATTCTCTGACCATGAGTAATCAGCTTTAAACGCTCGTATATATCTATCGTATTTTTTCCAAAGTCGCTTGTAAGATATACAGGTAAATGTGGAATGCAATGTAAGCGGAAACGAATGGAAAGTTACAACGATGCAATTCAGCATTCTTTCATCGATCGTGTCATTTTTCTTGTTCCATTCTGACTCTAACATCGTGCTAAAGTGCGATCGCTAATCGAAATGATAAAGAAAAAAATGTATATGAGCACACGTGTCTTATATATATATATATATCCCAGTTATCTTCCGTCATTTTTCAAAGACAGATTCCTGGGATCATTTGAAGACTATTTTTCCTCAGCGAAACTGTCAATGAAGGAAATGTCATCATTTTTTGCATGTTCCCGATTTTTGCCATCATATATCTTTGCAATTAAGTCTTAAATTAAAACTCAACTAAAGTAAACTCTATTTAAAATTAATCAAAGAATATGTTAATATTTTATTTCTACAAAGCTTAGTTTACGAAAAAAACCCCTTACTTCCAATTACTTATAATTCGAAAATTATTAGTGCCTCGACATTTTCGTTGAGGAAAAATCGTCTTCAGATGATCCCAGTAATCTGTCTTTGAAAGATGACGGAAGATAACTGGGACACCCTGTATATATATATATATATATATATATATATATATATATAAAATTATAGCATTGTTCAAGATACATTACTTCACATAAAATGTGAAATTTTTTTTCTTGAATTGGCGGCAATCCGTTGAATCGAATATATCGCTTAGATAAATTAGATAAGATTAATACATGCCTTTACACGTGCAACGACTGTGATTGCGTCGTGGAAAAGCCGGTTCAATATAACGTTTGACGTTTCTACGAGAGGAGTTCGTGCAATTGTTAACCTTGCTGACTAATCGAATGTAAGGCCGCGTAAATATACGCTGCGAAATATACGCTCGAAATTCCTTCGTTTTCTCGCGGCGCTTCCATGGCACAACGCTTCCACGAGAGCCCTCCTCGCGTTCCAAAAATTACGTCATCCTCGTTTTGACAGGACTTCTTATTTACCCGTTCCTCTCGCGCGCGTAAGCGCGATATTTATAGACACTCGCGTCGGCGAACACGCAATGTCATCGGTTACGCGTCATTCTATTATGCGAGTATTACATTATAACCTCTTATAAGAGCGACGTTACCTCGCAATCGTCGAGCCACGTAACACGTCATCTAAGACACTAATATTTTTAATTACTCGACAGAGATTCGCGGTTGCACAACTCGCGCGTTCTCTGTCCTTCGCACGTATTCCATCTCCGTCGCTCTTTCTCATTATCGTTTCTCACCTTTCTCCCCTTATCTCGTTCATTTTTTCATGTATTATCGTATTGCTCGAACGTGCAACGTCGGAGATAAATTTTACCGGACACGAGGGAATTCAAGGACGAATCGGAAATCGAGTCGTGGAAGAATCGGCGTCAGCAAAGTGTCAAACAGCAGCGTGCATGGACGGCTCGTCACGTCGCGCGGCCGCTCAGCCGAACAGCTGGTTCGCGTCGGAAACGCGACGAGTCCGTCCCCCCTTCGCGATTTCAATGATTTACGGGAGGTTCACTCGATGTCGCATAAACCCTCGTACCCGGCGAAATGACGAAAAATCAAGAGAAATACTCACCCACATACGAACTGCCGTGGTCACCGTTCTGTTTATGTTGTCCAACGTCCGCCATATTGCTCTACGTGTGACGTCACATCCACGACTGCGCGCCACCGTCACCTCTCGCTTTCCTAGATGCGTTCGAAAACTTACTCGGTGGATAGAGTAGGGCTCGATCGACCAATCAGGATGAAGAAGCAGGGATGTTCCGATTGGCCGATCAAAGTTACTCTACCTTGACGACGCATCTTCGAACGCGATTCGACTACGACGTCACTTGTTCGTTCGCGCCTCATTCGGCGTTATTAGTTTATATGGCGTCGGTGTTGGAATTGTTCTTCGATCGCGGCTGCGTTTCGTGACGAAAGTAGGAGAAAAACACATCTCTGCGACATTAATAATCTTTCACATTCTTAACGTATCGTACATTCGACTTGTATCGCTAGTATTTTGACATAATTTCGTTTGAAAACGATTCCAAGGTAAGCTACAATGATACGAAGAATGCCGATTGATCGATAGATAAATATATTCATATATTTCTGCTTATTTTAATGCGTTTTCGCAAGAGAATTGTATTAAAATTCTGCCATTTGATAAACTTTAAAAGTGACCTTTCAAATCTAAATTATTCCGACATATTATTCGACTTGCAAAAAAATGATAAAATATTTCTTGCATAATAACTGGATTTAAACACCGTTGCCACCGTTACCGGTCGTGATTAACATTTTTTTCACGAAATCAATTTTATTCCTTCAAACCGGAAACACGAAACGAAAGCTATACCCTTGAGTCGATTTGAATCGAATGTATTTGATAATCGGCATCAAAGTGAAGTCCACCGCGCTCCTCCTACTCTCGTCAAATGACGCGCCGAGGCAACTGTCAGTCGGCAACTGTTTGTCGCGAACGAACCGAATCTCGCGGCAAACTTCACGCATAACTCGCAGAGTCAACGCGCGGTTCGCAGGTTCGGTCACGTCCGCGAGTGTATCCGCGATTCCCTCGTCCTCGATTATCATCGGTGGCGATACGTGGAGCACGTAGCTTCAACTTCGACGTAACTTTGCGCGTCGCTCGCGAATTTCGAAGCGCGGGCGCGCGCCGCCCGATTCGCAGTTTCGGCGACGCGCGGCACTACTTTCGCCGGCGGACGGCGATTCGACGCGGCGGTGGCGCGGTCGGTCGCGGATCCCCCATGGTGGAACGTGGATGCTGTGCGCGGTGGTTCGTGTCCTGTACACGCGCGAACACGCACGACGACGATACGGCCGTGCCCGTCGACGACGCGAACGCGCGCGCGTGTGTGTTTGTGTGCCCGTAGCTCGTGCTCGCCTTCTCTCTCGCGTCGTTTCCGCGAGTGACAGCCCGTCCGTCCTCCGTTCGACGAGACGAGATGCGCCCTATCGATAGCGGCCCGTGTTGCGTTATGCGCGCCGACGATCGGGACACGCGAGCAGCCAGTTGCTCCGAATGGTCGATCGCGACCGCTTGGTAAACAAATCTCGGGAAAAGGTGAATACGGAGCGACGAGGAGAGAGACTGACACCATCGACGAGGGAATAACAAGCGACGATCGAGGAAGCAAAGTGAGGAGGGAAAATTTCAAAACGACTAAAATCGAAGAGGAGATCCGCACGTATCGGGTACATGTATCGTGTGTCGACTTCGCGTCACATTTCGCGTCGAGTGTCGCCATAGTTATAAACGCAGCGCGCCTTTTCGAGCGTCCGCGTATTTGCAGACTCGCCGTGACGTTGCGGGTGTCGCGCGACTTACACGTACATGTGCCAAGTGACGTAGTCAACATATCCAGTGGCGACCAGGGACTGATAGTCGCATCGGCGATTGTAACGTTGGTTACGCGGTGTCTTTCCCGCGCGCGGAGAGAGGCGCATTTTTCGCAGCGCGTCAATTTCCTCCCGCGTTATCGATTCGCGTCCATTCGCTCGCACGTGCTTCGACGGACCGATCCGCGCGTGACGCGAGCGTGGAACTTTGGCGCGACGCCGCTGGCCCTTTAAATCGCCCGGGGCATCTCCACTTCCCCCACTCCGGCGCGCGTGTGTGGTGCCCCTCTCCGCGACCATTTAAATTCCACGAGGTCGACCGGTGGTCGGACCGTTTAAAGGGCCCGTCATTGCGTAATCGCGCACCGGGACTCACGACTGCGTCTACGTTCTTTCTCTCTCTCTCTCTCTCTCTTTCTCTCTCTCTCTCTCTCTCTCCCCCTCCCTCCTCTCCTCTCCTTTCCTCTCCTCTCTCTCTCTCTCGCGCGTTCTCGCTTCGATGTCGCCGTCGTCGTCGATGTTTTACGAGCGTTCCTACGATATCGCGAGTGGTCACGCGCGCGAGATCGTAAACTCCCCGCGCGGGGTTCCACGAGGCGACGCTTGACTGTGTTTTGGCAACCATCGCCGGAACTTATCCTTGCACGCATCCCATCCTGCTCCGCTTCGAGTCTCAGCCATTGGCACCGAAGAATTATGTAACGCCTGTCGAGGAACCACCGACCACTGAACCCGCCCGCCCGGCTCGGAATGCGGGATTCCTTCGCAGTTTTTGGCGAGACGTGTTTGGCTTCGTGAGTACCAGTTGTCTTTGTTTCCCTCCTCTCTTGGCCGCCGTCAGCGCCGGCGCGCCCGCGCTGGATCCCGTCGTGGATTCTGCTCCTCTCGCCGCCTCTGCCTGCATTTTATTCGAAATTTAATCTTTAGATACCGAGCACTTGTCTTTGTTATTCTCCGATGGAATAGTTTACGCGATGAATATTATTTCTCTCTTTCTCCCTCTCTTTCTCTCTTTTGTTCGAAACGTGTATGTTTCTTAATTTATAATAATAAAAAGGAATTTAAATAATTTGTATAGAATATATCGCAAATGTTAACATTATATTACGTTATTCAAAACTATTTAAAATATCTATGAAATGTTACGTTGAATACATATTACTCCACATTGTTCTATAACTTGTGCTTGGTATCCAAGATTAATTTTAGAGCGAGAAGGCAGAAGATATTTGAAGATTAAGTTGCGTAAATCAATAAATGGTCGAAAAAATGATGTCTATATTGTATTTTTTATTAAAAAGAATATTGCACATTTTTAAGAAACAATAATCTGAAATATAATTGTAAGTTAATTTGTTAATGTTTTTTGTGAGAATCTTTTGACATTGAAATAATTTTTTTTATTAAATTTCTAATAAATTTTCAATAAAATTCTAAGCATTTTAAATGTAAGTTAATGTTTTTCATGTCATGTAAATTTATATAAACAAATTAATACGATATCGAATATGACATTAAATTCGAATTTGATATTAAACTATAAATACAAATTAGCACGCATATTATAGTAACATATTAGGAATATTAAGAATGAATTCATTTTCTCGACCGTGCGTCATAAAGCGGTTTCTATCAAATATGTAATTATTGACGTAATACGCGTACTTGGCGTTGCTCTTGGCAAAATTCCGATAAAACGAATGGAATTTTGCATCTTCGCGTGTACAGAATATAACTATAGTTTTAGAAGAAGCATAGATATTTTCTTGCTGTTTGCATATATCTGTTTGCGAATAAATTGTGACGATACCTTTGCTCTTATCGATGAATTTCGCCTTCAGCAACGCACGTAATAAGAATAAAAACCAAAAAACTAACATCTTGTGTACCTTGACATCATATATTACGTGTGCGGTTCGAGGAAAATGCAGCAAAAATTAAAATGTGCGCAAAAGTTCGCAGTAATTTAACGTTAATCGCTTACGAGTTGTTAGTTACACAATTATAAATATATTTTTTCTTTGTTTGCATTATATAAATGTATCTATGAATCATTAAGAGCATTGTTAAATATTTTCGAGCTAGTACTCTGTTGTTACAGTTTACGAAACATTTCTTAAATCATGATTAAAGCCATTCAGTATATCATTTGTAATCTATAAATATGATAATAATTAATTGCTTTTTCTTTTTTTTAGACACGTTTTAAATATGAAAAATATATTTTTCATGAGCAAAACAGTCCAATTTTTTATATTGGCTGTAGCTTGATAATATTATTTTTTACAATGCTTTTATGTACATTCAATATATATAAGAGATTATAACTTTACTTATTAAATTATTTATTAAAAGAAGCGTAACAACTTGTATTCTATGAATAGCACTAATTGTTTATCTTACTGGTTCAATTCAGTTATTTCCGATCAAACCGTTCGATTATAAACTACATGTATATACTATGATCGCGTATGTACATGTGTTTTGCGATGTAGTATTTTTTATCTTATCTCACAAGCGCGTGCTACAATTATTATTGAACCAAGCTACTTTGCCGTAAATGAGAGCGGCTTTTTGCGCACCGAAAAAGGCATTCGTGTCAGCGTAGTTGCGGTCGCTTTTGTGATTACGATCACGTTAAAATCCGCGAGAGCTCGCGGAGATGCCAAATGTTGTGCCTAATAGATTCCCGTTGCCAAGGAGTACCAGCCAGCTGTGGTATCAATTTATTAATCTGACTTCTCTCTGGGAAACGGGGTCAGAGCCCGATTCGCGTATTTTTCCCCGCGATAATTGTTTAATCTTGCGGCAAAATTTTCTAGTTAGATACGCAATTAAAATTTGATGTAGACATTAATCGATAGATTATATCGACATGTGCGCGCGCAGTATAATATATACATATATATATATCAATTTTATCAAAACTAAATAAATTTTTTTTAACGACCATTGGATGACGACTCGAAATGTAATGCGAATCGATCTCTAGCATTCGCACAGGAAACCGATCCGTGAGTTATTACGTTGGCATTTTCTCTCCGCGCTATTTATAGCTAGTGATATTTGTTTATATTTGTCCTATAAAATACGGCGCGATGGTGAAAGCTCTATCGGCAGTCGACGCACGATGCATAGTCGTAATGAAAAGCCGTGCGCTATTAGTCCGCGTGTCGCGGCCGGAAATGGATGGCTATTTTTATTTTTTTCCCCACAAAAATCGCGTGACGTTACTGCTCGTCAGGTGCATATACGGCGTCCCTGATACCGTCACTGACCGACTGCATGTAAAATGCCGCCATTCTCGTTCTCGCGACGTGCATTTCGCGCGAGTGAAATTCGATTGAACGCGTGCCACGTGTAATGTATCATCTTTCCGTTGCATTCTCCATCAGAAATATTCTACATCCATCTTAAATATTGATTTCATCCTCTAGAACGTATATCACACATGCAGAAATAAATATGGTTCTTTTGACGAAATAAAATTAAAATGACGAAATTAACAGTTAGGCAAATTATACACAATCTCCAAGAAATTAATTCTCCTCAATTAAATATCGAATTTTAATTCCGAAAACTTGCAACATTTTTCATCATATAATCACGCTGTAAATGCAGTGTGAAATTATCACTCTTATTATTTTGCTACGTATATAACATGTTTTCAATAGAATGAACAATTATGTTGTTGATGAATTTAAAATTTCGTCCTTGGTTTCTCTCTCTTTCTTACGTTCACCGATTCTTTAACCGAAAACGCTAAACTCGCCAACACGCGTGGCAGGAAATCGAGGTATCGATGCGGTCGGAAGCAGTAATTACTCGCGCGCTTAATTACTCTGCCAAGTTTTTTACGCCTGATGTGGCGCGCGCGTTTGCTTTTTATTACGGGAAACTCGGAAAAAGAATTCTTCCTGCACATCCAAGCGCTTTTCCGCGCGCTTCGATCCTTTCACTTACGGACTCATCAATCTCACTGGATTGGTTTTCCGACGCGTGGTCATGATCCCTCATTTCCAACCGTCTCTTATTCCCATTCTTTCGCGACTGTTTTGCTCGCGTTATGTAAGCCCGCATATCATATCTCATGTATGTCGCATTACCGCAAAATTCATTGACATTCGTCGGTAAATATTCATTTCTTTATATTCATGTGCATATATACAGTTTACTTATCTTGTATATTTCGAGTCTCATTTTAAGTATTTATATAATATTTTGTTCAAAACATTTTTATATGAATTTATAATTTTTTGAATATACTTTCTAAATACGATTTAATGTAATAAAGATACAATTTGGAAAAAGATACAAATTGTACACATGTTTTTCGAGATAGTTTTGTTATAATCAATTTAAATATTACATTGGGATTAATTCCTTCTAGCATTTTATAAATATTTTATAAGTATTTTGAGGGATAAAATGGTTTTCTCTCATGAAAACATTGGATTTTGATGAAATGTTTGCCATATTTTGTTTGACATTACTACTATACCATGTGGTCTCCGCCAAATGCGCGTTTATAAACGTGATTTAATAATGTTACTGACTTCACAAACCGTCATAGTTAAATATTTTTGTTGTATGGATTGTATTAACACGACAAATCTTTATATTGGTTTGGATATTATTTGCGAGATTTATAAATTCTTTTTTGCATGATTATTACATCTTCTAATCTAGATAATATTTAAATTAATTAATTTCTTTAATGTCTAGAGAAAAAATTTTTAATTTAACTTATATATCTATTAATGAATATAATTTAAATCGCTAAAGATATATATTTGCGATTGTTATTTAGCTCGTGTCGATATAAAAATGTGCGCTCTAATAAAGTTCTATTAATAGCACAGTTGTATCGTATTTTCGTACATATCGATCGAGCTGTTAACTCGCAATTAATGTCGCGTGTTTATATCGTGGAATTTTCCACGTTTCCCGAGAGACTTTAATTTTGCGGTGACTGTTCGCGTATCACCGTGCATGATTAAGTTTTCCGCGCGCACACGTATAGCCTCATTTTTAGATTATACATTAGATTGAATTTATATTTTTAGATTTTTATATAAATTCACACCAGGAGAAGCGCTGAAAAGCATTTTTTGATATTTCAAATTATTTTGTAAACATTCGCGTGTAAAAATTTTCGTAGAGAATATCCATAAATCTCTCTTCTTTTTGTTTGTATTTAAGGCAAATAAATGATAGTATATATAATACGATAATATATCAACGATATATAGATTTACATTAACATCCTTGCATGCGCGTCCTCGAGAAATTACATTAATATTGCATGTCATTTGAGATTTTATTGGATACTATATATTTATAACTGACTGCGTGTGTCTATTTCTTCCATGAGGTAATTGGATGTCTATATCTTCGGAAAAGTCCGCGGTTCATTCGTAAATCGATATATTTCGTGTTTGTGACAGGTGCCGGCTCGTCTAGGTAAATTTGTCACGTCCGTCTAAAGCTCCAAAAATAAGCTCCTTCCTCTAGTATGTCGGCCTCGGTTTATATTGTGACCCTTTGACTCTATGTTTGTGTCACATTTCTTTAATTAGAGCATCCATAACGAGATCAAAGTGTGTCAATGTTTCCTACAATATAATTAATATCACGCACGATCTTTTTAATCAAATTTTATTCAATATTTGTTGTTAAGATTAACTTTGTTATTTTTAAATTTATTGTTTTTTCATATAGTATATAAATAGAATTTTTATGAAATTGTACAATTAATGTACAAAATATAAATGATTAGCTTAGAAAAAGAATA